TATTGTATTGTTTATCAGTGTAAATACAATTTAAATAAATTCTTCGGTGCCAAAATGGGGCGGTATTTTCTATAAGTCGTAGTTTATAAGTGATCGTTATACTTACACGTTCTCCGGGAGTCATGCCATAGCCAGCGCCCTGACATTGCAAAAAGTATGATGCCACGCAGAAAACAAGTACGGTATTCATTTTCAAATTATTAAACTGGGATTAAACTTTGGAATACTGTTTTACAAACTATTCGATAATAGTGCTTGTGGCGGTTTTATAATTTCACTGGAGTAGGTATTGTATCTTTTTGAATTACCGCAGTACTTTCTGTGAGAAAATATACTTGAGCAATGCAAACGGTTGGAAAAGCTTGTAACTATTAAGCTGTGCTATTTCACTGTAAACAAGAGTTGTTTACGAACGTTCTCGTTCGCGTTGTTTGCCATTTTACACGCACTGTCCTGCTGTTATTTTTCTAGAAGCACGAGTGCTTACTACACTTGCTTTAAAAATTGTTTATACACTGTAAACGTTTATCGATAGTGCCTTATCTGAATAATATTTCATACTTAAGTACTGTATCTAGAGCCATCTTTGGGTTGGTCTCCCACTAGGTCTAGACATGCCCAAGCCACTGTATCCGTTTAATTTTCACAAAGGCAACAACAACATTAGGATGTTTAAATAGGTCCCTTAAATCTTTGTTATGTCTAAACTTTATAAGTTTCTTGTCATCCCCTATGGTCGTAGCCCATGCACAAGGGTGCACTCATAATTAGTTAAGATGGGTCTAATATATTATGCCATGTACAATCTTACTTTCGATTCTCTAGAGAGTAGTTTTGATTTAAATAGTCTTAATATTGAGAAACAAGCCTGATTGGTGTTATTAATTATTTGTTACATCTCTTAGTGCATGTCATTTTTACTGTTAATTAGAGTCCCAAGCTATTTGAAGCTATTCACGCGTTCAAATGTGTATTGACCAATTTTAATATTATTAATAATACCACCTAGAATGTTTTCCTCTCTAGAAACTTTTATGTATTTCTTCACAGACAATTAATCCCATCTTCACCTCAGCTTAGATTAATTTCTTTGTAGTCTCAATCACTTCTTCTTGAGTCTCTCCGAGTGATCGCTATATCATCTGCGGAAGCGAGTATAGGGCTTCTATTTAATTCCACGAATCTAGTTTCTTCCATTATTCAACAGTGGATATTTATATAAAAATTATAATAACCCAGTTTATCCAATCAATTGATTTAAGGTCTTTCAAATGCTTTACGGTTATTGAAGAAATCTCATTTTTTTAAAAAATATTTGAAGGGCTGCTGGAAAAAAACATCAATGTCAGTTTTATTAAATTGTTGGTAATTCCGTTTTTAAAGTTTAACAACTTCCAAAATGACATTGCAGCAAGGGTTTGAGCGAGAGAAAAACACATGTTGTCGGAAAACTACATATATTTGAGTGAAAGAAAAAAAAATACATTTTACTTATACAAAAAATGAAAAATAAAATACAATCTCTGACCTTGATGAGTATTTCCCGTCACACGTTTTCTTCTCCCTTTATTTTTGGACAGGCAATGATCTTTCTGTGCAAAACCGATTCGTAGTTCGATTCCTTTGGGAACAAGCTAATAGACGGCACTACTATCTCATTTTCAAAAAAAATTGACATTGATGGTTTTTCCCCGCAGCCCTTCATTTCAAAAGGCCACGGATCTTTTGATTGACGTTATAAACTTCAAAGTTCAGTGAAATTCTCTTTTACCAAAAAAAAAATAGCTTAACAAGCATAACTATGCAGGTTGCTATAAGAGATTCCAAAATCACCCCTCCCTAAATGCTGTTACCCAAGGGCGGAAAAATCACAATTACCTTGAAATATCATTGTATGGTGATAATAAAAAATTATTCACATAGGTGGTGGTTTTATCATAACTTTAAAAAAATCGTCACCAAGTCATGCTGGCCTTGACATTCTAAAGACACCGTTATAAAAATGCAAGTTTAACGTGGATATCTAAAAAATAGACACGGTCTTTTGGCTTTGTACAATGTTTTTAACACAAACGAGCACTGTATTTCATTTATGCAAACAGTGCAAAATTTAAACGCGCATCGAATCGCACAAGTGTTTTTTTAAAGTAAAAGAATTATTATGTTTTCGAGTAAACGCTTAGGCAAGAATTCAGTAAACAATTATTTATGTATACTTAGCTAAATATTAGAAATATTTCGTTAAATTATTATTAGTTAGTCGATAATTTCTAAACATTTAAAAATCAATAAAGCTTCATCTTTATCTGGCAACAATGTGCCATTTTGTTTAACTTTAAAAGAAAAAGTCAATACACAATATTATCTTTACATGATTACATCTTTTATGATTTACCTATTTGTGGTTTTTTTGTTATGAAATAAAATTGCAAAAAAACATTGTCATTTTTTAACGGTTGGCGTTTAGTTATAAAACTGTGTAATTGGATAAAAAATGAAAGCAAAGAAAAAAAACAACAAATAAATAATTTATATTCCTATTAGTTATATTTTTCCATAGTGATGATACATAATAATTACAATAATAATAATAATAATATAAATATGAATTAATCAACATAATAATAATATGTATAACTAACATCAACTGTAAAAAACATAATACTAAATTTATTGAGTATATATAACGCTGTTGCCAGTACACAAACGTTAAAAATCATTTTTTCGGTAATATATAATTATATATTTTAATAAATTTGATGATTTTCATATTATTTATATATAATATGTATTTATTTATTCATCTAAATTGACAAAAAAAAAAACAAATATTTTTAACAATGATTTCATTCCGTTTGTCGCTTCGAAACGTTAACTGATTTTTTTTATTGTTATTATTATTATTTAATAACACATTTTTTTAACATTATTCCTAAATTAGATAAACATATTACATACGTTATTAATTTTTTTAGTAAATCATAATCGTACAATATTTTACATTATAATAAACCAATGCGATTATTTTTGTTTTCATCTTTTAGTCTTATACGATATAAATTGTAAGATTCGACTAAAAACAATTTTTTTTTTTATAATAATATATTTTCTTGTATTATTATTAATGCCGTCGTCGGTTGACATGATAACAGCTTTAATCAATTACACTATTAAACAGCTACTAATGAACAATAATTAAATCGAACGGACGGTAAACAAAATAATGGGGAAAAAAAAATACATTATAATAATATTATTATGAGCCCATATTTGTCACGAAACTAACCGCTTTTTAATTAACAGTAAAATAATTGATGTAAAATCGATTTTGCATTTTTTAATTTTTATTACATTTGTTTTTTTAAACCATTTCATTCAACCGGGTCCGTTCAATTTATAACAATATAATTTTTATTATAGTATAAACACAAACAAAAAACAAAAAAAAACGTTTGAGCAGTGTTTTTCGGTAAATATAATTATTATAATAATAATAATAATATTAGTATTGACATAATGATTTACCGTGTGCTAAATATTAGCTTACCAGACTGAAACACGTTCGTTTTTCAGATAATTACCGAAATAAATATTTAAGAAAATTAAAAAAAAGTCAATATTGATAGCGGAATACGCATATACATTTATATATTAATTATTAGAGTATTTTGAGTGTAATGCGACGGTTGGGTGGCTTAAAAAAAGATTGACAATAATAATTAGGTATTATTGCAAATATTTTTACATATTTGCTTATTATAATAAGCGTTTAAACAAAATTTAAAACGGTTTTAAGTCATTGTTGATTTTTTTACCAAAAAAAAAAAAAAGTCACCAAAACGGTATAATAATATTTGTATGATTTCTTTATATTGAATTTTATCATACAACAGTAATTGTTATTATCATTTGTCGGTTTTTTTTTTAAACTAAATTACATATAAAATATTGTTATTTCAAACAAATCTACCTAACCGTACGCACTGGTTGTTGTTGAGAAATTATTTTTTGACAATATACTATACCCGTAGAGTAGATATTATTATTATATATTTGATTTCAACGGGGAAAAAACATATTACTTAACCTATAAATAATTAGGTACTGTCGTTAAATTAATCTTAAATTAATCACTTTGGACTTTTCGCTCGTCACAAGTGTAACATACTGTAATATTATAATCAACTAAACATTATTGTAACTTTTCATACACATTAGTTTACACAGAGCTCGTTAAGAGCAAAGTACATCGACATAGTTAAGTCTTGAATAACAATTAAAAAAGCTCCTTATGTATATTCAATAAAAACGAACTGAGCTGGTTATGATGGACCGACAAATATTCTATTAGTATTAATTATTCATCTCTAAGTTAAACCATAAAAATGTATTTTTAAAAAATTCGCGTTTGTCAAAAAAAAAAATAACAAAATAATAATATTAAAGCAAAGCCAAACGTTCAATGCGCAAGTATGATAATAATAATTATAATAATCCTTTAATATAGATTTATAATATTAGTATAATATAATAGAATAAAAACTTAACAAAAATCAATAACATAAAAAAAAATGTAAAATACTTGTTTACATATTGTATACACTTAACAGCTAAATATTTGATTATCGTTAAATTATTATTATTATAATCTTGCAAGTATTTTATCCATTATTATTATAATGCGTTTATTAACGTTGGATTGCCAATATCGAAACGTAAATAAATGTATACCTATATACTTAATATTATTATTATCTATCTTAATTATTAAAATATACATCCGTCCGTTGAAATGTATTTCAATTTGGGATAGTGTATTGATTTTGTTAAAATTATTTGAAGAAATTCCATAACGACTTACACAACAACAACTATAATATTGTAAATATTGTTACTTTAAAAGGAAATACTTAACTTAATGCATAAAGGGAAGAAACCAAACGAAGGGGGGACGAAGCTATCGCGTTGAGCAGTAACGTCATGAGTTGGGATGACTGTGTTTCTTATTTTTTTTTTTTTTTTGGCACGAGAAGAAGACGGTATTATAAGAACATATAAATTCGGAACCATAAAAAATCATAGACACCGAAAAACTGAGACCACTTAAGCTTGGTCACAACCCAGCGAGTCACAACCGAAATTTTAGAATTAAAAAAAAACAACAAAAAAAAAATGTTAGGTTAGTGTATATTTGAAATTTATACTGTCACTGTCAATTGTCTCTGATGTTGATTGTTTTTTATTATACTGCGCCAATCGCTCTATATTCTAGACTTAAAAAAACATTATCCCTATAACAATAGTAAATGTAAGTATACGATAAATTTTATTTTTTTTTTTAGCTTTTTTTTTTTGTTTAAATATAACGAAACGATTATCTGTATTTACTCCACAGTTGTACAATTGTTATATTATTTTTATATACACACACACACACACATAATATTATAAGTATTACGGTTATAATATTTTTTTTACTCGCCATGCTGTCGTTTTTTAAGAGTAACTTATTATTGAGCAATTATGTTTCCATTTATCCCTCCCTCTCCTAAACCGCACGACCAAACAACAATAGTAGTGATATAATAATATTGCTTAAACTGTTTTTTAGCCGAAATTAAAACGAAAAAAAAAAACTCTTGGCTGCCTTCTTCGTGGCACAGCTCACCTGGCCCTTGATGGAAGGTTTTCAGAGACTCAACACTTCCAAACACTAATATTGTCAACGGATGTGTATGTGTTGTTTTTTGAACTACAGGACGGCTCGCGACTAAAGCAAATATTATTATATTTTTTTTAAATAATAGTAACAACAGCAGTTTTTTTATTTATAACAATAATATTGAGAATATAATATGATGTTAAAAAATCGTGATTTGATTGAGTGATTGCGCTAAGATCAGAGATTGTTCGGGATCGGATAAAATCCTATTCTTATCACTTTTATTTCTTAATAAATAATAACAATTATTATTATTATTGATTACGAATAATAACTACCGTGATGCTCTACCGAAAGCCGTTATTGTGATTATTATTTTTCCTTCGCCGGTTCAGTATAAAACAACAATTATTAATTACAACTAGGTACGCACTAGGTACTGTACGTTAATTACTATTATCGTACAACGGTTAAAACTATGATGTACACAATATTTCGGCGTACTTGCGCGCCTACAGTACCATTATGTTTGCACGCAAATCAATCGCAAGTCCGCGCGTTCTGGCACGGCCGACATCGCGCCACGCTACGGGGGAGGTACCTAGTGATTGTTGAGCGATAGCCGTGGCGCGAGTTGGCCCGGGCTGGGGGGGGTGCGATTGGATTTAAGCGCGGCTAGCGGAACCATGGGGAAAACGCCCTAGGGGCGATGGCTCGGGTGCGGCTGGCGTCAAACGCTGTCCACGCTGGTGAAACGCTCGCCCAACTCGTCGCACACGTGCTGGCCGGACGAAGGCGTCGGGCTCAGCGACCTCAGGGACGGCGGCCGGACCTCGTGCTGCTGATGACGGCGGTGATGCTGGTGATGCTGGTGCTGTCGCCGGTGTCTGTTGTAGCCGCCGCCGACGACACCGCCGCCACGGCCGCCGCCGCCGCCGCCGATTCCTCTTCCGCCGCCGCCGTGCCGGAACCGTTGCCGGCGATCCCTGCCCGACCGCCGCCGGCAACAAATGCAGCCCAACAACATCAACGCCAGAACCGCGGCCATAGTCAACACCGCCGACATCACCACGTTGTTCATGGCTTCCGGTTCAATCAAACCTGCGATGCAAACATGTTACATGATAAAAAAATGTTGAAACATGTTTGAAAAATATAAACACCGTGCTAAGACGTGTGTTCTTCGTACAGTACTTAAGCAACGGTGTGTATTTCAACCCAGCCGGGAGTAACCAACACTGTGACAGTAGATCTGGGTGTTAAAGCAAAAACCATAGGCGCAATTAGGGGGCTTAGGGGGTATTAGCACCCTTTTATGTATTAAAACCTCTGCTTTTTGCAGAATTGATTTCAGGTGGCTATCATACTTTGCATTACTTCTGCATCTTGTGAATGTTCTTTTAGTGCTTTAAGAAAAATGTTCATTTGCCATGGGGTTTCAATGAGAATAGACTTACAGGTTTGCCAATTAATTAACATAAAAAAAGTTATTGACACGTTTACAGAACAAGCAAAGCGTATAACTCTTATACTCTATATATTTTTGCTATAAAATTGAAATTAAAATAAACTTAAGTGTTAGTTATTATATTTTTATACATCCTTGCTCAAAAAAACCATTAACCTCGTTAATTTGAAAACCCTGAAAATGCAGAGCTAAGCCCCCCCCCCCCCAATTGTTTTATTAAAACTGCGCCTATGGCAAAAACTAAGGTTTAACTATTAACAATTAATTTTTTTAGTCGTGCAACTAATCAGAATCCCTTTGTATCGATAGCACAATCAATAATAAAAGTAAGTGATAATATTTTCACTAATTTCACTGAAGGTACTAGGTAGGTATTATGTAAAACATAGAGCAAATTATGTGTATTGCACGGTTTTAGTATAAATTTAATATTGCCGATTCTAAGTAGTTTTTTATCATCTTAACTCAACGCTTAGGAGCGTTTTCTTGGAAGTGATTTTATCGCCTAACGAGGTTCGCCTAGAAAGCGGTATATAATAGCTGTTATAGTATTGTTGTGTATTGTAAACCAAGTATAGGAAACCAAATATATAGCACGTATAATAAATCAGTCAGTCGCATACGGTTACCAAGATTGGTCGGGGGCAAACGAAATCGTTAAAATCGAATTTGAGAATATCGGTAACAGATGCCGGAAAAAAAAAAAGGATAATACAATATCAAATGCGCATTAGGTCGTTGACGAGTTGTTGGATTTCCTATGCCGACAAGAAAACAACGTTACTTATTTAGGCGATCGATACACCGTTTACTTCCGGCTGCTTCCGGCTAATGTCGTACCTACATGATGCGTTTGCCTAATACTCACAGTCGCTCTCGTCCGACTGATCGTTGGACCCGCAGTTCATCACGCTGTTGCACCGCAGCTGGTCGGATATGCAGAAGCTAGAGTTTTCGCACTGAAACCCCGGACAAGGGCCCGGCGATTCCAGCACTTCGGTCCAGACCGCACTGAACCCGGTGCCGTTTCCCGACTTGTCGGCCACCACAAAACTAGCGACAAAATACAAACAGTATATTATAAGAAATACAATTGGGCGTTCTCTCGGTCCGTACCTGATCCTGAACTGATTGGAATCGGACAAGAACTGCCACGGCCCGCTGGGTTTCTCGCCGCATAGCTCCAACGGCGGTTCGTCAATGGACGGCCAAAGCCTGACCACAGCCGTCGCACAGCCTCTGGCTGTAAACACACAAACACCAGATTTATAATCGTAACTTTGGTGTACCGTGGAAAAAACCTACTCGATGGATCTCCTTCGACCGAGAACGAAATGAAATTGAGCAGTATTTTGTAATTGGGCCTGACGTTTATGAACCAATTGCACGTCCTGCTCGGCATCCCCCTTTCCGGTGCAGTGTATTTGAGCGGGAAATTCGGACTCTGCACCTTTCCGGAATCCGTGTTGCTTATATTGCTGCCGCAGTCTGCGACGAAACAAAAAAAAAAAATCACCAAAAAGCATTAGCACAACCCAACCCGCAAACATATCAGAACGAATCACCTACCACCGAATATTGGCTTGGCCACGTCGAAAAAATATCTAGCTTTGAAACCGCTGTAAACGCCTTGGGAGTTGGTGTGCAACAGCACTTTCAAACCCAGAGCGCCCCGGTTGGACTCCAGCGGTCCGGGCGCCGTCATGCCGCAGTATCTGCCCACGATTTTCTCCGTATTGTCCTTGTAGATGTTGTATATCTCGACCCAGTCTTCGGTGCAAACCGTCACCCTAAACACACGGCAGGTCAGGTTAGGTCAGGTTAGGTCAGGTCGGGTCAGGTTAGGTCAGGTTAGGTATTGTCACCCACCCGAATTGTACAAGCGAAGTGTTCGCTCGGTCGGCTCTGATTTTGAATTGGTCGAATATCAGCGTGACCTGTTCGTTGGGGGTTGGCAAAAATAGGAACGTACAGTTTAACCCGTTGGGGTAGTTGGCCGGATGTCTGGGCGAATTGAAGTCACCGCGTTTCTTCGAGTCGCTGAGATAGCTAAAATGGCACGTGCCGTTCGGAGCCGCGGTGCCGGGTATCAGGTACTCTGTATTGTAGCGCAAAGTAATTAATTATATTATTATTATTGTTAAAATATTCATACTCACCGGTTTCGAACGTGTACTTGGCTTTGAAACCACGACCCTGCTGGTCTCCGCTACTGAAGACCATCGCCAGCCTGGCACCGTCGCTGACCAACACCTTTTCGTCCACTTCGTCGCCGCACATTTCGTAGTCGAACTTGTCGTACAGGTCCATGGCTTCTTGACCCTTCAGGTATATCTTTAGGTAGCCGTCCGTGCAACTAGTAAAAACAAACACAAACGTTTTGAAGCGAAACAGCAATGCAAAATGTAATGTTATGTTGTTTTACTCTTGGTCCGTTCGACGGGGTTTGGGAATGTCGAAAATGAAAAATTCCAGTTTCACCCTCTCCAGGTCTTGCGAGCCTTCCATGCCGTATATGAAATACCGGCAAACGATTTTCGGTATGTACGGAAACGGGAAGTTCGGACTGAATATATATCCGGACGAGGTTTTCTTGCTCAACACTTTTTGATCGCATTCCGTTCCCCGGATGTGTTCGCCGTCGTTTTTGCCGATGAAATCTGCAAGAATCGAGTGGTCAAAAATGGCGCATTACATATTTTAGTTTTGGAAACAGGTACACGCACCCAGTTTGACGAAGCTCTCGCTGAACTCGAACATGCCTTTGAACCCGCGGTTTTGCGTGTTCGTGGCCCTCTGCAGGGTCTCGAATGTTACATACAGCTCGTGGTCGGTAGAGTACACTACCAAATTCCGTTGCTGGCCGCAATGCTGACCGATGAGCGGACTGGTCGCGTTAGGACCGTCGTATATGTTGACAATGTCGAATGGACAACTGAAAATCGAAATTCGATGGTTAAAAAAAGCTCCGACTGTTTGGCAGTTAGGTTTGGTTGGGTTTGGTTGGGTTTGGTTAGGTTTGGTTAGGTTCGGTCTACCAGCGTCGTAGACAAACTCACTGCGGTCCGCCGTAGAACAGGTCGAAATCCCGAAATTCCAGCCTCACCCTCTGGCTGGGTTGCCCCAGGAACTGGTACGTGCATTTCAGCCCTTTCGGGTATATCCCGGGATAAGTGGGCGTCAGCACGTTTCCTTGCCTTTTGATTTTCGAATGTACGACGAACGAGCAAGGGCTGACGGGCGACGGCGTGCCCAATTGGAAATTGGCTGTGGACAATATTATTATTATTATTAAGACATCACGCCACGTGTGTAAAAATCACAGTGCCAGCAACACACTTACAGTCGTTCTGAAACGAAAACTGCCCTTGGAACAACGCCGACGAAGTGTTCTTGTCCGAGTAGAAACTAAAAGCTACTATCCTGTACAAGGATATCCTGTCCCTGGGCGGGATCAGGCCGCAATAACGTCCGCCGAACGGCGAGTTGATCAAATCTTCCGAGTCGACTTGCTGCACCTCGGAGTAGACGTCCACGTACTCGTGTATGCACCTGAAGACGAGCGAGTGTATGAAAATAAGAAAACGTTTGCCCGTTTTTGTCCACTTACTCTGGAGGAATGCTGCGCAGCTGAAAAGACGTGAACGACACGTAGGCTTTCTGATGCGATGCGGCCACGAAAGTGTACACGCACACCCTGGACTCGCCTGCGGTGTTGACGATTTCGGGCGCCCGAAAAGTGCCATTTTGGGGGCCGTTGTGACTGACAAACGTCTGATCGCATCCTGAAAAAATAAACGCCAATGTTGAACACGCCGGCGGTGGTCCAAGGGAATCCGTATATGTATACTAACCGGTAGTCACTCTCTGAACATTGGCTGTTCTCGACGACAACAACAACAACAGGAACCGGAACACCAAAAGTCTCCAACGGACATGCCAATAGTCTTCGGCCATGTTATGTCCTTAAAACAAAACACACCGGTTGAAGGTGTAAGAAAAATAGAGCGGCCAGTCGAGACGTTTCTGGTGTGGTGACTTACCATAGCGGCAAGGCAGTATGGTTTCGGCGGCGACGTCAAACTGTCATTCGAGAAATGCGCGTGCACAAACCTGGTTACAACGGCAAAACGTTAATAAAACAACAACAATATATTATTGGTAAAAACCCAGTAAATCCATTGAAAAACGTCCACTATTGAGCTTGTTCGTTGTTAAGCGGAGCTTAAAAGTGTGTTCGCTATTATATGCGAGTACAATCCATTATTGACAGCGATTGATAGTGTGCTCACTAATGATAGGCCACGGATACGCTCCCCTAATATCATGCACCTTTTGAGTCCCCTCCCCCACCCAGAGATCAAGTGTTAAGTGCGCGCCAATACTCGTTCAACAGCGGACACTTTCCGATTGCCCCCCCCCTCCGGCGGACGAGTACATATGTACTCAAAACTACCAGCTCCGTAATGACAATCACCCACCCGCAAGTGTATAGGCCGACTGAGTTCGACAAGCATAACGTGTACTTACGAATGACTCGCGCTAATCGGTTTTAACAGTCGTCAGCTGGTTTCCACGGCCGGCGGCCACTACCTTTGGCGTATTCCCATTGTCCGTATCGGTCGGTGCCAATATCTACCTGACGGCGGCCGTGTCGAGTACGACCTGGCGAGCGCGCCAACCCGTATCGGCGAGCGCGAGACGACCGCAGACGCGACGAACACTCGCTGCGGCGCGAAACTGGGTCACTTTTTCGCAAAACAAAATATGTCGTTTGAACGAGCGCGCCGACTAACGCCACTGACACGGACGCGTACGGTTTCGTTACGATAACGTTTTCGGGTACATGCGAATGTATGTGTGTGGACAGTTGTTCCGGAGATCCGGTAACGATCGTCCGGCCACCGCTCTGGCTCGAGATCCGGCGACAGTAGCTCTCACATACACGCACACACACACACACGCAGTCGAACACACCCGTTCTCGCGCCGCCGCCGCCGTCGTTCGAGGGGTGGCAGACGAGTGGTGACGGCGTTTGTACACAGAGTGCGTGTATTCCGCAGGGGAGGGGCTGTTCTCGCAACCGGGCTTGCGCGGCCTAGACGGCAGATCGAATTCACTCCGGCATTGCCCACGCCCGAATCGGTCAACAAACCCAAACAGCGGCAGCACGTTAGCGTACAGCGTTACGCGGATTCATCCCTAACCCTCCCTCCTTCCGGCTGTGTGCGCTTCCCCGCCACCATCATTCATTGCTTCGCGATCCGCCGTTTTTTTTTTCGACGAAAGTTCAACTCGTCTCCGCCGCGCGCCGCATAGCAGCTACGGTTCACCCCGAACAGAGGTGGCTGGAAGCTGTGCGCGTAATATCGTTATCAGCAATGCGGCGATAACGATAACGACTCTGCACACTCTATTCGACAACCAGAAGTCGACGATAATCTATCCAATAATATTCTATTGGAGGACACGATGTGGAATATACTTTTAAAACTAAAATTTGATCATTTTTCTGGGGCAGCGTCATGGCTAATTTTTCCAAAACCTAATTTAAATGTTAATTAGATAAAGCTATCAAAAGTGCTACAGCTTCTGATTAACATCCGTATGTGAACGGGTCACTATAATTTTTATTGAAGATGATGAATAAAATAAAAAGGTTTAAATTTACCAAAAATGTCTGGAGGGTTGCAAATTTGTGAAACGCATTGGACATGGGCAGACTGGCAATGGGAATCGACCCAAAATATTAGGACAGGGGATTAATACAAAGTGTTTAATAGGAATCCTAGTATGATAAATTTTAATATGAAAAATATTAATATGAAACTATTTAAGTTTACAATTACTAGAAAATTTCAATACATTTCGATTCGACTCATCTTATTTTCAGACCGATTTGTACGTTTAAGTATAAAATGTTGTATTTGAGCTTAGACATTTCGGTGGTAAAACACATTTTGTTTTACGAAAATATTTTTCGATAATTATCGATCATAAATCTTTGTAGGATCAAACTCTTATCAAGTCACATAGAAACTTAAATAAAGAAAAATACGGGGCGTCGTATATTTTCCTGTAAGACATGTTTATTAAAAAAAATACGGCCGCGACCGGGCTCCTTAAATAGTATACAAATATATGTATTTGCATATATGTAGATTTGGTTGCCTAGTTTTCGGCCCCTTAATAATTGAAAGAACATAGTGAATTTAAGAAAATGGTTTTTATTGAGCCAAAAAACTACAAATACAAATAGGGAAAGATATTTCCCACAGAAATTGAAAACGCATTTAAACGATCACGTTTGAAGAACATATATACAATATTAACATTGACTCGATTAAAAATAGTTGTGCTTTAATAATAAATAGTGGGTTACTTAGATCTAAAGAAATTAAATTATAAAACGATTAATAATTAATTACTGTTTTTGATAACAAAACCGGAAAATTAAATGAAAAGACATAGAAATATACTTAGATTTAAGTTACATTATTTCATAATTTAAATTTTATTGGCTAAAATGTCTTTATAACAAAAACAAATGAGTAAATCATTTTTAATTTATTACTTTTTTTTTTTTTTTTGAACCACTGACAAACGGTTTATTAAAATTAAATCAGTTCAAAAAAAAATTTCATAAGTAAATTTAATGTTAAAACTATTTGGTCTGAATAAATTATTATATAATATATATATTACTTTCCAAGCATAGAAAAATAAGAAATAAAAAGCAGTACTAAATACTAATATAACAGTATGAATAAAAAGTAAAATTAATATAAATTAACTGAAAGAATTTTCTTTTTTTAATTTAATGTACGTACAAAACAAATATAATAATAAATGTATATTTTCTACAAATATGAAATATTTACATTTTAAATTGCACATGATAACAAATTTTTTATTCTGAATTGTATACCACTGTATTCAATCCAGAAAAACAGCTCATCAGTATTTTTCAATATCGTCATAACGTTAAAATAACTGTTGCTTACAATTAGTAGTTTAATTATCAATTGATCAAAGTAAAACTATTTATATATTAACGGGAATTTCTATAAGATTAAACAGGTATTTAAAAAAAAAAAAAAACTACAGTTTAGTCAAAATTTAAATAGTTTCAATTAATATAAAACATAAAAAGAAATTGTCTTAGTACTTATGTATGAATGGATTACCTGATCTGTAATCAGCAAATTTATTGGACAAAATACACAAACATATTACTATTTAACCAGTTGAACCAATACAGATACTATGAGTAATAACATTCAAAGTTCAACAAAATTAAATTTATCAACAAGTAACATGAAAATGTGTAACTATATTTCCATAGTTTGGTACAAAAAGGACAAATGTCACTTGCTGGGCATAATAACAGATTTTTGTTTATATTAACATTGTAATACACTTAAATAATAATTTCTCGATGTTCGAAATTAAATTATTATATAAAAAAAAACACATTACACAAAGCACCTGTAGAAATAGGAACTTTTTATTTGTGATATTTGTCCACAGTTTTGTAAGAGGTCTTGTTTTTTTTTTTTAATGTTTTTACTTAAAATAAATTTTTAACTTAAATAAAAGTCCAAGAAGAAATTCGGTAAACAGAGTAATACGATTTTATAATAAATAGTAATTGTGTGTAATGTTAAGTAAAACCTTAAATATTTTAACCAAATTATTATATTCAATCGAATAAATATAAATTTATAATATTATATTAATATAGTAAATAAGTCAATATAAGTATATTCCTCATTTTACTTAGTTATGTTTTGATGGTGTGTTTTACTTAAACGGCCTAACATGATATTATTAGTAGTTGATTAAATTCGAAATGTATTATTCATCAAGTCAGGTAAAAATTGCTATATAATATTGATGGCACATTTGGTTCTAGAGGAAATACTGTAATATAAGGGCTGTAATTATAAATAGGCTAACAATTTATTAGCTAAAAATAAAAAACATAATATTTAATACAACCGATTACGGTTGCATATTTTTATATCTTCGTACAGTATTTTTAGTGTTGGCTTTTTAAAAATTATAAAACAAATAGTATGTAACATAAAAAGTCCAATATACAATATCATAAAAAAAAAAGAAAATTGACCAAAATCAATTTTCAGTAATAAGATGTTCAACAACAACTTATGAATATATCAAAAAAACTGTACAATTAAATAACTAAACCATTTCGGCATTTGTATTCTCGATTGGGTTCTCCTTGAACCGAGTAAAAGTGTTGAAACGGACACTCAGCTCTAGACATCTACAAGTGTCCACAACTTATCTTCTAGTTCTTGAAGTGAATTAATGTTTGCATCGCTATAATCACAAGACAGTGTGGCGTCACATGGGTTATCGATGCACTCGATTTCCTGGTGGTTCTCCACACATTTGTCCAGATGCTTGAGTAACTTTGTACGCTTGCCGAACGACCGATTACAAACAAAACAAAAAGAGTTTGATCTCGTGTCTGAGGCGAACTGCACGTGGTTAACGTACATGTGGGCCCACAGTATGTATGGCCGCGACGTCTCGTACCTGGAATTCAATTTAAAATTTAGTTATGGCACTGGAAATTTAATTGATGCAACACTACTAAATCCAACCTGCAGTAATGGCATTTATATTTGCCTAAAACATTGCCGCACAACGCTAAAGCCTTTTGTAAGTGTTTACGCTTGGCAAAGTGTTTTGGCAAGTTGATAGACACTCGTTTAACAAGATTCAATTTTGTGAGAAACTCTTGTTGGCTAGTCGAATGTGTTTTTTCACGTGTTGGTGAATCTAATTTCTCACATACCTCTGTTGACGATGGTTGTGGCGGAGGCGAAGAGTGGCATTTACATTCGTGTTGTTGACGGCTTTTAACGCAAGAGAAATATTTTTCACAAAGCGGACACTGATATAGAGATATCTCAAGAGGTAACAATTGTATAGAGCATTGTCTTTGATTGATTCCATCGGTTTGTTCTGAAGTGGATTTCTTCGATCTGAAAAAAAAAATATTAACTTGTTAAAAATTTAATCCATTTAAAAAATAATTATTTCAATATAAAATATTACTTTTTAACTTCAGTGCTTGCTGCAACTGTCTGCGTTCTTTTAGGTCTGGATCCGTTCATCAATGGAGGTCTGAAATTTAAAAAAAAACCTAAGTTTCTGCTAATAATTCCAATTTTTTGAAAATAATTTTTATATTGAAACCAAATCATTTAGATTTATTTAGATTTTGCAACAGATAACATTTAAACCATGCACATCTTATGATTGGTAATTTTGGGTCATTATGATCAGGCCTCACCAGAATCCTAATGTCAAACTATCTTAAGGTTATTAAAATAGTTAAACGACAAACAGAGAAAAATGTTTACTTAAAAAATATTGTAAAAATTAATTTTTTTTGTTACATACAACAACAAATTTGATACTATTTACTAAATATTTTGAGAAACTTACTGTTCAATTTGTACAGTTGGCACCATAATATCCTGGACTGGGACCGAAGAAATTTTAACTAATTTTCTGTATACAACAATAAATAAAACCATTAAAAAGTGATTTATATTAATAATTAATTATTTATTACCTGCTATTGTTAACTTTTCGCTGATTAATTACTTTTTTGAGCTTCCTAAAAAAAATTATAAATAAAACCACAATTTATTAATGAGTATGTTACATTTTGATGTATTCCTAATACAACAATCTTACTTTTTGGGTGATGTATCTATACTAGTTAAATCCACAGTTTGGTCACTAGAAAATAAAAAATGGAATCCTGTTTCTGGCGTAACTGAAGATCCAACCGACTTGTTGGTATCAACATCCGAGACCGCATAACAATGATCAGAATTGGAATCAAAAGAGGTACTTTCAGTAGAAGGTAATGCCGGTATGTCAGGAGTTATAATCATTTGTTCTGAATTATTTGGTGGTTGAGCTAGTGAAAATGTTCCTATAGAATTTCTTGGTGGAACATTAGACGTACCATGGGAATCAATGCTACAGAGACACAAGTACGAGTAAGACATTTTTTTTTGATAACACAATAAACAATTGTTCGAGTATAAATTATTTTTAAATGACAGTTAGGTACCTTGTAACCTGACGTATATTTCTCAGTTGAACGTAATTTATTTTACTTATAGGCGTGGTTAGTGGTTGACCAGTTCTTTTTTGCAATACAACAGTAGCATTCCTTTTTTTCACTATGTTAGATCTAGCGTTTACGTTTTCAATTACTTGTACATCGTCATTGTCATCGTCGTCATCCAAACATATGATTTCATTGTTGCTTTTACTATTCAATTTTTATTATACATACAACTTAAGCGTTAATTTACATTAAATATTTAACGAGCGCCAGTGAACGACTTACGCTGTAGGTCCATTCAATGGTTGTTGTAAAACAACCAAACTAGGCATACCAGGTTGATCTTTACTACTGTTTTCTTTATGCGGAGCTTCCTTTGTATTTACATTGTTATTGTTATTGACAATATTATGTGCACTGTAAATAAACCAAAATGTTACAATTTTATTTTCAACCTCTAAGTTTTTCAGCAGGTAAGACGCGTGTTTCACAAACTTTTGCTTAATAGGTAACTTCTGACTTATAACAGGTGCATTTTGCTTATCTTTAACAGGTGATGGACTCTTCATGACTTTTACAAACATATCATATATACCTTTTACATCGGAATTTTGTTTGTAGCACTGTAAAATAATAATAAGCACATATCTATAATATAATAGAAATTATCGAATAAATAGTCAAAACTAATCTATTTACTATCTACTATCATCATTCCCAAAATATAACTGGCTGACTATATAGTTTACATTCTTACAACATAAGTATAGTGATCATAAACTAATTTAAAATAATAAAAAAATTGACAACAATACCTAATTTTTTTTAAAATAAATATTCTACCCTAAATATATATATATATATATATTGTTTCATAGGATGTAAGCAAAATAGTTTATTGACAAGGACATAAAATTGACTACCCCAATAAAAAAGGTCTCATCTTATCTCATCTCTTCTCATTACTTCTCAAGGTGAATAAAATAAACATTCAAATCTATATTCTTATTATGTTTTGGACATTCTAAAAATTTCAGGCGAAAAACAGATATAAATGTTTTCGTAGGCGATACAGAAAAATATTGCATTATCAGATTGTGGTGACGATAACTCAAAATCAACAAATGTCAAGATACGACCATTTTTGTTGGAGCAGTCGAAATATAATTTTTATTGCAAACTCTTAACTAGCTGTTGCGATATTTCGGAATAATCAGATTTTTTATTTTGCTACAAAATGTCGAGTACAGTATTCTAAGAATTCCTTACCAAATTGTCAACAGGAACAGACAGAAACCTTGTCATTTCTTCTCTATATGTAACGTTATTTTTGAGATGATTGTTAACTATAGAAATGTTTGTCACTCTGCATGTATTGGCAAATCTTGTAAAGAAATCTATATGTCCAAAGCATATTTTACAGATATGTTTTGGTGTTGGATCATCTTCTGTTACCTATAATAAAATAAACAAATACATTTAAAACAATTATATTTAATAGTAAAACAGTCCAAAAAACAACAATAAAATATAAGTTTTAATAAATTTAAATTAAGACAACTAATATTGGTCATCTTAACCTTTGACCCTCAAGTCAAGTCATTCACAAGTATATAGAGTTTAAAAATTATACTATAATTTAAAAAGAACTTTATCCAATGTTTAGTTTTAGTATTAACCTCTAAACAGTCGTGTCCTTAAAAATCTCGTTGATGGTCGCTCTGTGGTGTTTACGTTGTCATATTATTTCTGTTTATAATAAGTCCCTAACGTAATAAATTTACAAAAAGTCACGATGCTAACACCACGTTTGCAAGCGCTTAGAGGATAAATAAAAGCCAATGTTAGCGCATTTTTCTTCAAGACGCTGACAGAAAGTCACATTCAGCAAAAAAAAAAAATTGGGATATAGTAACAAATATTTTTTTAGCAATTTTTTAATGTCAAGCGGCTCATACACTACGATCAAATACAACGGATTTACTCGTCGGTTATACCCATCGTGTTTAAAATCAAGATTCGACAGATATAAAAACTGTCGGTTTTTGCCAATACACTTCGGTTTTGACCAACGTGTTTTATTGTGACAATGAAAACCGACGTATTTCATCGTTGTATATGAGCCGTTTCAGAGTGACTTATAAAAAAATAACTATTTTTTTAATGTGATAAGAAGTATTTGGTTGTTGTTTATAATAACTCAATAAACATGGGTAATAATTAATAATATTATTATTAGTTATTTAATTTATAATCAAAATTTTGGATTTAATAATTGCTACAATTTGGAACAGGTAAGTAAAAAATGGTAAGAAAGTGCTACAGACTGTAAAGAAACTCAAAGCCTAGACATAAGGTTTACTTAATTTTATGTTGACCTCAATACATTGTTATTATAATATTTTTCGCCTGCTGTAAATGATAAACTGGTTATCAAAGGTATTTTTTTTTTTTTACTTAGATATTATAGTTAGCAGAGAAAATATAATTTGTTTGTCCAATACTGTAGATTTAGAGTTACACCAGTAGTTTTTAGACAGCAAACGAAACCAAATACCATGCAGTGAAGAATTAATTGAGTTAAAACTAAATAGAGCTGTGTACTCACAATAATCGTTAAAGTGTAGAATATTTTCGCAGCGATACAGTCCTTTTTCCCTTCTGGACAGAATATGTTGACCACATCCAGCGGATTCAAGAAACCACGGCCGCATACCCGACACATTTGACCGCCGCTCATGATGCATTTACTTATGGATATAAGTCTGGACGTTAAATTTAATGGAATTCTGGTCGCTAACGCACAAGTTCGAGCATTTTAATTTTCTAATCACAAACAGCAACCTCTTGGGCTCGCACCTGACTGTACACAAAAAAACGGCTATTATACATATGTATAAAATATATTAACTGTTAAGTGGATAAGAAAACAGCGGCTGGTCCAAAAGGCAAACGCAAACGGGTAGTTATCAATTAAACAGTTATATTATTGACAACCAGGGTTTTGTATCACCGTTTCCAAGGACGCTGTATATCATGATCAATGATCATGCATACATTTTTTAACTACGACCGAGAAAACAGAATAGAAGGAGAGAAGAGAATTATTAGTTATTACAGTGAACATCAATGATCAAGTTAACTGAGAGGAAGATAAAATATGATAAGTATTGATGATTATTATTTAATATTTTATTACAACAACGGTAATTATGAATCGATAATTTTACTTGCATAAAAAACCTACATGTAGGTACGTGCGGTTATTTTAATTAAATTACAAGTGGATGGGATTTTTAGAATTTTTTAAAAAGAAGTAGCGAATTTTTAAAAATTGTAATAGAGCATAAAGGGCGAAACAATTATTTTGAATTTGTATATCTTAATTAATTTTTCGGACCAAGGTGGCGAAGAGGCTGTGACCATAACGCTCCCTTCCACCATGGACTCAAATAAAATAATAAATTGTAGGCGTTGTGTAAAGAACATGGGGGGGATAAGAGAGTGCAATTACCCCCTCCCCTAACCATAAATTAGAAATTTGTATTTATGGCCGATTGTTCAAACAAGACTGGTAAAATTATTATTATTTATTATATTTAAATATAACTTTAATCTTAGAAAATAATTATTTCTCATTACTAGTTAAAACAATGTATGCTAGTGATCAATTTTATATCATTTATTTTGGACGATAAAGTATAAAAAAGCAATATTTTTTAGGAACAACAAATACATTGATTTTGTGGATATACCTTGCCCAATCCAACTGTGGTCTTTGATTCTGTGCAGCGCTTCTGGTTTTAACGACTTGAATAAAGTGTGTGTCGTCACTCGCGGTGAAAATATTTATATCGGGGTAGATGTAGACTTAATAACATGAAATGCATACCACCAACCACGTATACTAAATTATTACACAACATTCAATGTAAACAATGTATTTCATGGAGGATTTACTTAAGCGTCATTCCTTGGACCTTGGTATATGTTAACATGAAGTAGGTATGTAACACTAACACTAACAACAGCAGCTGGTGCTGCCTGCATGAGTAGCAACCGCCAGCTGCAAAATGCTCACGTGATCGATTGACTAATGCGCATGCGCACATCGTCATTTTGCGTTGTTCGTCAGCCGTGCATACACCTATTGCTTTGAAGCCGCTCCACGTGGCACACATTAAACTGGCTTAGAAACTTATCGTTGACTAAAAAAGCACGATTGCAAGTGGATTTAAAAGCATGATAGGTACCAATGCTAATATTGTAACGGTGCCTAAAACAAACTGTCAGCCGAAGTCAATAGTTATTGATTTCATTTGTATTTTGTAAGTATCGTGCCAAGGTCGAGTGATCCAGTCACACGATTCGGCACACGAGGACACGGTTTAACTGTCAGAGAATTTTATCGCTGGTGACATCAGTCTTTGGAGCCAACCGGTCATGATTATGACCCAATTTACCAATCATTCATTTGGGTTTGTGCCAAGATGAAACAAATACCTACCTAGTTATCAGAGCAATCATCACAGAAAGGCGATGAAGATTATAAACGATTATCGGACGCGTATCCAGGGAAGGGAAGAGTGTGAGACAGTAGTCCACTCCACTTGTCTTAATTTTTATGAATATTAAGGGTCACCTTTAAATTTGCTTTCTGAGTCAACGTTTATTCAGACCATCCCTGAAATTATTGTAGCACAAATAGTTAGGTTAGGTTAAAATAAGTAACTACAATATTCTTCGGTAGCTATGTCATCATTAACGATCACAATTTGTTCAATACAGTACCACTGTTGATAGTTGACTACGTTCTATTATACAGGGTGTTTCACGTTGTATAATTTTATTATACACGTACACACTTCGGATTCTTCAATTTTAGTTTCCGCACTTAATGAATGAAATTTTAACTTAACGGGATAATGTACACTTGGATCTTTATCCAAGTGCTTTTTCCGCACAGAAAATAGAGTCAAGCAGAATAGAGGCGGATTTAAAGCTCTAGAGACGAAGGTACGATTTAAAATGGCTTCTTGGTAGTAACTTGCTACCAAATTCAAAACAATTAAGATAGGCGAAAGTTAAATTCACTTACATAATTTTAATGAACGATATCAACAAGATGATGTCAAACTCTCAAGTCTTCTCTACGTGATTTTTAAAATAATACATTTACGAAAAGCCAACCAGGACTAACCTTGTAAAACCCTTATGGCCTTAGGGTTTTTTTGTCACAATGCTCCTTAGTCTTCGTTGAAAGAAATTATGAGAAGGATCACGAATGTCTCACCATTCTTGCCAATTCACCCAAATATGCTCTAACGACCACACAGCCAGGATCGAAGGACGAACAAAACGCTGTGGCTAGAAACCTACTACTATTAAATAACTCCTGTACAGTTAGACAACATGCATAACCCACTTTGGCGAGAAATTCCATCTTGTGTTTGCGTTACTTCCTTACAACAATAGAAGCCACTTTTAGAATTATGATGTAAAAAAAAATATATGCTTGTCGACGACAACTAAGAGTTTTTTTTTCCGTTTTGGCTTTATATAAATTCAGTTTTTAGCATGTATATAGTCATAACATAAATATTAAAATAACATATATACACAACTGAACCGATTTACCAATGAATTGTGATAAACACAAACCAAATGAGAGTTTGTGAACATGGAGATTCGATCATCGTACGATAACGGTACATTTACATGATTGTCAACAATTTCAAAGAAGATTACCAACTTAAGATTGTATTTTCGTTATTATATTATGTAGCCATCGATAATATCGGTAGAGCAACGTTGCATGAAAGTTAAAACTATAGGATTTAAAGTTTCCAGCACAAAACATGTCGGCGAAGGTTTAAAGGTACTCAAGAACTTTTTGAGACCTGGGGCACAACCTGAGTATTAACATTCCTTAAGAATAATCTACTAACACCAACATTGCGATTTTTAAACAGTCCATCATGGAATCCTTTATCTCTAATTCTTAAACAGATGTAATATTTACTGACTTTGAGAAAGCATTTGGTAAAGTGAATCATAATCTCTCGATACGTAAATTAGAAACAATCGGTGTTTCAAATCCACTTCTCTCTTGGCTTCATTCATTCTTAATTAATAGATCTCAGATAGTAAAACATAACAATCAAATACTATTAAAGTAACTTCAGGTGTACCTCAAGATGACCATTTATCTACACTTCTTTTATTTATAAATGATATAGTAAACGTTATAAAATATTACTTCTAGCGGATGATGCAAAATTATTTAAACCTACACAAACCCCCTCGGATGTGACATGTGACCTGGCATGAAACTAAATATTAATAAATGTTCAATAATGACTTTCACATTAAAAAAAAAATGTTATATTAAATAATTATTTAATAAATCGTAGTTGTATTCAACGAATGAACATTGTAAAAGATTTAGATGTGATATTTGACTCAAAGCTTACTTTTAGTGCACATAAACTACAAAGCATTATCAAATTCATACTTCCTGAAAAGAAGCTGTTCCGAATTTCACTGTCCTGATGTTTTAAAAACAGTTTACTTCTCTCTAGTACGAACTCGTCTTGAGTATGCTTCTCTAATCTGGTACATAACGAGTCTGTCTCCCAGAACAATCAATTAGAGTCAGTTCAAAATAATCGTCTACGTTACACACAGGTTATGATGCAATCTTAAGTCGGGTTAGAATTGATTCCTTAAAAATTAGAAGACAATTTTATATATTTATATAATCTTATTAATAACAATTTAGACTGCCCGGATCTTCTTAGTAATGTTCGATTTTAAATACATTCAGTTAATACTAGAATAAAAGATAAATTCTATGCAAAAAACACTAATAAAAGGATTACCAATTACTCTCCCGCTAATATTTTAATGTTCCTGGGAATAGTTAAGTATTGATATTTTTAACATTAGAAATCTAGAGCAGTCAGTTCAATATCTCTCGATAATACTATTTTATTAATATATCTGAATTTAATCAGCTATCAGGTTGCAAAAAAAAATACAAGCACGATGGAAAAAGGTTTTGAACTTTTATTTAAAAACGATAGATTTAGCTAGTAATATTAAAATAATGATGTAAAAATGTATGTACATGTTTAATTACGACTCGTATAGTTATTATGTACATATTAATTTCAAAATATAATAATAATATTTAAACGTAGGTACATATTGTTATTATGAAGTAACAAAATAATGTAAAACTAAATAATATACCATTTTGTTTAAACATCATAATAATATTATTATGTTTTAATATTAGCGTTGAGTAATCAACAAAAAGACAATGCAAGTATGTGTAATTAAAAAATAAAAACATTTTATGGACAATAATAATAATAATAATTATATAAAAAAAATGTATTTGACGAAATCCGCTATTAAAGCGTAAAATTGTGAGAAAAAGTCGAATAGAACGTTTTCGTCGTCGAAAGCTAAAAATATAATATAATTCAATAATCAATACACGATATTTGTATTATTGAAATAAACAAATAAATAACGATGCTTAATAATGTATTAATATCATTACACGATTATCGTTTAACGAATTATTTATTTGTAACCATTAACCTAAGTAATTTTTACACAAAATTATTGTAATATAATTTTATTCAAGTATTTATTATTTTGTATTATTAATAATTAATATTAAAACGGGAAAAAGTTGACGACGCAAACCGGTATTAGAGTGTTTTTTTTATATTTAATAAAAATTATTCAAAAAAATTACAACAAAATGTAAATATCGAACGAAACGATACATTTTTAACGGCAGAGTTGTTATAGACACCTATACATATTATTGTTGTGTTGTTTAATCTACCGTTATACATAATATAATACAATATATTATGTATAATGTCACAACGTTTCTGTATGCTAATACACAGTGTAAAGGTGTACATAATAATAATTCATATTTGTTAAAAATTCGCGCCTACACGACGTAGGTATAGGCGTAGTGTAATAATAATATTGTCTTCTACTGTGTTCTAGTAGAAACCGATGAAATATTGTAAGTTTATAATAGTAAAATCCGTAAAAATGCTATAAAATGTTTGTTCTTAACGATATTGTATAATAACATAACCGATAATATACAATTATTTTTCGATTTGAAACAACAGTTGTATCGTTTCTACTTACATGGCCGATCCTATAATCATTTTCAAAATATTTTTATACTTGGAATAAGGCAAAAATCAAATCAAAAAATATATCCAAAATGTTAATCCGGTTCAAAATTGTCAGTATATATATATATATTAACACTAGAGCGGAGACCGTAGAGATTAGTCTTCGGACCGATTCCGGTTGAGTCCATCTAACCGTCGAACCGAAGTGGTTATATATTAAATATACTATGTATTATTGTTCGACTGGTTAGGTCGATTTGTTCGGATAAACCTTAAAAAAAAACGGACTCGTTCGCGTAGTTCCCTAATGCCAATGTTCGACGTGTAATATTATTATTATGATTACGACGTTCTGTCTCGCGCGTCGTCGTTGAGCTTTGGTGTCCACAGTTGCCGTTCACGCGAACGGCCTGTATGCGTAACCGCCCCTGACCACGGCGTTGCCGGCGAACAGACGTCAAATAGACGAGCGGGGGTGGCGATAGCGCAGCGGCTGGTCTTCCTGATGGTGGCACACCACGTCGGGGGGACAGCCCACGTCGTAGAAAGTCTCCAGCGGTATGTGCTGCACGTTGGTGCCCATGTCGCCGACAATGTCGGAATTGGGCATGTACGTGCGGTTACCGTTGGACGCCCACCGGTCGCAGCTGCAACTGCATACCGACGTGTTGTCGTCGGGCGACATCGAGCGCTTACCGCTCATCCTTACCACCCGGAAGCTGCCCAACGGTAAGCTGGACATTGACCCATGGGCAGTGATCACGTCGCCTTCCAACCGCACAGCTCCTTGAGCCGCCTGCGAAACAGACAACGCACACAGTTATTAACAATAAACGGTAAACTTAATACAAAAAAAAGTTATGTACACATGTGGGATTTATGTGTATATATATTTGTGATACTGTGTTACCAACTTATCTTATAACTTTTAAGTGATAAGGTTCTAAATCCCCCAAAGATGGCGTAAAATGTTAACTTCAATTATCTCTATTGGTGTCATGTATACTTAGCAATCTAGTTTATACCTAGGACAGACACTCCAAGATCAAATGCTGTTTCCTAAATACTAGAATATTGAAATTTGCCTTTCGTTGTGAAATTTAAACACTATTTTTTTTTTAAATTCGCCTTGGGCTTGCTCGCTTTTATATAAATCATATTACGGATGGATACATACAATGTGTAATAATAACAATAATGTGTCACATCGTGTATAGTGGCACTTGTCGTTCACTATTGTTTGTACAGCGTTTCGGGGGCGCCGCCAACGTAGACACGATTGATGTAATGGCGCGTTCAAATATTTATCTTATGGTGTCGGATCTCGTCCTGTTTTCATCCCTTTAGCAAGTTTTTCTGGAAATTAAGTCCCTTGTCGCGCCGGTCGTCAGCCAAACCTACTACCAATTCAACGGTGTCGGTTGCAATGCCAAACAAAAATCGTCCTTTTCGATAGTAAGTACAATAATAAGTTGCTGTGCATTTAAAAAATCGTATCAGCAAATTGGTAATGTTGCTAAAGGTCTCTCAACCTGGACGATTAACACATCGAAATTCAGTTATTATTGCAGGGTTGTGTACCAGGGAGGAGTAGAGTACGATATTTACACATTATTATTGTTAGTTGTGTGTAGATATAATTTATTATGATTATAGCAGGTTTAGAACATGGCCGCTACGTTTTTGTTTGCATTAAACCTTTCCTTTCTGATTTCATTTATTCTGTGGTTAAATTACATAATAAACTCCAGTAATAGTTATAACAATACAGTTATTAAAACTATTATTTAAGGTATTCGACTTTGTTATTTTTAATTGTTATAAGACATATTTTTGTTTTAACGATTCTTAGCTTATCAATTTTTGATAAGGATTATTATCACAGACTAAATGAAAACAGATAGCTCACTCGGCCGAGAACAAAGGAAATTTTCAAAAAGACTGATAAGGGATATCAGGGCACAGGGGTATCAGTGTAGCCGGACGAATTAATATAAATTATTGTGCAGATATTTTACAATAATATTGTACAAACTTCTTATCAATCATAAGATTTAAATGATAACACTATATTTTAATGAAACGCATTATACGAAATTTTATACTCGATCTGTGGTCACGTGCCGTCTTGGTTTTTGTTTACATGCCGAGTGAGCTATCTGGTTTCATATTATAGACTATAGTCTGTGTTAGTATCATGGTTTTATGATAATATGTTTTAAGGTCATTTTTAAATATAACAACATGGCACCCAAACAGCAAAAAAATATTAATGTTCACTGAGGTCTCATAAATTGATAAAAGTTTATAAAATTGCAGTGATCAATAATTATTTAGGTGACATTGACGTTTTTTTACAATTTTTTTTTCTATTCAACTCCCATCTCCTTAGGGGATGAAGTCCCTGTATTAATAAACGATATATGTTGACTAGGTCAAGGCGTTTTCCATTTTGGTAAGAATTTTCTAATATTGTCCTAAAGCGAGCTGGACGTGTCCGGCTAGTATGAGTGATGATGATAACGTTATTTATTATTAATTTAAAAAAGGAAGAGGAGCATATAATATACACACACACAGTTTCAAAACGTCACTAGACCTTTTCGGTTGCAAAACGACATTGGTATTACTATTATTGTACAAAAATAAGAGTAAGAGATAATCGGATACACGCTGAGTCGGCGGATATTATTATTGTAAGATTTCAACGTGACACGCCCCATTTGTATTGTTTTTTTCTTGTACTTTGACCAGGCGTAGGATAAAATATTACTGTCCCTCGGCCATAAAAAAAAAGAAGAAAAAAACCAGCAAATAATAGCGGCAATAAGGAATAGCCGTAACCGTGATACAAACAGAGCACATAGAAATACGGTTGAAAATTATTATCTTTGCAGAAAATATGTTCAAGTAATTATTTGCCACCCAAGTGTTTCCCATGAACGGCAATCCGATCATGTTTACTGTGTAAAAAAATATATTAGATTTTTACCTTATTCCTTAGGTTTTTTTTTTGCCCCATTAAAATTATTACGCTTTACTTTGCATAAATATAACATCACATTACGCTTGTATAGTATATTATTATTATACCGATCCATTATGGATATTAAAATCTCGACAGCCGGCTTGATTCCGTTGCCGTTTTTTCTAATACCAATGTTTTAATACATTTTTTAATATTATTATCGATTTGTTTTGAAAAAGTTTCAAGCGCGTTTTAGCCAAAATATTGTAAACACTTAAATCGGATCCATCCAACTCGAATGTGGGTATGCTGTTCATTAACCTAACCCGACCGAAGCTTAATTTAATCCCCAATTGCCACCGACTAATTATATAATAACGGTTCTATAACAATAACGACATTTATAAGCCCACACTCAACGCCAGTTTATTGACAATATAATATCAGGTATATATTTTTCATGTAGCCTCCAAAACCCTCGTTTGTACTCTGACGGATGACTTAATAGTGCGGATTTTGTTGCCAATACAATGAACACTTTTTTAATGGAAAAAATGTTTTATACTTTCCACCTCTAATAAAATATACTTCCAACCGGAGCGATACATACATACATCAGCATGGCATACAAATTATTATGGTTATTAATACAACATGGGCGTCGACCGTTTAAGAGCATTTTGTAATTAAAGCTAAATTTTTTTTAGAAAAATCCATAGGTGGTACCAACGTTTTCAAGGGTAGCTGTAATTTCAGCGGATGCCTATTTTTTAACATCAAAACCTCATCTGTTAACCATTTTGTTTTTTACAAGGAATCGATAAAACATAACGTTTACATAAATTCGTTCGCTTTAATCAATTTTTTCACTTAAAATATTTACAGTTCAGTACACAGTACACGGACAACGAGTTATTCCGATTAAGTAGAAGTTGATTTTATGATTTATGATGTACTTAAGTGTTATTACAGCATCATTTCCCGGACTTTGGGCGCGATCATACATTATTTTTCTAGCGATGGAAATGGTGGGCGGTATCTGCTTTTAATAGTTATAGTCGTTACGAGTGGGAACACAAAAACAGGAATTTTCATAAACAATTTTCTCTAGACGCGTAAAACACTTATAAATACTCATTTCACAAATAATTTGTGAAATCTACGCATCTAAATTTAAAAATGTTTGCTAGAAAAGTTAGTAAAAAGTCATAACTGAATAGATGGTTTTGAATTTCGTAGATTTTTACTTTGAGTATTGTTTTTGAACAAATGTTTTCCGTACAATATTTGTATTTAGACCTACTGTGTTTATTATTAGTAAATTTTTCCGGACTTAAAATTAGCAGGATTCATTGTTTTTTTTTGGAAATCCGGATTTGATCTAATGTCTAATGCCTATAAGGGTCGAATCGATGCAACAATGTTTATCATATCAATATTGTGTCCATTGTCTTTGAGCAGTAATTTTAAAGCCTGTTAAAATTTGCAATCATGTTGAAACATAAAAAGGGAAATAAAGATTAAAGGTCTCACGGCTTACTGTTCCTTGTTCATGTTTGCGAGAAAAGATAAATAAAATGGCCAATTACTTAATAACAAGAAAATAAATACAAAAGTCACTCTGAAGTAAACTCTCCGATTATGCGGGCCACCAGCGGCTTGTGGCCACAGAGGGTGATAATTCGATAGCTGAACTAAATTAGTCATTCTTAAGAATCCCATCGTCAATAGCTGTTCTAGAAACCGCCAGACACCAAAATGTTAACCAAAGTTGCTGAGGGAAAGGGATCTTCAAATAGCTACTACGGCTTTGTGGCTAACGCTGGTGTATTTTGTCAGCATCTGATTGTAGGTCATGTTTACTTACAGAGCACAGGGTATGTACAAAGAAAAACAATGTATTTTCAACGTCGGCCGAATGCAGTAAACCCGGATGGGAAGAAAATCAAACAACCAAAATAGAAGAACTATTTGTTCAAATCCGGCACTTTGGAACTTCGGTGCAACTATACATTTTCATCCAAATATCACATTTTAAAATTTTTTTTACAATCAAATAAACGGCATTAAAGTTTATTTTACTTTGTGTTAAGTGATAAGAGACAAAATATACGTGATAAGAGATAATATAATATCCATTTCCTTGGAGCGGAGAAAATAACTTAAGTGTTTTTCATTTTGTAACGGTTGTAATTACCTGTAACGCCTCGGCTTCATCCCGCCGCTCGTCCTCCGTGTTCATGGTGACGAATCTGAGCACTAACAGATCCAGCGAGGCGGCCACGATGGCTAAACCGAACAGAATGAAGATTAGCGTGAACGCAACGTACTCCGGTTTCTCGTTCAACGTGTTGTTCTTCTGCAAGGCCACCATGTCGCCGAACCTGTTGACCACAGCAATAATAATAATAATAGTGCAAAGAGCACAATGAAAAGTACTACTTACCCTATGGTGGTGAGCGTGACAAAGCAATAGTAAACCGAGTCAAAGTACGGCCAGTTTTCGTAGGCGGAAAACGCTGCCGCACCACCTGCTATGGTCAGGGTGGATAGGAATGAAACTACGAATATTAGATTGGTCTCGGTGGCCTCGATGTGCCTGCAGCCCAGCCCTCGTTTTACTTGTCTGATCACTACCGACGAGAACTTGTTCAGCCGCTCGCCGATGCTCTGGAACATGACCAGGCCCAAAGGGATGCCCACCATCGCGTAGAACATTGTGAACAGCTTTCCCGCCGTCGTGTTTGGCGTCGAATGTCCGTACCCTAAACACATAATTCGAAAACCCTATAACCGACCCACTCGCATATTTTGGTTCTTCCTATTGTAGCTATTATGGCTGCTAAAACATCCTCTGTACACACAGGAATCTGGCATCTAGGAATATAGACAGGATCATAGCTGGATGCCGCGACACCGACAAAAGGCAGAATTCGGCATAAAATAGTTGCAAGTACAGCACTAACATTAAGTATTTTGATAAAGATCAAAAAGAGAATTAGGGCTACAAAGGGTTAGGTTAATGCAAAGGGTTTGCTGACACTCCAATAAAACAGTACAATCCATGTATCTCTTTGAAGATACAAAGTATATAAGTTTAGATTTTTGACATATTTTTAAATATCGAAATAAAGGAATTATATAATATAATTAGTATCTGTTAAAGAATAGTAACAAAGAAATCATAAAACCAAAGTTGTGGTGCACTAAGGAATGGCTGAGGTTGATTGTTAGTAACTTAAAATCGTGGGGAAATGTTTAATACAAACTTGACGGAATTTCGCTGCGGTTCAACTTCTACTAAACTGCACGATATTTTACACTAACAGGACGTGAAGTATGTACATAACTGTTTTTGCATCGATAACGACCTACCGCCCATTAACAAGATGTACTGCAAATTATGGCAAGTCACTTGTGTAGTGCTACCGAAGAGCTTGAAAACTGTTTCGGTTCGTTAGTAATGAAAGGCGTTCTGACAATGCAGTCGGTATAGCGACTGCGGAAATATTTTCCGAATCGGGGTCATGTTGAATAAAAGATTATATTAGCGGGTTTTCCTCGAGGATTGTAATCGTTTCTTCCGCCTTACAAGTCTGGATAATTAGGAAAAATCACTTCCCTCCCCCGCATGTCTAAATCGCACTAATAACATACACCGGAAGTTCAATAAGATTTCCCCATAAGTTTCCAAAATGGCCCTACCACATCGGATCAACTAGGATTCACCCCTTTAAGCGTTTCGCGTTGTTCCCATACCAAATCGAATAATGAAATAAGAAAGCAACGTACTGTAAATACTTTGCCACTACTCTTGCATTACACCCCTTTGGGATATGATTAGGATTTCCGGTGCTATCAGAGAAGTGCCCTGATAGATCAACCTTTACAGCAAGTTTTGGCTGATTTCCCAGTTCGTTTGAACCCCACCTTAACGCATTTTATTTACCGAATGGGTTTACTGTGTTCTTGAGAGCATATTATAATAATTATCACGGGTCATTTATAATCTCAATTGGTGTACACACTACTGTTGTGGTGTTTGATGGAAATTCTACTCAGAAGGTTTTATAAACTCTCAGCACGTAATCCTCTCGGGTCAATAGATTTTCTTCCACTGAGTATGTGCTTGTGCTTTGACGTTGGATTAAGTCGTCCAAGACTTAATCGTCGGACAGCGTATATTTTATACGCCTATACACTACACTCTACAGTACACATATCGCGTTACCTATGGTCGTGAGAACCGTGGTGGCGAAGTAAAATGCTCCGACGAATTTCCACTGTTGGCCGGCCTTGTGCGGTTCCGACTTGTATATTATCGTCTCCAACAGTCGATAATCGTCTGGCTTGATCCCGTACTTGGTCTTGATCATCCGTTCGACGGCTGCGAATGAAAACAAACAAAAAAAAAATTGATCAAAATCTAAGATAATATTACATGTGCATTTGACCCGTTTCCAAAAGCTAAAACGGTTAGTTGGAGTCGACGAGGGATGATTTTTTTTTTGTTTTCACCCCACACGACTACTTCACCCCCTTTACCGTGTTTCCGCCCTCTTCCGGCTTTGCGCTTAAAATAATTAGCGACGAAATTAGCACTTTTAATTGGTAGCACAACGTTAATTAACCGAGCCAGCCGGTCCAAGGTTGTTGCCAACACAGTGGCGGCCAACGTTTATGCTATCAACTTTACAGCCAATCGACAAAACATTCAAAATTATAACCACAATATCAGACTGTAGAAACAAGCTGCCTGCCAATCAATAGTGCTATGTTTGAAAGCGATTGCTAAACTGCGAACCTAGATAGGATTTTTTACATACCCTCCCAATCGGTAGTAGCCTATTCGAATGATATAATATATATTTATTGGTAATATATATTTAATTGATAAAGGCGATGTTAGTTGTAATAATCGTTGTTGTTTGAGTCAATAGATAAAAGGGCCAATGTGCGTTTTCCAATTATCAATTTTCGGTAAATGTGTATAAAAGTTTTTTTTAGAAAATGCGATAACTTATGGTTCGTTTAATATAGAACAACTAATACACACAAATATTGCATGACAAATAGTTTGCTTCTTAACTGAAATAATTAATCATCGTTAATTGCTGTTTTGTTTAATTAAATAGTTCGCTATTCGTTCATCACAATACGCATGTATATGACATTAATCAATAGTAAATTTAATCAGAAAATTTAAAGGTAGATATAAGTAAGTAAGTATACACTACTTACAGTCTACTACTTAGGGCCGTTAAGAACCGTTTGCTATATTGATTAAATATAATCGAAGAGGGGTTTTCCAGTTATTTTTTAAACTTTCACGGTTTTGCCAAAAATTCTAGGAGTTTGTGACCGGAAAGGACTATGAGGATTATAATTTTAATTTGTATTGCTTGGAAAGTCTCCAACGTTTGCACAATCTCATAAACAATCTGTCGGTTCAAGTAATAAAGTATTAAAAATTACACTGCTACTGAAAAGTGTATTATTTTTAATGGCGAAGGGTATTTATTTTTTTATTTACTTATTACACGATTTGCTCAGGTTTTTTCTGTATTCATTTTTTCGTTAATTTAACAAGGTTTTCTGTGGTCTGTAAGTATTGCGCAATTGTCATTATAGCTGTTTATCTTGGCCTCCACTAAGTATATACTTGCGATTTGGTCATATAATAGAATTTTCGAAAAACAAATGACCAAAATGAATAATATTATATGCTGTGTCTTGTTACACGCTGACACCGTCCGAATATGATATTTTTTATTATTATCAAGAAGTGGATAGAGTGAATGAAAGAAAATATGGTGACGGATAGGGATTTTTGGAGAGATAGAGAGGATTTGACTGGCCGACCCAATTTGAACAGTATATTATGATGGGGTGAAATAAGAAGAAGGAAATATTATTGAGTTTCGTTAGAACTGTTTCAACGTGACTTTGCCCCTTTAGCTACGGCGAAAATTGAATTTCGAAAGGCACCGGAATATGCATTTTAAAATAAATTTAACGATAATAATATTTACATTTATAAGGTCGGAAGTGTTTACCGTGTACGGCGTGGATCGCGGGGATTTGACAGATTTACATATTATATTTTTGTTGTGTATACAAATCTGTCGAAACCTCTTAACCACGGCGGCCTAAGGGTTGTGTGGAATATTTCTTTTAAATTCGAGCCAGGGTACACACGGATCGTGTGACACTATAGTAGCAAGTATATGCAAGTGTCCCGGAAGTATACATCCGGTACAATATCAGCTGTGCTCGCACGCGCCTTCTTTTCTGTCGACCTCGAGTGAATACTGTTGGGAATAAAATAATAATAATGATAATTATTATTATTATTTGTTTCGCCCTTTTGTACTTATTATTTTCGTCATGGTCTAAGAAAAAAAAGTATCCGCCGGACCGTCACAGTTAATCCACATAAATCCAACAGCGTAACGATTTTCATAAGCCCGTTAAGTCCCTTTAAGGAAAAACGTCGCGATGGCGTTTCTCATTTATTTTGCGTTTTTCCGAGGCATTCATTGATCATCTCAATATTACTGTGGCCAATATGATCACTTAAGGGTAAACTATGCAAAATGCATGGATTCAAATGCGACGATTTAGAGAACGTTTGCTATACGTGTGATTTTATTAAAAATACTTAACACATGCGAGTACGTTAAGTAGCAAAGTTTCCAAACAGGAAGCTAAAAACTTTCCGAGTTCTTGGAAGTTAAACGATAAAATTCAAAAACTCAACGCCTTCGGTTGATAGCAAGTTATATAACCGTCGTTAGACACAAGAAGTTTTCCCTAGTCGAAACCGATAAAAACAATTGAAAGTAGAAGCCATTTTAACATAATATACATATTTATATTTATATTTTATTCGCACCTAATAAAGTTTAATATGAGGAAAATTGCTTGGCTTCGCACTGTTTACCAAAGAAAGTAAATCAAAGTTAAAATTTTATTTGTAACCCCACCATTGAGCGATTTTACTTATTTATCATTGATTTTATCAGTACCATGATAATTGAATAGGAAGAAAATAACACCAATGCCAATAATTGTCAACCTTTAACTCAAAATAAGTAGAGGAAAAATAGACATTAAAGAATGTAACTACAGAAAGTGCTAAAATCTTAGACGGCAAAGATGAGATGTAAATAAACACATTCTTTGTCATAATTGACAAATTAGTTGTGGAACCATTGGAGAGGTCAAAAGTTAATGACTGATTATGGTTTTTGAATGACATTTTATACTTTAAATGATAAATATTAAAATGTAGTTTTATTTATTTCAATGTGATTTTTTTCTCCATAACTTGAACAAATATTTCCTATCGTGGATCCTTTTCAAGAGCCTAAAAGCACCAATTAGGTAAATCTGAGCATTTATATGTGTATAATATTATGCTGTTATAATAACTGTTACAAGAATTTTGCTTATCGTCAACCCAACAAAGTGAAGGCGTTTTTTTTTTACATCCTTATGCGTCAACGATACTCAGCATTGAGCGCAATGCGGCGGTTGCTGCTTTACTTACTTTTAATTTTTTATACTTCATTATTTTCCAGAATTTCAAATGCTTGCTACGAGTCCCTGAAGAGCTGAAAACTCTTGTTCTTCGTCGAGGAAATATAATTGGCCCAAAAAAGTGCACTAACCTACCAAACGTCACCCCGGTTGTATGTTTTTTTAATTTTACCTACACAAATGTATCGTTAACACGTGCAAATAAGAGATCAACGGCATTTTTTATATTTTAGTAAAAATAATTGCCACGAGCGAGTGCGCAATATGAATCAATGTCATTGTTTTTAAGAGTATAAATTAATTACTCTCCTCTCGCTGTCTTTTTCTCTTATTCACTTAATTATTCTTCTCTTGACATAATTATTATCCAACCGAAATGCTGGGGGAAAGTTAAGCCATGCCAAACCATTGATCAATAGAAAAAGACTTGCACCTGTCACGAGACTACTTTTTATGCAAAAAAGAAAGCCGTATTGATCCCCAAGTGCGGCAATGCACGCCTAAGTATAATAATAATAATAATAATGGTTATTCATTTTTTTGTACATTTTTATGAAATATACTAATATCCCTTTCGCAGTTGGAATGTTTACCAGTATACCTTTACACACACACCCAACCGAGTCCACCTCTTCGGCGGCGTGCATGTACCCTTCTTATGGCGAGGGCATCGTTGTGGCGGCGGCGGCGAACAGGCCGAGTCGGCTGTGATTGATGTGGCGTACTGCCTGTGACGTCATTGCGTGTATCCATGGCGACCTGGCGCGGGGCGAGAAATAGACGCCGCCACTGCCGGCACCGTTTTGGCCGCCGCGGTGTGTTTTTCTTATGCGACTATGTCGTGCACGTTTTCTTATTATTTATCTGTTTATTATTATCCCCCGTTTCGCACCCTCCAGTAATAAACACCCAGTATATTATAGGATGATCTGACAAAAAATGGCAAATATTTTAAAATGTCACAACTTAAATTTATTTTTAAAAAGTTTCATTAAATCACCGCAAAGGGCGTAATGCGCTTAAAATTATATTATACGAGTACGTTTAGACAATTTTATAAAGACAAAATTATAAAAGCATAAAACATCATTATCAAATGTACTCACTTGGAGTTACGTGAGTGATAGGAAGTAGATAACTCAGTAGAAAATAAAAAACATTTAGATCCCCTCGCAAAAGAGTCAGCCAATCAAAGTAGTGGTATCTACATTGCGGCCAAGTCTGTTTTACCCATGTCTCATTCAGAAACTGGCCAAGTGTTAAGCAATACAAATAAAAGAGCAGTGTTGCTCATGAAAGTAGGACTGAAGTGAGGTTATTAACTAAAGAAATAGCAGACTTGGCCACAATGTACATATCACTACGTTGATAGGCTGACTTTTTTGGAGGGGGTCTGGAACTTGGCTCCTTTTCACTGTTTTTGTTGGATTTGATATTACATAGCAACCCAGAAATTGTCTACAAAGTGTAATTTTCCCTTTTTTTTTCTTTTGGTTTTCCTTAACATGCACATCAAAATATTTATATTCATGTTTCTATAAGATATTCCAATATCGCCCCGCCTTAAATCTAGTGACCAAAAGAAAACATTTTTGAAATTTGTCCACAAATTTTGAATGCTGCTGCCAACTCAAATATTTTCCGGGTGAAACATAAAGAAGGTCATATCATTTAAAATTAACACAAAAATTTTAATGCTTTCCTAATAATCAACTACAAGAGAACAACAATTAGAACTTTTTTTCACATTTTTTTCTTGGTTTAGGTGGTACTTTGAAGCGAGGATCTGATTTTTTAATAATGTGAAAAAAATACTAGTTGTACTCATCCAATTTTCGAACTCAAATAAACACATTGGTTTTGAGTGTCCAATCCTTTGATTTATTCGTTCCTTTTTGATTACTAGTGTCGCATCGATGAAAAAAAAACAAAATAATAAATAATTGTAAGACAAACATCTAATACACGTGTACCCTCAACATAATTACTAAAACGTTTTATTCTAATATGTTCAATAAATAAAAAAATATTAAACAAATATTATACATATACAGGGTGAATCGGTAAGGATAAACCCTTATATTTTATTCTTAGAATATTCGCCAATTCGTAGATTTTAAACTTCTCCCGTCTGAAAAAATATCAAATATTCATATTTTCCTAGAGAATTATTGGATCACCCTGTATGAAATACATGCAGAATATCAGCTCTAGATTTGACGCCACGGAAATTATTGTGTAAAACCAGTAGCCAAAAAGAATAAGTTTAAACTCTGCGTTGAAATAATATACATAATAGGAAACCTTAAAAAAAAAATACACCAGCTATGTCAATAAATCAACTTAGGCACTCCGCAAAATATATTAGAGTTTTGGTCGTTGTATAAGCCCATATAGCACAAATAAGTCACTTCTAAACCGTTAGTCAAGTTCATCCAGTTGACTTGAGTCATAAAATATATTGTACCATTTCAATCGTTTAAATAAGCAGCAAAATATGTAAGTAAGCTTTTAATCAGGTATAGGAAATATTTAAAACACCTTAATTTTAAAACGCATTTGAAATACACATTTTTATTTTATATTTTGAATCTTAAATATAAGACAAAAAATTTACTTAAATTCACTAAAAAATTCTATAAAATATGCAATTTCGGGTTTTGTTAAAAAAAAAATTAAATGGTTTGTTAATATACAAGTAGTTAAATATATATTATTGTACAGAGTGATTCTATAAAATGATTTTTTAATATTACACAGGTTTAGGAAGACAATTTTTTTTAAACATTTTTATGTGTTTTTAATACAATGTGATTTCAATTATTCACAAACTTTTATGTTCTTACCTCTCTTTAAAATTTGATATTAATATATAAACTTTTGAAAATTAATTGTTTACATACATATTATTTTATTAAGAGGACTGCATGCGGTCTGTTTTTTGACGGTTTACACCAAAAACTAAGACAAAATGTGGACTACTTAGGATGGCCCGATTTAAATTCTGTTTTATGTGATATAACTGTTATATTTTTTTTAGATTCTAATAGTATTCAACTTACACCGCCATACAATGACGTTCAATGGCTTGCTTCCTTTATCTGTGTTGTTAATTAGTTGTTTAAATGTCGTTTCGGGACATCGATGTTATAATTTACCACCTATGCCAAATTTCGATCCGAAACAAGTATGTCCAAGTAACGCATCTGCTCCTTGACAGGATATATTATAAGAAAAAAATACATTTATTTAGTACAAATTTTGAAGTTTTGTAATCCGTCACTAAGATGGTTTCCGTCGGTCATTTTTTATTGTTTTTTCATGTCAACTTCCTCCCCCCCTGCTGTACTCTAATTATTCCTTTATACTTGCATTGATCTGCCGCTTTTCCTATAGTTTCTTGGCCCATTGTACGTCATGCAATCGACGGAAGAGCAACATCGATGCATGGTGTATGATTTTTACACACACACACTGAAAAACATTTGGAAGAACCAAAACGTACTCTGTCAAGATCTCGTGGACTGTAGAGGTTGTAGATATAGTGAAGATTGTATGGATTGTAGAAATTGTATACGTTGTAAGGATTGTATAGATTATAGAGATTGTCAGGAATGTGTAGGCTGTACAGATTGTACAGATCTAATAGGTGGTGTATGTATGACGGGATTCAGAGGCCATAGAGTCGAAGTCGAAGCTAAATATAGTTTTACTGGAGAATTGGTAGCCGATCCAAATTTACCATCATTATGAACTGTTACTTCCAATATTCGTAAGTACTTAAATTTTGGTAAATACCATTGTATTTTGTCATCTGGTTGACAAAACCATTTCTATGTACTGTGCTCCATTAGATTTAAATTTTAGCTAGATGTTTGTTTAAAAAGTATTTACCCTGTGTATCTCATTAATATTTAATGATTTAAAGATCTAATTAAATTTACTGATCTATAGTGAACGGAATAATATTATATAGTAACCTAATTGGTAATTGTTACAGTTCACTTTGCAGCTGGCGTTGATGGAGAATTAAAATTAACAGTGTTCACCACTGACTATACAACCCATGCGGGTGTATACGCGTGCCAACAAACGCCGGAAGGCTACAATCATTCTTTAACTATTCTGTTAAAGAAACCGCGCAGAACAATGTAAATTTATTGATATTTATTTTAATAAAAAGAAAAATTAATAATTTAAAATTGATTCTTTGCAGTAAAAAAAAATACCTTTTTATTTTAATTTGCAGTTGATCTCATTTATACTTTCGGTTCGTAATAGACCAGATGATATGGATTTCTATATGGTTAACCATAACAGCTGTTACCATCCTTATAAGAAATTCAAAATGAATAGAAATGTTCGGATCGATGATGGTGAAAGAGTTTACGTTTCCGTCAGTTTTATGGCAGAGCACAATATCACACCATACGGATGCGTTAAAGTTGATTACTAATCGATTCTAAATTTTTATAGCATGAAAAAAATACAGCTAACCCGATCCTGTTATAATAATTTTAATAAAACTTGGAACTCGGTAAATTCTTAGACCTATTTGTTTAATTAAAGATTTTTAGCTTAGTATAAATACTAAGCTAAGTCAACCGCGTTACCCACACTAGACACTAGTGAATGTGTAGACATTTTACAGCTGTTAGTTTCAACTAATTAACTGCTTTGTTAATGAACTAACAAAGTAGTAGTTACAACGGTTTTTATTCTAACTACAAAAATTGGTTTCTAGCGAAATAAAATTCTCTCTCTTCTGACTTTTTAGTAAAAATATTCGATTTATTTGCAAAGTTCTTATTATTCATTTTTATTTATTTATTTATTTTTTTATCTCTGATTTACAATAACTGCACGCATCGATAAAAAAAACAGTTGCCGTTTGCCGCATTATATACGTCATTGCGGGTACGATACAATTCAAATTGATACTAGTAGTAATCTGTTTCTCCTTCTTCTGCCATTGCATCTCCAATAGCTTTGATTCAATCTACTCCAATTGGTTTATATAACATAATTTTTTTAGCACTTAAAATTGTTCTAGAATCAAATCCGGGATTGATTTATTGACCGTATTAAACCCGTTTTAATTCCATCAATGGGCATTACTTTAAGTAGGTATTGTAAAGTACATAAAAGCCTTCAGGAAATATACAATTAAAAAATTACATTTAGCCGTATTACTACAATCTCTCCGCAATACAAGCACGGTGTATACACGATATTTGTGGTCTGCTTGTCGATAGACTTAATGGAGTGTTGTCACTACCAAAATTTACCCACACAACGTTTCACAAAACAAAATCATGCAATAATGTGTTAAACCAAAAGCCAAAAAGAAATAGTTTAAACTCTGCTTAAAAGTATTGTACATAATATGAAATCGTTTAAAATATTAATACACCAGCAATGTCAATAAATCAACAGTATGAGCAGTATAAGCACATAGGGAAGACCAAAAAAACTTACTTCGAAACAGATTGCCAAGCTCATCGAATTCACATTAGTCATAAAATAACGTTTAAGTAAGTTGCAAAATATGTAAGTATGCTTTTAACCAGATACAGGAAAAATTTAAACTACATTTTATGTAAATGCCATATTACCTAGATTTGCTATTTTATTTTTATTTGGTTCAATGTTAGTAATGGAGGAATAGGTATATTTTCATTTTTTAATAAGGACCATAATTTGATTACCATCATTGCATTCTTGCCATCTGGGATATTCTAACCACATGACTTAACCATTCTTAAAAGTGCTCCATTAGATATATTTTAGCTACATGATTGTTTAAAATATATTTACCTGTGTATCTCCTTAATATTTAATGATTTAAAGGTCTAATTAAATTTACGGACCTATTATGAACGGAATAACATTATGTAGATACCTATTTGGTAATTTCTATATTTTACTTTGCAGCTGATGTTGATGGGGAAATAAATTTGGCTGTGTTCACCACTGACTATATAACCCATGCAGGTGTAGACGCGTGCCAACAAACGCCAGAAGGCTACAATCATTCTAAAACCATTTTTTCCAGATCAACGGTCTTAGACGAAACCGTGCTGAACAATGTAAATTCATTGATATATATACATTTTTTTTAATAAAAAGGAAAATTAATGAATTGAAATTGTTTCTTTGCATTTAAAAAAACTACTTTGTTTTTTATTAAATTTACAGTTGATCTCATTTATAGATTTGATTCATACTACACCAGATAATATACATTTCTATAGCGTTGGCCATAATGACTGTGACCATCCTTATGAGGAATTCAAAGTGAATAGAAATGTTCGGATCGATGATGGTGAAAGAGTTTACATATCCTTCAATTTTATAACATACAAATACACCACACTATATGGATTTGTTAAAGTTGATTAAATACTAATCGATTCTAAAGTTTTATAGCATGACAAACTACAGCTAACCCAATACTATTTGTTTAATTAAAAATCATTAGCTTAGTATAAATACATTTCTTTATGCATTGTTAAATAAAACTAAACTGTACCAGATAGTATTTACAAGTAAACATTATAAGAAATTGGAAATTCCTTAAAATTTATTTTATTTTTTATTTAGCTAAATATACTAGTTAATATTATCCTATGTTTCGTTACCATTATTCACTGTGATCCAATCTAATTCGGCTGGCTACTGTTTTTTAATAATTGTAAATTTTAATATTTCCAAAACTATATAATTACGATAGTTTTAGTACAATAAACCCATTTTTCTTTAGGTTAGGTTAGTGAAGTGTCGTTATTCTTTAATCCTACTGAAATTCTCCAAATGTGTAGGTATATTTATTATAATTCAACAACTATCACTTTTTATAATCTAAAAATTAGTAACATTATAATTACTTCGTAATTAGTGAAAAGGTAATGATTGTGAGAATAAAAAAAACTGATGTTCATTATTCGTCATCAGGATTATATCTATTGAGAATAAATATAAAAGTTTTGTAAGCTAAAATATTTTACAACAAATTGATACTTTAAAAAATGGTAAGCATTATATTTCCACATTATCATAATAATATAAATCAAATTGATGGTGCTGATTTTATATTAATTTAGAACGTTGATAGCATCTAGGGAGGTTAAGGGAACTGACTGGGTTAATGTGAATAATAATTATCCTATTAAATTCATACAGATTTTCAAAGTAAACTTCAAGGTTTCCAACACACAGCCTATTAAGACAGGGAGTAAAATAGCGATGGGGAATAATAAAACAAGACACATTTAATCAAATAAAGAACGCCTTGCATCATGCTTCAAAGTAATCTTAACCCAACTAAGAACGCCCTTTCTGTCTGTCGTATATTTTTCTCAAAAAGTTCATCAATTAAATAGTGTTTTAAAATTTTCTATTTTTAAAAAAGGTAAATTTTAAATTTTACTCTCTTGGTAGATCTAATAATTTTAATTGTTTAGATATATAACTAGCACCGCGTCGAATCTATACATATAAAACACTATAAAAAAAATTAAATTATTATTAATTAAATCCAATGAGATATAGAGTGGTTCACGATTAAAAGATCACGCTAAATAAATTATTATAAAGCCCAAAATTTGGGGTTTTTATGTAATGACAATTTTTATATTTCTGGCTAATAACACGTTGTGTCTATCAATGTGATATAACTGTTATTTTTTTTCTTGATTTTAATAGTATACAATTTACGTGGCTTTTTAGACAGTCATACAATGGAGTTCAATGGCTTGCTTTCTTTAGCTGTGTTGTTAATTAGTTGTTTGTATGTCGTTTCGGGACATCAATGTTATAATATTTCACCTATGCCTAATTTCGATCCGAAACAAGTAAGTCTTAGTTATGCATCTGCTGCTTGACAGGATATAATATTATAAGAACAAACTAAGATAGTTATCGGTAAAGCTTATATTATAGGACACCAACGTCGGTCGTTTTTGATTAATTTTTCATGTAACTTCCTTTCCCCATTTCCCCCCCCTCCCTTAGATGTTTAAATGTCAACAGAAAATGTGACCCGGAAATTATAATTTAAAATTAATATTTTATGTATTTGTGTGAGATAGCAATTTTAATCAAACTTGGTACACTAATGACTTGCGATCTGAGAAATATACTGGCGGCTGGGGTAACACCTTTTAAGTGCAAAGGGCAGGAAAAATATATAAAATTATCGAAAACTAAATTATTTTTATTTATTAGAACATCTTCTAGCTGCAATTTGCTAAAAAAAAAAAAACAACAGACAAAATTGTTTAAAAATATATTGTTGTTGTTCTAAGTAAATTCTGTGTACTCGTACTGATCCGTCGCTTCCTTTTTTAGTTTTTAGGACCATGGTACGCCATACAATCAACGGAAAAATTACCTAGATGCATGGTGTATGATTTTTACACACTGAAACTGAAAAACACTCGAAATGCCCGAAACGTAAACTATCTAGATGCTTTCATGGACTGTAGAGGTTGTAAAAATTGTAAAGGTTGTATGGATTGTAGAGGTTGTAGAGATAGTACAGGTTGTATAAACTGTAGAGATTGTGTCGGTTGCGAGGGTTGCATGGATTGCAGAGGTTGTAGAAATTGTGTAGGTTGTATGGACAGTAAAAATTGTACAGTTCTAGTAGGTGGTATAAGTTGTGAGCATTGTGTGGATTGTAGAGGTTGTGAGCGTTGTAATAATTGTAAGGCTTGTACAAATTGTACAGATCTAGTAGATGGTATGGGTATAACGGGATACAGAGGCTCTAGTGACGACGTTGAAGCTAAGTACAGATGTACTGGAATATTGGTAGTCGATCTAACTGTACCATCATCATGGACTGTTAGTTCCAATATTCGTAAGTACTTCAATTTCGATTACCACCATTGTTTCTTGGTTCATCTGGTTGTTCTAACCACACAATACTAAACCATTTCTTTATGTGCTCCATTAGATTTACATTTTAGCTAGATGTTTGTTTAAAAAGTATTTACCCTGTGTATCTCATTAATATTTAATTATTTAAGGGTCTAATTAAATTCACTTACCTATGGTGAACGAAATAATATTACATAGTTACCTAACTGGTAATTTTTATAATTCACTTTGCAGCTGAAATTCTTGCTGAGAAAATGAATTTAACTGTGTTCGACACTGACTATACAACCCATGCGGGTGTGTACGCGCGCCAACAAACGCCGGAAGGCTACGATCATTCTATAACCATTTTGTCTAGATCAAAGGTCTTAGACGAAACCTTGAAAAACAATGTAAATCATTGATATCTATATTTTTTTTTTAATAAACTGAAAATTAATTAATAGAAATTGTTTCTTTACAGTTAAAAAAATACCTTTCGGATCATAATATACCAGACGACTTGAATTTCCATATCGTTGACCATAACGACTGTGATCATGTTTATGCGAAATTCAAAGTGAATAGAAATGTTCAGATTGATGATGATGATACATTTTACGTTTTCTTCAATTTTATAGCAGACAAAGATACCAAACCATATGGATGCGTTAGAGTTAATTAAATACTAATCAATATTATAAAGTTGTATTGCATGACGAAATACAGTTAACCCAATCCCGTTAGAATGTTTAATGTATTCTGTTAACAATTGTACTATAGTACCCGTCACCATTCTTAATATTATTCTACTTTCTACAATTGGAGGATTAAAAATAAACTAAAAAGTAGAAAATAATTTTCAGTATAGAAATCAATTAATAAAAAATAAATAGTATTATTGTGAAAAAAGTGTGGGGCGCTTTTCAAGAACTGATATATGTAGCACCCCACGCTTTTTTCACAATAATACTATTTATTTTTTATTGATTTTTATATTGAAAATTATTTTCTACTTTTTAGTTTATTTTACTATTTAAGCGTGTTTTTTAGTTTTTTTAAACTATATTTATTTTCCACTTTTTAGTTCGATGTGCTTTAAAATCGTGTTTTTTAATTCTAGTACATACGTGTCTCTATTACTTGAAAACTTCAGGTAAACAACAATGAATACACGCATGTACGTTCGGTTGCCTATCTCTTTTAGTTACATAGTTACATACAAACATACAAACGTACATACAAGGGAAGCTAATATAAGCGTGTTAAAAAAATCATAAGAAAAATCTAACCTACTCCAGTTGGTTTATATAATATTATTTTGTTAGCACTTAAAATTGTCTTAGAATTAAATTCAGGATTGATCTATTGACCGTATTAAAAGCGTTTTAATTCCGTCAATGGGGATTACTATAAGTAGGTATTGCAAAGTACATCAAAGCGTTTGGAAAATACCCAATTGAGAATTATGTTACACGGTGTATACACAATATTTGTGATCTGCGGGTAAGCTTGTCGATAGACTTTATCAAGTGCAGTTGCCGCCCACAAAAATTACCCACAAAACAATAGAAAGATTAAAAAATTAGCAAGTGCTTCAACATCGACCATGTTTAAAAACTGTTTTTTTTCTCACAAGTGGATGGACTTTATTTTGCTGAATACACTTAAAGATCAAAATATAACTACTTAAAAGTAGAAAAAAAAACAAAGTTGGTTTAAGTTAACTCAAGTATAATTAACTAATTATTTTTAATGCGAAAATGTATTTCATTATGGTTAAACCTTTTTATGGACTTTTACAAAATAATACATTTTATCACTTTAACCATTTCACTTAACACTAAATGGGTTTCAATAAAAAATGTTTTAAATATAACTCAACATCACTAATGCGATAAATCCCCGCCGAAGCACTATGAATTCTCATTGTGAAACTAAATAAATCCTAAATAGGTATTCCTATTTTTCATTCAATAGTAGACTTGTCCTCCGACCAAATACTCTTTACTTATACTTTACCCCTGATTGATCACACATTTTCAAAATTAACTTTTTGCAATAATTTCAATAATAATATTCGATCAAAAAAAAATTATATCACGAATAGGGTGATACAATTATAAACTTGAATGATTTAGAGGTAAATTACAATTTATAAAAAAAATTACATATTCATTTTTCAACCTAACCTAACCTATCTGTGTGCCCAGGATATTTAAATATGTCCCGGATTTATGACCACTGTGCAGATAACTGTGTATAAATTCTGAGAAGGCGTAGCTACCTTCTCAGAAGTATTTAAAACATTTGAAAAAGATAAAATACTTGCAACGAAACCGTTTCGATGGGTATCTGTGTGATTAGTGTTGGAAAACAATATATTTTTACCAAACAATTTTTCTTAGAAAAAAAAACCCTTTTCATTACTTAGTGAACATTTTTACGATTTTTTTTTTATTTATTTACTAGCACTGATTTGCATCGGAGTGTTTTTCTTGAAAACCATTTTATCTGTAACAAAATATGATTCTCGGAAAAATGTGCAGGGAAAAATAAAACATTGAAGAAAATTATCTGATTCGGTTATATTTTAGGGGAAAAACTACACCGAAAAAAGGGTCCGCCCATTTAACTATACTTTTGTAATTGTTCAAATTCACTTCTGATGCAATGTAATACAATAAAGTGCCTTTCAGAATTGTAGGTATTAAACACAAATATTGTAAGGCCATTATGTAGTACATCAGTTGTCTTAAGTTAGTGCTGGGCATAGAAAACAAGTAGCAACAATTAAATTTGACGAAACGCGAACGTTAAGATGGAATGTGTGTATTAATTAGGTTAAAACAGAGTTTGGATAAAGTTTTCAAAAGGTGCTTTAAAAGTTGTGCTAACAGCATGAAAATTAGAGAAAATCTGTTAAAACTGATTAGCCGTATTGAAAGAAAGAAGGCTGGGAAAAGTTGGATCAGAGATAAAGTGAATAGATGATAAGGAGATTATTTAGTGTGGATGACCTCATCTGTAGCGGATCGCAACATGGAAAAACCAAAAAAACACTTTTCTAATTCCTAACTTGTGATTTAAATCGTACCATAAGGCGCTTTAGACTTGTCCTTTATAGCGCCGGAAAGTCTGGAAACTTATGGGAAGTTTGCATTATCTTCCCCGTATCATAAATAGAAAACCAAATGAAATAAGCTACACATACCGGATGTCCTTAGTTGGGAATTACCCAACTATGGACATTCGGTACACGCGGTATGGTCCTATTGGCATCCTGTTTGATGTCAGGAACTTGCCAAGTAAACCAAGAAGACTCCAAGTAATCCAATATCCCAAATAGTACCCAAGTATTCCAATACCCCAAATAGTGCCCAAGTAATCCAATACTCCAAATAGTCCTCCGTTGTCCAGGCCATCGGTGTGCCGTGATCCCTGACACGGTGTATGCATAGGCAAAAGACTACTTATAATTATCAAGTGTAAATGTCGGGTTACTCACCGTCCAGTGTGTGTTTCCTGCGTATCTCCGTCTCGGACTCCAAAGCGTCGAAAACAGCGGCACCGATGAGCAGATAGGTGAACGTACAAACGATCAACGATAATGTGCGGACGTTTTGCTTCTTCATCCTGCGGGCGACACCATGGTGCTGGCCGCCACCGGCGCCTTACCAACGCCGCCGCCACCTCAGCTATCGCAGCAGCTGAAGCCACTGGGCGCCGACTGCGCGTGCATTGCCGGCGATTTGCATGTGTGTCGTGCAGATCGAGTGCTGCGTGCATCCGTCTGTCCAACATGGCAGCCAGGGTCTTCCGGCGCACCCATTACAACCTGCGAACCGCAATCACATTAGTCATGTTGGCCTGGTCGATATGCAAGAGGTCAACCTTGTGATTGGGGAAACTTATCGCCAAATTCCACCACTCTAGATGAGATACTAACTCTACCTAAGTAACAAGATTCCAGTTAACAGCAGTTGACAACGACTAACTGGCTACGAAAGACACGCCTACCATGCTTTACTTAGCTATGGCAGAGTACATACCACACTTGATAGCTATACCTAGGTCCCAGCAAAAGATAACCGCCTCTCCTCAACTCCAATAAGAACTATCAGTGAGCAAACGTCCAAACGACTTCTTGGACGCCCACAGCGTTCAGAAACCGGCGATTGACTTGTACAAGACCTCAGTCAGATGCGCACGGGGTCAAGTCAAAGATAGTGAATGAGTTAAGACTTGTTTACTTGTATGGTATACTTTAGTATGCTTTTATGGATTAGATATGTCTGACTGGTGTAACTAAACCGTGGGCCAACGCTCAATTAGAGTTTTATTAAGTTTTTTATGAATTTTAATACTTTTGGAATAAGAAACTCCTCAATAGATTAAAACGTCAACTCAAGACTAATAGTTAACCTAGCAGGAATATATTCGACAAAAATGTATTTAACGTACATGGGATTCATTCATTGTACTTACAACTATTACATAATGAGAGTACTCCCATACATAGGTATAAACTTAGAAAACCTTTCACTTTTAGAATTGTTCATATGATTCGATGTGTCTTGTACCATCGCTGCTAACAAGTTAAAGATGCAAGGCTTTCAAAATACTGATTGCCATTGTACATGGTAGGCTAAACCATTATTTAGGTAGTGAATTAATTCATCAAATAGAACTATCGTCTATTTGATTAACGATGTACTGCTACTACTGTCACAAATAAATAAATCACTGCGTGTACATACAAATATTTTAATCACATTACATTGTTCACAAAACGCATAAATGAGTCCTAACCTTACCATAGTTAAAAGTCAACAAAATACTATGATTTTCTGGTAGTTGACAAACGATTTATGATAAACGTTAATGGAAAAGTGATTTTTCCATTGTGTGAATGTACGTCATAGTGATAATAAATTATCTACCACCACTGTCAAAGGCCACTATAGAGTCTCCGAACGGCCACGTTAGTCGAATAATAGACTATGTAAGTGCCGTTACTTAGTATTTGGCGAAAAGTAAGAGTCATCCGATGCGCTATGCAGTCTTTACAAGCAGTAGTTGCCGCTACCTAGTAGCTACAGAATCGATAGCCAATGTATCTTGGCCCCCACCGTAGTTACATTTATTTCAATGTGTATCTACACTGTACAAACACGGAGACAGCGGTTTTTATAGGGAAAGTACACTGGCGGCGACCTGTCCACGCCGCATGATTGACGAGACGTTAACTTCACTTTTTTTTCCCTAAACGCGCACATCGTCACGGTTAAATTTGTATTATCTCTCTCTCTCTCTCTCTCTCTCTCTATCTTCAATCTAACACGCACTGCTGACCCACATCGGTATCAACTATCGAAATTAAAAGCAAATCCAGCACGTGTAGCGACAGGGTCGCTCTTTAGGACGGTTTAGGCCGCGAGCTTAACCAAAATGGTCCCAACCCTTATTAACCCATATCTGTAAGGTCATAATTAATCATAATAATTAATGTAATTTTGTATCCACTGGTTAGGTAGTTTTTTTTTTTACTCTGATGAAAAGAGTAATATTTTCTTGACAGGAAATCAGTGCTCAATGTCTAGTGTCGTTGGGGTATATTGAAGTCGTGTACAGAATACAGAATGTGTACATACAGTACGGTTGTAATGATATTCTCAATCTGTGACTGAAACCCGGCTTGTCTGGTGATTTCGGACGGTAAACTATTCGTGTATATTTATTTCACCGGTATTATATTGTTACTATACACAGTGATGAAATTCCACCGCTTATATGGTAAACGATTCTTGATTATAGTATATGATGGGGTTGTGGATAGGCAATATCGGTACAGCGGTGTCGTTGATCAAATACTGCCACAGCCAAGCAATGGAATTTTTTTTCATAGTAATAATGTTTAGCCTGTTTTTAGGTCCAATTAAAAGCCACTTCAATCAAATTTACAAAAAACGCATCCGCGTCAAGTATGATAATTAGCAATTACCAGATCATCTAACCTACCGAGACGGGCAGAAATTGAGTGTACTTGCATAACAATTCCATCCATAAAGTTTACATTATCACAATATCCAACCGCAAAAAGAACTATTATTATTAATTGAACGATACATTTTGTTTTAAAGTGGCCGTTATTTTTTATTCTAGAAACAACAACGAAGCCAAGACAAAAATTACCAATAACCATTGTTTTCAATTAAAACGTTCCGGTTATTAAGAGGAATAAAAATAATACTTTTATTGTGTTTACAACCTAAAAAAATTATTAACAAAACGTTTTTTTAATAGACTAAAATTATCGAAGAGTAACTATTATACAACCGGACATGAATAAAAAAAATACAGCCTTTGTATGTAAACAAATGAGATATTATAATTAAATCATTCACAAGAAAACTTAAGTGCAATGTAAAATACAATAGATATTTGTATACTACATTACAGCAGCACTATAAATACATTGGCCATACATACAAATGGTACCTATACTTGAGGTAGATATTAAACTGGGTTTGAGGGGTAAGAAAGTAATGTTATTCATCTCAATCAGACAAAATATAAAATATTGTGATATAGAAATCCCACAAGGACAAAATCTATTTTATTATGTTATTATTTATGTTTTATTTAGCAGCATTGTTTAATATGTAGCTAAGTTTTAAATATTTGCCTGCACCATTCAACAACCAATATAAAGTAGCTGTTTCTCTTTGTCTATGCCAACTTGAAGGTCAATGTCAATTGAGAAAAGTTTCTCATTTTCAGACTATCATTTCTTTTCTTTATTTTTGACGGCCGTTTTAATATGCTTATATGCGAGCTACAATAAAAACCTAGCCCAATTCGACGCTGGACAAAGAACCATACACTGTACAGCCTTTATAAAGTAAAACACAAACTATGCACAAAAAAAAACCAGAATTTAACGATAGGAATAGCTGTACGGACTTTTCTAGCACTAAAGGGGGAGATGGGGAGGGGGGGGGGTTGGAGGGAGGAAAAAGTATCGTAAAATGTAATGATCTCTCCTCTACTCGGTTGTCCGTTTATGTACATTTATCAAAGATAAAAACAAGGATTTTCTCCTATTTTAAAGAATAAATTAAAAAAAAAAACCCATATAAAAAGTCAGTTATATGGTTTTTAAGCGCAAAATCAACCGTTTATAGAATCGATAAGAAAAAATCAGGGCTCTCAGCGACTTAAGTTCTTATACGACCGGATGTTACCGTGGTATTGTCTGGTCGACATAGTCTGGCCACTGAATGGTACATGATTTTGTATTTATATGTAAAGTGCTAAAGTGTAGTAGAAGATGCATTAGTTCAATATATTATTTTTTTACTATTCTATTAATACCGACTACTTGGGGTCGGCCGCAGTCTTAAGTGGATGTCAGCCCCCTGTTTATAACTCTTCAATAAACACCAGTAACCTATACGCAATATTCAACTGTTAAAGACTTTTCCTGGACATTCCTATTAAAAAAAACGACACACTATACCTTTATATTCGTAAAATTTATAAACAATTTTTACACTATCTTTAAATGTATACATCTATAAATAAATAATCGGGTACTTTTGCGTCTGGTAAAATTTCTATCTATTAATTTACCACATTTTACACGTGCACTATGCTATTTACAAATATCAACTATGTTGTAGAGTTTTTATTTACAGTGCAAATCATATTTAAATTTTCTATAATAATTATTGAACAACTTCCGCACGCTTTATCTCAAACGTGTGTGGGGGGTTAGTCATGACTTGCCATTATAGATATAATATAATTATTGTGGTCACACCGGATTACTTAATAAATTCTTATCTGCAGGTATGACAGGTTATCCAAAGATTTATCGACACGGGTCAGGTACATTTAAATAAAAAATGAATTACACCCGGACGCATTTCCGGTCAGCAAACGGTCCAATAACATTAAGTGCCCCGACATTAAACCCTCTCCCCTACATCTACTTCACAACAACAGGGTCGGTAGGAAAGTGGTGTTAAGTGATTCTTTCAAAAAACTTTCCAAGGCAACGCGTTCTATGAAATACTACTTGTCAGGCTTGTGGGTGTATTATATGTATTACAAAGACCGTCGATTAGCCTAACCGGATTTCCGGCAAAGCTATCATTGCAAATGAACTATTTTAATTCAAAACCCGTCTTTTCTTCCCTTCGGTTATGTTGTGTGTGTGTAAAAGAACTGACCGGATAGAAAATTAGGATACTCAGTGGACACTGTATTAGTTATTGCTCAGAGCTTTTCTGGCCAAAGCGATTTCACAGCATGCTTCTCAGATAGCTGGCCCCCCGCCTTCGGTAATAGTAATTTACCGTCGTGTACGTACCAGCTGCCGGCACACGTCGTAAGCCGAGTTAAGCCTAATCGAACCACCGCCTTCGGTCAGGCTATAATAACATACTTACACAACACCGTTTTTACACGCGCTAACCGTTACAAGTAGCATCCATCACACCCCCTCGCGCGTTACAGGGACGGTGGTGACATATTGTACGTCTTATAATACTGTTGGACTTACCTAAGTGAGCATAGACCCGTCGACGATGGTTTGGCGGCGGTGGGGACGACGGCGACTGGACGACGACCACCACCACCGTGGCCGGCAACGGCGGCGGACGACGGACCGGAAAAGCGAAACGGCCACGCACGCGGCGGACCGATGCGGCCCTATGGACGGACGGCGGCCGGACGGTTCATCGGTGCGTACACGCCGGTTGATAACACTAACCGATTGAAACTTTAATAAATATTGTAGGAAAAACAATACAAAAACGAATTGATTTACATACGAACGCGTGAATACGATGCGATAGTGTGTTTTTTGCGTGCGGATGTGAAGTTTTTTTTTTACGAACGTGTGTGTTTATAATGTGTCGGTGAGTGCGTGATAGGGGGTAACGGACAGAGCAGCGCAACGTCGTACGACGGCCGCCGGAATCCGGGTGTGCGTCGGTTGGCCGACGGCTCGGACTCGGGAGAGACTACGGCAGGAATCCGCGGAGAGAAAATGCGGCGGTCGGCGCAGCGCCGCCGTACCAGAATCAATATTTCCCTCTCTCGCGGCGACACATCCCGTTTGTTCCCGTGACGTCATCTCCGGCCGCGCACATGGTTTTTTCACGGTAAGCCCGTCGCCGCCGCCGCCTCCCCTATATGCATTATACGGGATGAGATGTGTGTGTGTGTGTGCGTGCGTGTCGTACGTATCCGACTATGCGGCGACGGCGGCGGTGGCGCGCGTCCATTGGGCGGCTCGCAGGATACCGCACCGTGACCGATTGTTTGTTTTTCCTCTGTGGGGTTCACGCGGAAAGATTAAAACCTAAAGTGGGATACAGAAGAAGCCCCCGTCCCTCGTCCCCGTCTCGTTTGGACGTCAGTAACACCATTGCGACACCCCAAAAAAAAAAGTGTATCTATTAAACAAGCCCAAACTGACCGACAAAGAGCCTATATTTAACTCTCTTCTAGCACCGTTCACGACAATGTTGTTATCCTTGAGGAGCATTTCATTCTGGGGTCTGTTTTTCAGGTTCATTTAATTGACCATATATCCTATAAGAGAGCACACTTCTTAATTATTAACGAACGAGTCTCAAGGACCGTTACTAAACTTTAAGACCCTTCAGTTACCATTGTAGCAGAATTAATGTTTATTGTATAGTTTTATTTTCTCAGAAAAAGTACATTTAATTTAGGTGGTGCCTATTGGTTATTAGAGAAATTGCTATCTACCAGATGTTAAAAAAGTAATTTTTTTTGGCCATATACTTTTTTTTAATAATTATATAATTTAATCTACATGAAAAATTGTATACTAAATAAGTTTTAAAAATTGATATTTAAATACTCAATAAACGACTTTAATTTGAAGTTCGGAACCAAAAACTTTGAGAGCCTTACAGGCAAAGCACTTCAACGAGCTATAAAGGGTACAGTGTTCGAGTGACTGTTAACCCCAGATGCGATACTCAATTGCCAAAGCCTTCAAAGGCTGGTCACGGGCTTGGTATTATATTATAAAGACACCAGTTGGTACCAGGGTTAAAGAACTGCTCCCAAATTTACAGTGCATCCGTGTTAATGCACTTATGTTTAGATCAGATTAAATGGAATTTCACAGTAGTGTTTAAGTACTCGTGTAGACTTGGAAAAAAAAAACCCTAGTCCTTAATCCGGGAGGATATCCTATGTTGTTTGTTTTTCACACGGTGGTCACAAAAATTACAACACGGCGCCTATTGTATGGAGGATTTGTGGTGATGTGTTTCTTAAGTCCAGGTTTAACACAATAAGCGGTCTGACAGTGACGTTTTCGAAAACAATATTATTATTATGCCGTTTGTGCCAGCCGAGATGACGCACGTTCCCCAGTATATTAATCACTCTGGCTACTAATCCCGGGGGTTTGTTTCTCTTAATTTGACAAAGTTACATGCCAACAAAGCTAGTAACAAGACCATTAGAGGTACTCACAGGCCAGGTTTTATATTAACTAATTAGTGATAGGGATAATGGACAAAAAAAATCATTTTTAAATTAAATAGCACAGAAAATACAAAAACTACTATGATCAGCCAAATACTAATATTCCAATCATTTGCACTATGCCATTGTACTGATGTGTGAAAAATTATGGTGACATTTATTCATGCCGGAAATGATGACACCAAATCTTGGCTGAAGAAGCTGTTGGACGAATCCCAAAGTTGGGCCAGTTGAACTTAATATTGGAAGGGAAGAGATCAAATAGGGTAAAAAAAAAATATACACCCCTTTGAGATATACCGTTTATATATATATATTTTTTAAATATTTCCCCAGTCTTGTTATGTGGAGAATAAAATCAATATAGGCTCCGTGCAAAGAGTTTAAGTGCACCAATAATATATTAACAATATTTTAAACAAAAGTATACCATTAAAATTAACGGCTACAACCGACTTTTGAATAATTTTCTATTTGTTTCTGGGCCGACAAAAATATAAATATCCATAAAGGCACGACGTCGCCATCTTTCATGATTCACAATTCAAATATATAGATAATAGATATACATATTGTACCCGTGGGCAATCGGAAGAGTATATAAATATATTATAATTTTGTATAAATGTAATAAAAAAAAATAGTAAAACTATAAGGAACTACTAAAAGTATGAGTATAATGTATTGTAACCGAATACATATAAATAGAAATACATTAAAAAAAAAAACAATCAAAGTATATGTACTTAAGTAAATACCTAAGACGAGGGTTTGACAATTAAAAATTAACCTTCTGGGAATTACAGCACTAAGAACTTTAGTGTTTTCAAGTTTTATCTGCCAAACTTACTTACTTACATTCTTATGAAAATACGGCGTTAAAAGGGTTATGCGGTATTACTTTTGTACATTCTATTTAATAATTAGTTAACTCCTTTCCTTGAAGACGTGCTTGCCGAGTATAATATCCCACTTTTGTTATCTGAAATTAAAAAAAAAAAAGCTTTAACCGAGTAAATTATAATTCAAATATTCTGTCTAATCATTTTTACGCCAAAGCCATGTTGGATTTTGCAATTAACAGATTAAATCGTATACACCGTCTTCTCCTCTCATCTTTGTAAGAGGAGGTCAAAAGAAAACTTTAGTTTTAGTTTATCTCCATTTTTTTATTAGTCATTATTTTAATTAAACGAATCCTATTAGTCGACGTCCTCCCCTTGTTCACTTTTAAAGTTTATTCGTATAATTTTTAATCAACGCCATTACACTTGTACAATATAAAAGAAAACATAATTATAGGAAAGAAATGTATAGCATTGCAATTGTTTTAATCTATTAAAAATGTTTTTCGAAATTAATACACTTATAAGGGACCTCTACACCTGCTCGTTCTAATTTTAACAAAGAAATTAGAATTTCAGTAGACAAACTAACCGCAGCAGTTTGTAGCACTAATTTTGTAATTAAGTACCTCGTTTTTGGTGTCAAAGATGACTCCATAACTTTTTTCGATAGGATTGTTATGTTCTATAGGTACACTAAGTCCAGTTAAGACAGAAAAACAGAAATCCCGGATAAAAAGTTTTAGCAGGTAATATGTTACCTGTTTTCAACAAAATCCATTCAACATACACATAAGGACATTAGCTGGATTTCGAAGAATTTTCTATGGAAAAAGTAATAAAAAATAGCTTTTTGTGGTACGTTTTCAAACGATTAATTGCCCAAAGAGGAATGCGAGGTCAATATTTGAGCAATGGTGCAAAAGACAGAATGCCAAGTTGTTTCATTTTCGATAAGGATACATTCTTCCTGTTTGAGGGAGCTAAATAATTACATTTCTGTACAGAACTTGTTTTTTAAGATTTTTATGTCAATATACATTATATATATATATCATACGGCATACCTTTGTTTTAAATAAAAAACAAGCGGGCTGTCAATAAATATTATAACTGCAATATATTATTAAACACATAGTATAGATGGACGTCCCTGTATGGTTTTGGCGCTTATTTTATTGTATTTCATAATAGTTTTAAGCAGTGAAAGTGTACACAGGAAACGATACTATAATATATTAAATAAGTAAAATTTGATTATATGTACTTTTAATTAATTAGATATCATTGTTGTTGTGATAACTGATAGCTGATAACCGGTAGTTATCACTACAAGATATTTATTATCACACATTTTGTTATCAAGAATAATATATTTTGGTTGGCTCTGGAATTATTTATTTTGAATACGTGTAAAGATAATATTTTGATTTTTAATAACTATTTACATTGGCTTACTAAAATAAATAATTTAAATAAAAATATATACAATTTATACCGTATACTTAATCGTAAAGTTGTACTATACAGTACGAGAGACAAATTTTCGCGATAAAGTGTTCGAAACGTCAGTGAAAAAATTGTCTACTACAATTTTTTAAGTCAGTTTTGAAGTATAATATACCATCAATAAGATCACCACCTATGGATTGAACATATTATTTAGGTATGGATGATTCTAGCAGACCGGTTGAAGTTCAGTCAAATGGTACTGATGAGCGCGAAAAGACGACCGACGAACTGAAAACATGTCAAACAGTTAACGGAGAAAGACAGTTGTCGAACAGTTTGTCAAGTCGACAATGTTATCCTGGAAAAACAATGCACGTGATAACACCTGGGTCAAAAACATACCATTCTATTAAAAAGTCACCCGACAAAGAACCAAAATTTGTGCCCTACGAACCCTACAAGGCGGCCGTACGTTCAATTGTGCCCGAATTGACTCAACCGATAGTATTCAAGAGACGACTGTCAACTACATCTACTTGCAGTAAAGCATCCAACACGGTCGAAGAAGATGTGCTAGTCAAACTAGTTACGGAAAAACAAGTAATTTCACATTTATAATTAAATTTCAACATGTTTTTTTTTTTTAAAGTTATAAAATCATTTTAGACTCTTGAAAACGATGTGCGTACACTCAAAGAACAATTGAAAATTATGGAACAACAAATGGGGTCTCAAGCGCAAATAAATAATGAACTTAAAACTATGCTCGTAGCATCGATCGGAGAAGACGTTGAAGCTAAAATACAGATGTTAACGGAAGATAAGGTGCTGTTAGCACATAAACTTCTTAACTACACAGGCGCATTAGCTGGTCGTCAAGACCAATTAGAAACTGTTGCGGGCGAAAGAGATGTTTTACGGAGCAAGTTTTTAGCCGGCAGGTAAAATTGATAGAAACTTTTTAAAACTATACTGTTATACTTTTAATATTTAATTTAAAAAGTTTTAATTTTTTACAGTTTAATAATTGAAGACTTATCTAAATGGAAATCTTTCCTATGCAATCGTGTAGACGATTTAGAAGCTGTACTGCAATCTGTATTAGACGAGAATAGAAAAAATAGACATCTTCTGAAATCGGCTCACGAGTATGTTTTAAATAGTTTTTATTGCAAAAATAATACTCTAAATAAATTGAATTTTATTTTTCCATGTTTAGGAATTTGAGGCTTTTACAAAATGAATATAAACTAGAAACTCTTACCAAACAAAAACCACTCAATAGTACAACTATAGCTGAAGACATTAATAGGATATCGTTCATTCTTAAACGACATCTTATAAAATCTCCAGCTCAAGAACTTCAAGTCCACGCTGCTGTCCACCAAACCGAGGCTGAATCTCGGGCCCAACAGGTAGGTAATAGACACCGAAACATAGTTTTCGGGAATACTTCATTAACTACTAGTCGATTTTATTTAAAAATAAATAATTGTTATTTCTTTTTGATAGCTGTTAGGACAATCGTTACCTAGAGAACAAATGAATAACGTTGACGCTACGTGTAATGCCATAATGGAAGCGTCACAAGCCTTAGAGTCGAATATACAGCTGTGCTGCATGCATTGTACAGGCAGTGTAAAATATGTGTGAACTATTACTTGTAAAATCTTTGTTAATTTTTGTGAATAATATATTTTTGAGCAATAATAGATTTATTATACAATTATATTATTAAATAATTATATTTTATTTTTAAAATAAACCGATAACTTTCTATACCAAAAATCACTACTCTTCGTGTTCTGACTATCGAATCTTGTCAAGTTGAAACAAAAATTTGTACAACTATTTTAATTATGTCTATGCCAGTAAAGACTCGTGGCACATCTCGCAGCGATTGGTAGCGCTTTGTAATTTATATTGCACATAGAATGAGTTAAAACTCTATGAATTTTTCAGTGTAAAATTTATATATTTATTAAGTTATATATTTACAATATCACAGCATTTTTTAAAACTTAGTAAGTATTTTATAATCTAGAGATTACCGATGATCTTAAAATTAAGCTATGTCTCCAACAAATTAATTATTTCAGTCACATTTTTCAAAGTGTCGGTTTTCTGAAATTTCGATGTACTAAAAACCTAAAAAAAAAATAAAGAATAATTATAAAAATTATATGAAAATTATAGCACACATTGCATACTTTGATTGTCGGCAGACGTTCATTTTTAGATTTGTATTCATGTTCATCTACGTACAAAGACTGCAAATAAATCCACGTGAAATCCGAATTTTTGGCATGCAATTTCAAATAGAATTCTTTGGATTTGTCCTTATAAAAAAAATTAATAAGGGTGTAACAATAATAGTGATTTTTGCAATAAGTAAACATCGATTACTTGTAAAGAATGTGGTTGATTTTTATCTAAATAACAAGCTACAGCATTTGACATGTCATACATGTCTTTCTCCGTCAAGTTTAAATTTAATACCAAATCTGCCGAATTGCTCAGTATCGTTAGCTGCAATTTATATTTATGGCTAGTGAAGTAAACACTTCCTTTAGGAATATTTTTGCTTTCGTGTGAACTTGATTTCAAGCGATCCATTATGCACGGTATGACTAGTCTGTAAAATTAATGAACGAGAACATTAGTAATGTTAATGTTTAAGCACGCTTCAACAGTGGTAAGCAGAGATGGACATTAAACATTAAACGTACTTCAACGATCTAGACTTAATAAAATCTTTGGCAAATATTGCCATAGTGTTTAACAGGTTAAACGCTTCTCGGAAGATTAAATCATCAGATTTCACACTGAACTTAGTACAAAGCGGTGACCATATTTTATGAACCATCGGCAACAGCTGGTTTTCATAACTAGATATTACTTTTAACCCTTCATTAAGAATCTATAAAGGAAAAAATACAGATAATTTTAAATCATTTTATTTACTTTTTTGTAAATTATGCTCAATGAAAAACAATTTAAAAAATGGCGATTACTTGTAATGGAAGAAAATGGTGTTGTAACGGCAGAAAATGTAATACGCGTTTCATAATTGAAACTACCATTTCTATGTAAGGCGGTAAAGGCTTTTCGGTTTCTTCATTGTCGCTTCCAATACCTTGACTGATTAAAAAAATAAAATACATTTTTTTAAAAATTAATTTAGAATAGAAAAATTTAACTTAAAACGCACCCAGACGATGGTTCATTTTGCCAACATTCATCGTTCCTAGTTAAATCTATAGTTGACATTCTATGATATTCCAAAAGATTTTCGACAATACTGCCTTCAGATGACTTTGACTTTTTATAATTAAACTCAATTTTGGGTTTGGAATTTTCCAGCCAATTACGAACACACACTATGAATATATAAAACACTTTCAAGAACGAATGTAAATTATCTGTACGGTGAGCGTCGCAACTCTGAACTAAAACCTATAAAAAACATTAAACAAGCATATAATTGAATAAAAATAATATTATAAAAAAAAATATGTATTATTACATCAGTAACTATGGCATGAAATGAATGTAATAAATTATCGTTGTTATTTATGTTCATAACTACGCCAAGCGCGTTTAAAACTTCCGGGTGGTCTCTCAACAACCACAGCTTGGTGGTGAAATGATGTGATAGATAATCTGAGTTTTTGATGACGAGATCTACGGGATCTTTATAACCGCCAGACTTGGAAATCAAAGAAATCGCCGTTTGACCTGTTTTGTAAAACAATTATTTAGATTTTATTTTTAGACATTTATTTACGAGCACGACATAGTTTATTGTGTACCAGCTAAAGATATCGAGTTTAGTTCCGAGCCAACACGTTCCAATATTGGATACAGACAATGAACCAAACACACACGTTGTTTGGCCAAATCAAGAGACGACACCAGGTGGCCGAGACCTTCAGTCATAAGACAAATTTGTAAAACGTTTTTCTGAGTTTCTGCAATGTTTTGAGTCGATTCGTCATCTGCGCTCGTAGCCAAATACCACACTTTGTTGTCCAAATATAACTGTATCACATCGCTCACCAAATCATAATGACACACGTCATCATTATCTGAAAATATTTTATAATATACTATATTAATATTAGTTTTAAATATTTAACTTTTATTTTAAAAACCACACAACGCTTACTTTCTGATAATGTCAAGTTTAGTAAAAGCGTGATTTCTTTTCGACACTGTGTCTTGGTTTCAAATAGGTCCATTAAATATCGTACAATAAAGTTCCGATCTCCATATGAGCCGATAAGTTTACAAATATTTTCTATTTTGACTATTGCAGAAGTGTCAATGAAATGAACCCATTGCTTCCACGGCACATTCAAAGACAATTCTCCGGATGATGTTTGCAAATTATTCAAATCTAATACGTATAAACATAAAATAAATAAAACTATTGCTATGTCATCACTATTGCTAGTGATCATCAAAATTATTTTTAAATTTATTGTGGAGTCAAGAATGAATTGCCACTGTGTGCGAACCTCTAATTGTGGTGTCTTTTAGCAAAGAAATAGTTTTGTATTCAAGTTCTAATACTTGCGTAAGAACAGTTATCATTCGGTCCAAGTGTGCGTACGAATTGAGAACACGAGGTAAATGAGACGGACCAAAAAGTTTTATGTATCCCGACAACAAGGACAAGTCAGTTTTTTGCTTGGCCAAATCTTAAAACAAACAATGTGTCATGAGTACACAACAATTATGTTATTACGGTAAGCTTAAAATGTATCTATGCATTACTGGACATGCGAATAGATCGTGGGATTCTACTCAAGAGCACATAAAAACTTTCTTCCAATAGTTCGATTAATGTCTTCTCGTTGCGTTGGTCAAATATTTTAATTAAATTCACTATTGACTCGTTGGCTAATTTTTCCACTTGAGGTTGTTCGTCGTCCGACAAAACCAGTAAAGTTTCAATTAAATCGGTAACCGATGAGTTCATAGATCTAAATAGAAAAAAAAAATTACTACTAGTTAAAACGGACAATTAAAAACATTAAAGAATGGCAATTGAATTTAGTAATTATTAAGTTGTGGTGAATTACCTCGAACACTTATTTAACAATAAATTACAGGAAGTGACCAACTGAAGCCTAACTCTCCAATGTTGATGTTCCCTAGTTTTAATCATATACGAAAGAACCACTTTAAATTGTTTATTATTTTCTTTGATCCAGCCATTTAACTGTTTTTCTTCATCACTCAAACTCTTCGAAACTTGAGTCTTTAAGTGTTTATTGTACGGATTTCCATCTTCTATTACAACATGATCGTCACATATCAGTAAAGAGGTTATCGAACTCCATAAATTCAGAGCGGCCTAAAAACACAAGACTGAATGTAATAAAAGTGTTGGTATTTTCAATGTTAAGTTCTTACGACTGTCGAAGAATGATGTTGAGTGTCCGGAGCATTAGCTATAATACTACACACAGACAAAACGCCAGGGACGAATTTCGTTAAATCTCCAATAATTTTTTGACGAATGCCGTTTTCATTGATTTTTGTCCAAACAGAAGTTAAAATTTGAATACACTTTATGGCTTCAACCCTGCAGATTGCGTTTGTATTATAAAACAATATTATAGACACAATCAAAATTATTTTAAAAAGTTGTCAACCTCAAAGCATTCATTTTTTCGTATTTTATCATTTTTGTACACACGAATATGAAATATCCAACATTTTTACAATCAGCTTCACGGTAGAGACGACTTAAAACAGAAACATTACTTTTGCCAACTAGCAAGTTCATACAAACTGTTACTGCAAGTTTTATATCTTCGGAAACATCAACAACTGAAAAAGAAAAATAAGTAATAGGTATAATTTGAATTTTGAAAGAAACCTGTTAACATGACGTTTGATTGTTACATACCTTGTTCTGGATTGTTTTTGTTGGATAGTTTACTAACTAACAATGTGTAAATTACATTGAAAGTTGGCCATACGTCAATGGATGTTTTTTGCAATAACGTTGTTAAGACGTTCAGTACATTTAATGTGTTGTCCGATCTAAAATTACATCATAATGTGTTTTCGTTATAAAACATATTGCAATTTAAATTACTAGTAGAGTATTCATACTTGTCGGTTTTCATGTGTACTTCTATCGGAATAAGCACATATCGTTGAAGAGGTTCCAGAGAGTCTGTTGGAATCGTGGACAACAATTCTGCCAGTCGCTTTGAATTTTTAGCATTAGGTTCTGTTATGAAAGCATCACAGGCTGGTTTAAGCGTTTCAAACGCTTTTTTAAAATTTTCTTTATCTACAGTCATGGTGACTCTTGCACTAGGAGCTCGTCATAAATATAAACCTATTGCCTAATAAAAATAAAAAACATTGTAATTTAAAGAAACTGTTTAAAAAATTATACATATTATATTAAATATAATATTATAACACAATATTAAACTATTCGTCTCAGACATATTTATCAATAGTATTTTCCGTATTATAATAGTAGAAGAAATAATTACCGATACAAAATTGTTTAAAGTCCATTTAAAATCATAGAAAAATTAACCAGAATTTTAATTTGAGATTCGAGCATGATATTCTGAATGACCGGTGGCGCAAGTTTAATTATCAGTATGTTCTTATCAGTTACCGATAAAATGATAACCTTATCATAAACAAAAAACTGATAACTATTAATATTTCACTGTGATTTCATGTGACATCTGGTGGTGTTATTTGACATTTGTGTAACCAAAGAAAGTCATATTCTTCTCTGAAAATGACATAAGTACGTCAATTTATGTATAAGTACGTTAGTTTCATGGACTAACCATGACTTAATCACTGATATAATATATTATATATTATTTGCGAGGCTAATGTACATAAATCCACCTTGACTGTTTATTAACATACTTATTATCTTCTAATTCACGAATCATAACAAATCTATAAGAATTAAGATTCATTAATGGAATATAGTATTAAAAAATGTTAAATGTGAATTTTGAATAAATGTGATTCTGTATACCAGCTGTCTCCTGATACAGTCCCACCATAACGAAATTCCTATGTACTTATTGTGCTTCCAAAACAAAATTCATAGAACACTAGATTTATAAAAAAAAAAATGATTTTCTTTATTTTATAGTTGCAAATAATTAATTCAATTCCCTAAGAACTGTCCAAGTAACTCCGTGGGTATTGTTATTTGATTAGTCCCTGCGAAATCTAGAGGAAACCCCAGGATATCTCAACAACGGATATTTAGAAAGTGGCTTTTGGGAATTCTAAACGGATGTCCTTCGGATCCTTCCTTGCGAAAGCATTTGCATTAAGAGGACGCTGTATACATATTTATTAAAAGGTCCGGGTCAAGGCGATTTTTCGCAAAATATTAGTATTAAGCTAAAACTAAAGTGTAGATTTATCAACATGACAAAGAGGATTATTTATTGGTAGTTAATTTTTTTTTAGCACATTATTACAGTGGTCATAATTGTAAATCATTTTCAATCCTAAACAAAGCTACACAAAACAAGTTGGCTTTAGATGACTTAAGATGACTTTAGAGCAAAAATATCCATTATAAAGTTCAATGAATATAATTTATTCTCCGAGAGCGGTTCGTGGGTGGATTTTTGATCAATTGAAAGGGTCTTCTAATACTTCATGAAAGAAAATCGACTTTATATATATTTTCAAATAGCTATAACTTCTTTACTAAATAAAATGTTAAAAATTCGCCAAAGTATAACCCTAAAAATTTTACGTTCTTGACTGTTTAATGTTTTTACCCTAAAAGTTTACTTAAAAGTATATAAAAAAAACCTACTGCGTTACCGCCTTTCTTAAAACATAAAAAAAAAATGTAAAGGTATACCTAACGCCTTCTTGAACAGTTTAATGAACTATTAAATTTATCGATTTTTTGTGCAACCCAGCGTTTAATTTTGTACTATATAACTTGCTAAAAAGTTCTTAAAAAAATAGCAAATGGATCGAAATAACAAAACCAACATTGATTAGATAAATTATTACACATTGCAAAAATGTATTCAAACAACTAAAGTTATTTTGATAATCTATAATGAGTTGGGCGTAAAGCATAGGATTTATTCGCATAAGTATACACTTATTATCTACCAGCTAATTCATTATACTCAATCACAAACTTTAAATATTTTTTTTTAACATTATACTTTACTTTGTTTACATTAAAAACTAATTATAACACTCATTTTTCGTTGGTGAAAATTGATAATTTATTCATATAATATATGCGCAGTGTTATGCAATGTGTAAGTTCATATTTGTAAATTATTTTATTATTAGCTCTCGAGGAAATTCATTCTTTATCATTTCAAGAAGTTCATTTGTTATGCAGACAACGTTTTTTTCCAGACAAATTTAGAGTTTTGTTATGAAGAAAATTATTGAAATTTATATTATAGATTTTAAAACACCATTTTAGAACTGTCGGTGAAGACATTCTTGACACTGTTACAGGCTAGTTGGAATTTAATAATACAGTCAACTTCAGTTTAAAACCGTGCCCACTACATTCGTACTGACTGTAAACCTAATTAGTAGTACTCAAGTTGCCGCAGACCTTTCGGCTAATACTAAATTCCATGTAAAGGAAAACAAGGGTTGCTCGCAATTAAAGGTGTAATACCTAAGATTTAGTTGCAGGTAGTTGTTGTGTTTTGTATGTTACTTATTAAATTATGCACTCGATGATCTAATACTACAATATGCATTATTTGGCCAGACGTTACAAATTGCAAATTTAACGTTGAATCAATTTCTATTATACATGTAATACAATACACACTTATGTTATGAATAGTATTTAACAAAGTACAGCGCCGAACATTTTAATGCCAAACACAAAATCATCATTGTTACCTAGGCGACGGTATTCGCGGTATTTGATCAATTGTGCTAGACTATATGCTGATTGTGTAATAGTGTTTGTCGTTGCAGTAAGTGTACGAATTAAATATTTACCTTAAATCGTTTATTAACACACACACGAAAGGAATGGGAAACATATGTTCGAACGGTAAAGATTTCACAAAAGCAGCAGCCGGCGGGTCGGTTTTGGACAGAGTGATTTCTCAGGCTTCCACCGAAGACGACTGTTTGCTGTACAAGTATAAAAACGATGATAATATTATTATTCAAGCGATTGAAGTTGTTTGCCCCAATGTCGTCGTAGGTTGGCCGATTACAAAAAAGGAGGAGAACTCATCAACGTGTACAATAACGGCGGTCAAGACCAAGCTGAAAAGTACATTTCGGAAAAGCTGCACGGTCTCATGTACAACAGCGGCAAAGGCCACGTGATCAACCGAAACGATTACCTCAGGTGGAAACACCAAAATCAAAAACATGTATGGATTATATTAAGTCCGGATCCGGGCAAATTGGTCCTGTAGTGTTCCCTTTAGACCTGTAGTCCCTAGGCTACATTGGGCATTATTTGGTTAAATAATTTTTCTAATAAAAGTTGATTATTCATTAATTAATAATTTATTTTTTATGTAATGCTCGTTTGATTAGGATAATTTAATTAACTTTTATTAATCAAGTAGTTTTAGGTAAGACAGAAAAAAAAAACACTTAAGACAAAAATATTTTTGTTATGCTACTAACAAAATATATTTTACACAGTTTTTTTTCAAACATATTTTGTACATATTACTCAATTATAAATATTGTACAGGTAATAACTAATAAGTGCATAGTTAAAACAAACAAAAAATATTTCCTTAATCACTAATAACTTTATTTGTATGTACTTATAAAAAAAGTTAATTTTTTAATCATGATTGTTTCAACTATTGTCAACAGTTAACTTTTTCAATCATGACTAACTTATTAGTACTTAAAAGTTAAAATTTGTATTTATGATTCATTTTATTTGTTATTGTACAATTAAATTAATCATGATTGAAAAGTTAACTTTATGTGAAATGTTAAGCCATCAAGTAAACTTTTAACCCTTCACTGCATGAATTTGTTAATTTTTATGAAAAAATTAGGAATGATTAATATTATAATAAATTTATAGATGCCATTTGTATGTGTATACTGCACTCTATTGATAAAAATCATAATCAATAAATGATTTCAATATAAATAACCTAATGCGTATGTGAGGCGCTCGGATGCCAAACCGAATAACTCCACCTTTTTTTTTCAAATTGCGAATAATACCATGGTTGGATTAAAAAAGTGTATAATTTTCAGTGGCCAAGATAAATAACTCCATAGTTGAATTTTTCACCGCTAGAGTGCGCTAAGAAAATTGGCAATTGTACTTACATACATTGTTTCAAATAACTTAAACTGCCTGTCCTGAAAAATTGCATTTTATGGAGTTCATCAGTTTGGCTTCTGAGCGCCTCATATGCACTTACATGTAGTGAAGGGTTAACTTAAATAAAAAATGCCCGTTTCTGAAAATGGCCCTTTATTTTTACCGCTTAGGTAGCAATTAGTTTCGATAGCAAACACGGTCCTCACGACCCGTTGACCAGATGGGCGGATCACTTGGCTTGTTGGCAAATGCAGTACAGAGGGTCGTTGGGGGAGAGTTTGCTGCATGTGCTGATCATATGCGACACCACGGTGCACACTCGGCTATCCCGGCTACTGCTCAAACACTTCCCGATGTTGAGTCAGGACGTCGTGGAAGGAGAGGAATACTTAGGCGAGTACTTGACGATTGGAACACATGGGAAGTAATACTTAAGTGATATCGTTTTTTTAATGATCACAGGAGCGAGTGCGTTGCATTTGGCTATAGCCTACAACAATAACGACTTGATTCAAGATCTAGTGGACGCCGGAGCCAATATATGTCAAAGGGCTATTGGTAAGTAAAAAAACAGCATACAGGGTCGAAGAGGTGTGGAAGTCACAGGCTGTCAGGAATTAGTCTAAAAAAGTTTGAGTACAGATTTTAAGAAAACACTATAATTAGCCGGTTTCACCAACATTTGTTAAGAATTTAACTTATTTAACAACTAGTTAGTGAAAATTGGGTTTCATCGAGATTTGTTAGCCTTAACACATTGTTAAAACGATTGTTTAATTTAGATAATATTATTATGTCTTGCCTGTCCTGAATATAATAATGGAAATTATTCTTATCATTACCTACCTTTTTTTTAGGCCTTCAAAATGGAAAAAATTATTTGAATGACCTTGATGACAAACTATTTTTAGAAAGGTATATACTATCTAAACAATGTGTCAAAAAATGATGTATAAATTATTTACATAAACCGAAACGTTAAAAAAAAGTAAAATAAAGTGTCAACTGTCAAATAATAACAAACTGACAAATTAAATATTACAATGAGTTATCACATTTCTAATAACCAATGAGAATGTTGGAATCGAGGTAACCGCTTTGGTAACCCAACTAACGTTTTGGTAACCTAACAAATAGAATTTGACAATATTAATGTTATGGTGAAACTTATTTCATTTATCCAGATGTTAAATTCAAATTAGTTGTTAACTAACATGGTGTTAAGAGAGTACACAAAACATTAGTTGGTAAAACCGGCAGAATATATTATAGTCGCACTGAACAGTTTAAACATTACCTTCTCAGCACCTCGTCGATGCTAATAAATAAATAATAATTAAACAATTTGTTCAACTAGTTGTTGTTGTTTTTTTTTTTAATAACCGAAAAGGGAGTTTTTTCTTACCACGTGATCAGCAAAACAAAGAAATCAATAACAAACACACTGACTACGAAGGACTGGCATACCTCGGAGAGCTCCCTTTGGCTTGGGCTGCATGTTGCGGTAACCAAACCGTCTACAATCTGCTGATAGAATCAGGAGCCAATCCCGATGCTCAGGACTCATTTGGAAACATGATACTACACATGGTGGTCGTTTGCGATAAACTGGTATGCTATATATTTACCTAACCTTTTAATTACTGTTAAAAAAAAACTTATGTTTGTTGGCATTAGCTGTGTATGGTTATTATTTGTCCTTTTATTATGGTTTACAGAGCATGTTTGGATTTGCGTTAAAACATCCTAAAGTCCCTGCCAGTAACGGTATCACGAACATGGCGGGGTTAACGCCTCTGACTCTTTCTTGCAAGTTGGCCAGAGCCAGTGTCTTTCGGGAAATGTTAGAACTGAGTGCTCGAGAATTTTGGCGGTATAGTAATATCACGTGTTCCGCTTACCCTTTAAGTGCTTTGGACACATTACTGCCGGACGGAAAGACAAGTTTGAAAACAGTTTTAATAAATTATTGAAACTTAAGTGTGGTATTATATTTACACTATTTACATGTCTTGACTAGTTCGCTAACGTTTCAGAACACTTGCACGTACCATCTTCAGGGCTGTGGTTCGATGTTGCTCGTACCGCGCTCTCCTGCAGACTGACCGATTCGCTTCCGTGGGCGTAGGTTATATACCATTACCTCACCGCATTCTCCGCTTCCTCTTGCCGCTGCCAGCTGTTTTCCACAGCCACGCCCCTTCGCCTTGGCCGGCTATCGCATGACTGATTTCCGTTTCCGTTATCAATAATTTCTTGCTGTAAATACAGCTGGAAATACAACAAGAAACTATTGATAACGGAAACGGAAATCAGTCATGCGATAGCCGGCCAAGGCGAAGGGACGTGGCCGTAAAAAACAGCTGGCAGCAAGAAATAATTGATAAGGGCAATCAGTCATGCGGTAGCCGGCCAAGGCGAAGGGGCGTGGCCGTAGAAGACAGCTGGCAGCGGCAAGAGGAAGCGGAGAATACGGTGAGGGTATGGTATATAACCTACGCCCACGGAAGCGAATTGGTCAGTCTGCAGGAGAGCGTGCAACGAGGAACATCGAACCACAGCCCTGAAGATGGAACGTGCAAGTGTTCCGAAACGTTGGCGAACTAGTCAAGACATCCCAGTGGGAGTAACCTCGAGTCATGTAAATGGTGTAAACAGTTTTAATTTCAAATGCAAAGTTTAATATTTGATTGTAAAAATATATATTTAACCGTAGACTGGAATTCGGCGCTGTTCATAATTTTGGACGGTACCAAGGAAGAACATTTAGATATGCTCGACGGTGGGATAATTCAAAAGTTACTAGAAGAGAAATGGAAAACGTTTGCACGAGTAAATAATTTACTATATTATCTACCAATTATCGCTCTTAAACTAAAATTTCAATATCGAAGGGGAGGTTGGGGGAAGAAACACACACTATGAACCGGTTTTTCAACCTACTATTTACTATTGTGAATCCATATTTTATAATCATTTGTGCATCAAAATGTGTTGATTCTCTTTTTCTTTCTAACTTTAGAAACAGTTTATGAAACGTTTGATCATCCTATGCGTCCATCTGATCATGCTGAGTATGTCTATTTACTTGAGACCTGCCGATCAAGACAAATCGCTGTTGGGCGCAGCCGAAGATTGGCAAGACGTGGCCCGATACTGTTTCGAAGGCGGAACGGTCGCGGGTGTGTTGTCCTATTTATTTTTCCAGCAAGGTGGCGAAATATTGAATCAGGGTCTCGTCGGATTTTTAAAGCAGACTGTATGACACTCACGAATTAATAATATAATATCTGTGCTAATTGAAAAAACTGTTAGTTTAAAGAACCGGCAAAGTTGATATTCCTCATATCGAATTTGCTCATATTGGCGTGCATACCTCCAAGGCTGTTGGGCGACAAACAGTCGGAAGAAGCTATTTTGGTTTTCGCAGTACCGGGGTCGTGGTTTTTGCTAATGTTTTTTGCCGGGTATTTATTTATTTAAATTTAATTATGTTTACGCCCACGGGGACCGGAATAAAAATAGCATAGCCTAAATTATTTACATTACAAAAAAAAAAAATACTAAACAAATAACAATCACAATAAACTCTTAATGCGCACACTTTTAACTTGTAAATATTACCAAACCAAAAAAATGTTTCATTTAAGGTCTGATATTTCATTACATTACTTTGACTATTTGCGTTCTGCGTTTTAAAAAAAGATTAAATCAGTTTCAACATTCTACCACTATAACCTGTATTATTTAACTCAACAACTAATGACTTCAACAAAGGCTTTTCTAATATCAGTATAAACTGTGTCAATAAAAAATAACTGGTACCAAGTAAGGAAGATTTTTGAAAGGTATGATAAGATATGATATGATATTAGAGATACTAGATTAGAGATAAAAATTGAGATAATGGATAAGGCATTAGAGGAAAGAGATTAGAGATAATATTTAGAGTAAATAGGTTAGAGAAAGAGATTGGACATAAAAATAAAGATAATAGATTAGAAAAAATAGAGATAATGGCTTAGATATAAAAGATTACAGATAAAATAGATATTGTATTAGAGATACTAGATTAGATATTATAGATTAGAGATAAAAATAGAGATATGAGGTAAGAGGTTAGAGATAAGAAAAGTACCAGGGTCTTATACTTGAACACAAAGACATATACATGTGCCTATGTATCCGGTTGTAGTGTGGATACTCGTTAGTTAAATTTTTCTTTTCAGAGCGGTGCGTTTGACCGGACCTTTCGTCACAATGGTCTATTTGATGATCACGGGAGACATGTTAACGTTTTTCGTCATTTACTCTGTTATTTTGTCCGGTTTCACACAGTCGTTTTTCTTCTTGTACAAAGGGTCTGCGGACGTGGGCACCTCTTTGTACAAATCGTATCCCTCCACGTGGATGGCTTTGTTTCAGGTCACCATGGGCGAGTACAATGTGAGAAGTGGTGGTTTTTATTACTACAATACCAGCAGCAGCAACTTAAAAACCGATTTTTCTTTGCTCATTATAGTACGCCGATCTAAGTTACACCGTATACCCCGTGCTCAGCAAGACCGTGTTTACCATCTTCATGGTGTTAGTACCGATATTGTTGCTCAACATGTTGATAGCCATGATGGGTAATACGTACGCTCACGTGATCGAACAAAGCGAAAAAGAATGGATGAAACAAGTAAAAAATTCACCCTGTATGAACTTTGCACATTGTGTGTGTGTATGTAATTATTTTTTAGTGGGCAAAAATAGTGGTAACGCTCGAAAGGGCTGTACCGCAAAAAGCGGCCAGGACTTATCTGGAAGAGTATAGTATACAGCTGGCTCCTGGTGACGACGTTAACCCAGAACAAAGAGGTTTCATGGTGATCAAATGTAAAAGTCAGACAAGGGCAAAACAAAGGAAAGGCGCTGTCATCAATTGGAAGGTAGGTATTCGAGTGCAATGAAATCGTTGCTAAACCCTTGGAATTAAAATATTACAACAAGTATTGAACAAGCACAACAGTAGCACGTTCAACTTGTAAACTTTTTCCTAGTAATTTACACTAGTTAATACTTTATTTTAGGCAAAACGTTATTTTCCATTGTGGTAAGTTATATTTTTAATACCATTAAATTATATATTGTTACTGCGATAAGAATACAATAATTGTAAATGTAGTTAATAATTAAAAATAATAACAATTCAACGTGATGACGGTATGAGTTAGGCATTTGCGTCCAAAGGACAATTATGGGCGTACCTAAAACGAACATGGTTCATATTTCAGAAAAGTGGAAAATTGGTAATACAAGAACTTCGGAAATTAGAAGGCACCGGTCAAAATTTGAGAGATATCATTTGGAAACGGTCGTCCCTGACCAATTCGTCTCCTGTAGTTAACAAATTGTTCGGGTAAGAATTGAGAAACAAGTTTTTGTTAAAAGAAAAAAATGTACCTACCTAAAAAAAACAGTTATTTGTCTCCTGAAAAAAAAACCAAATTTTGAAATCGGTTCCCTGTTCTAATAAGCATCTCAATTTATTTATGCCGGGTTGCACCGAATATTTACACAGAGATGAACTTGTTTAAACTGGAGTTGAAATAAATTCTGTTGCATAAATCATGTTTTACAGGGTAATTTATCGCTGTGTAAAAATGTATGTATAGTTAAAATTTGTTATCAATATTTCGCGTTAAAGTGGTGATAACGGAAATGCGCGTTATCAGTTTATCATTGATTAGACCCTGTATGATAATAATATTAACTCTGGTACTGCTGATACCATTTTTTCAGTAACCATTAACCAGTATTCTGGTAATAACCGGAATATAAAATCACGATTGAGGAACACTTTTAAATTTAATTCATGTTAATTTAACAAAATTTACCAATAGTTAACGACCAGTTTGGTGCAACCGGGCATTAGTGTTGGTAGAATTGTAGAAAAAAAATTGTATTTATATTTTTCGTTTAAAGGCCAAAAAGCAAAGGCAATTGCGAGGCGAAAAAAACACCACCCAGACTTTCTGGAGCACTGGGAGCTGCAATTGATGCAATGGCGGTGGCTCAAAATTTGGATATGACTCTGCCGAAAGATCATAAAATAGAAGGTATTTTATAACCAAGACACTGTCCAATTATAAACATCTACTATGGATTTGTATTTGTTTTTAGATTTACACGATCCGCTAAGGCAGTTAGTGATAATGTCGGAGAGCAGCAATACTGTGGATAGAAATCAAGTTGAAATTGTTGCTAATACGGCCGCTAAAGTAGCGGTAAGTCATTGTTTTTTTTTTTAACCCATAAATGTATGTTGTAAAGCGTTTATTTTTTTTTTTACAGACACAGAGTTCTAATAGATTAAAGCCAGTGATCAAAGTATCCAACCTCGGCATGAACTCTGATAACCCAGGCAAAAAGTCGTCCAACAATCAAGTCAATAAACATATTTACAACATGTCGGCCGACGAGTACAGCAGAGCGGTTGTAAGCACAAAAAGTAAGTCAACGCAAACGGGTAACTTTGAAGTAATCGGCAAGAATGGACACCAAATCGTACGACCGAAAACTGCTAAAATAAACAGGTAAAAGGATTATTTTTTTAAAAATAATAATCTTTGTTAGTTATCTTTGATGCAGGTTGATTTTTACAGCAATTCAACATTGATGAACTATAGGTACTTTTATTATACACATAGTCTTTTTATCCTTCACACAATCTTACTGGTGTGAAAAGTTCTTATAACAGTATTCCAATATTTCAATCACAGCCTTCTCTCAATCCATTTTCCTGTCGACTCGTTTGTTAACAATTTATATTCTACACAACATTGAACCAAGTGAAGTAAATTGTATATCTTTTTTATGTATTTTTTTCATTTTACATGCCAATAAAGTCATACCTACTTCTTTCTCTGAACTATGTTACTATGGTTACTCCTCACCTGCCATTCATTTCCTTTTTGTTTGCCTAACGTTCTCATTCCGTTTTCTTTGTTCACTTGTATTTTACATTGCAATGCCTCCAAATTATCCCAAGTTAACGTTTTGTCAGGCGCAGTATATTTGAAAGAAATTAGCCATAGTAGAATTGTGTTGTTTTTGAAACATGTTTGTTAGGGAAACAAATTAAGTGCAATAATCCCTTAGTATTTATTCTGATTTTTCAGGGTAAAGCCAACTCCTAATTTTACCGTGAAAAGGGGAAGGTCGGCACAACCAAACAGAACTGACCAGTCCAAAGACGAACAGCAACAACAGCAATGCTATTGTGTGAGTGGCAACAATATGCTAAGACCGTGGAGCACACAAGACTTGGAGCCACTGAACACTATCATGGCGTGGGGTCCAAACGACGATTTTTAATATAATATGGTCAAACTGGATTTAGTAAATCTAGTAGTCCCATTTTAACACTTTTAGATAAACCGTGTCTTAGATACAAATTAAATACTCCAATTTGCATTAGTCAGGATAGACTACGCGGGGAGTGGCTGGAAAGTCACAATCTTATATCAATTTGTAAGTGTTGGTAATACTTAACCCTTTGGCGGGCGTGTGTCTGCACTGAGTGCTGTTATCTCATTGTTTTCTTGTGATAACAAAAAAAGCGCGCCAACCGGTTAACTTATTTCTCGGCTCATATAAAAGTTATAATTTTATACTTGCATTAACAACAGCTCGACTTATTAATTTCATAGCTTCTAGACATTTCTTATAATTTATGTCAATATAAATATTGTTTTTTTTTTCTTTCACAAATCAATTTCGCTAACGCAAACCGTAAAAATGTGTTGTTAATATTGTTCGATCGACAGTAATAAATATGTACGTCTAATGCAGTTTGCTGTTTTTAAATAATATATTACAACAAGAGTAAATCAATAGTTGTATACATATAATAAGTAGTCAAAAATACCAACGTGAACCATACAATCATCAATCAGCGTTTAATATTTTACCAATCTTTCATAAACAAGAAATTTGGAAAATGCGTTTACAAGAAAATATAATACAACGTCATGTTTTCTTTTTTTTGTAAAAAAATACAATCAATCTAGAACACAAATATATTCTGTAATCGTTTGTTTTATAAAAAAAATTAAGCGTAAAGGCTTTCTCAAAAGAAAACTGACTTGAAAATAAAACAATTTTAAAATTGTGTTGTACAATTTAATTAGTTATAGGTAAGCTTTTGCCAATTTTTTCTCTTTTGACAACTTGTTTTTGTTTAGTTATTTAAAAGCGTCTGACGCAAGACTACCTAACGATGATAGGCCTGCAAAACAAATATCTTCCTCTCCCAGGAGAAATATATAAATAGTGGATATTTGGATCCATCCATCAAATCTGATAAAAATTCTGTAATACATATTCATAGAGCATCGTTGCGTTTAAAGGCTCTTACAGTAAATAGATAACAATATTCATCTGCTTGGTTTTATCCCCTTTCTAAGTACTAAAAAAATATATAATGTAATGCTCACAAACTCGTTTCATTACTTTTTTTTATCATCGGTAGATACCCCCTGGTATGCATAATTCGTTTGTCACCCAAATTTGTTTAACGTCCATTGTGGAAAGGAAAACAAATAACAATCTATTTGAGTATACCAACAGATATTTGGTAATATTGGAATGGAAAAAATATTATATATTACTAACAAAAAAGGTATACAGTGTATTTTCTCTAACAAATAGATGGGAAAAATGTGATCAGAAATATTTCTTTACAGAATCATTTTTCAGAGTTGGATAGTATTTTGTGGAGCGGTTAATAAGGCCTCTTGGGATTTTCTGCAAAGAGGCCGGGTACGGAGAAGTTGTTAAGTCGGAAACGTGTGTTGTGTCTAGATGAGTAGGTACTATTTTTTTTTTATAACTCAACACATTAAAACTTAAATTATATAGTTCCACTTTAGCGCGTACTACTCGCATCAATGTCGTCCCACTCGAGTCGGTATGCTTTTTGTCCAAAGACAAATCAAAATAGTAGCAAAGTTTCAAAAATTGCTATAAAAAAAACCAATTTGGGAAAATTGACATCACATTATATAAAAACACTATGAAAAAAAAAATTGTATTATTAATTAATCCAAAAGCGTGACCCCATTCAACAAGTCCCTAATACATTTATCAGATAATGTTTTGTATTGTAAGTTTTTTTTGTAAATTTAATTTTGGTTCAATTTTAGCGTGTACATTTTATGCATGTAATAAAAATCGATAAAACGCTAAGTAAAAGCTATATAATATACTTAAAATTATACATTTTGAGTGAAATTAGAGTCGATAGCCCGTCTACAATAATTAGTTGCCGTTGTTCGCCGTTGACATCATCACAAAACTATTATTCAGATACCCTTTTTGGCTGCAACTCAAGTAGTTCAAAGAACAATTTCAATTCGGTCTAACTTTTTCAGACCTAAAGCTCTAAAATGTGATTTAATACACACACAAAAGGAAAAAACTAACTAAGAAGGTACACACCTAAGAAAACAGTGTTTAAGACAGCGGTGATTACTTTTTCACAACAATATGAAAAACAAAACTGCGTTACAATTAAACCGATGTCCGTGAGTAATGGTGAAAAACAATGGTTATTAATGGTAGTTTCAAAAAAATGACCCGGAAATCCGCGAAATCGCATTATACGCCCGTTAACGAAATGCATAATAAACCGATTTCTTTTCGCGCGCGGCGGCGGCACGGCCAGTCTTGCGGTGTGTGAAAACGGCCGCCGTTTCAGAGACGGCGCAAAACGGTCTACCGGCGAAACTGGCCGCCGCTGTTGATAACCGCGACAACAGTGACGGTCGTCCGTTTGCCGTGCGCTATACCCTGTTGAACAGCCGTCGCTAATCACAGAACACAATAACGTCAGCTTTTTTTTTTTTGTTGAAAAATTTCCCATAAAAAAAAAAAAATTCAGCGCATGTTAACCGATTTTTTTAACTAAATAAAAAAAACACCGTTATGAGCTCGAAATTCAAATGGATTTTCGTTGCAGCGGTATTTTTCAAATATTGCAGTAAGTAGAATATTATACACCAACTATTTAATACAATAATAACTGTATCAGTCTGACAACCCAACTTGAAATCATAACATGGAAGCCAACGAACTGCTTCTGATTGTGATAACTTCAATGCATTACATCTGTGCTTTGAAATATATACTATTTTATAATCTATTCCCAGTTAAATTTATACATGTTTAAATGGAAACGTTGACGATAAGCTAAGTTCAGTATCGTCTCTTCCCTTGGGCCTGAACTGTCTACAGTAATTTAGTCCTGTCTGAATAATTTATAACAATTTTCAGCACAATTAAATTACCTGCACTCGAAAAAATAAGTTTATATCCAAGATAAAGAGAACGGTTCTTTTGCCCAGGGCTCTTTTTCGATCGAGCTAAATATATGTATATTTTTTTTAAAAATAATTAAATTTTATAATACATCATAGTTTAGATACTGAGCTGAGAAATATTGTTTTTACAATTTTGTGTTTTTTTTAACATGTTGGTTTTAGTTGGAGTCAACTAAGAAAATTCGTGAGTATTTTAAGGAACTATTTTTTGAGTCACTAAATGTTCATTGCTCAATTACTCACTTACTTGATTAATATACTGGATTTGTATATTTGGTTGCTCGTTTACTCGGTTTATTTAATTTATTTACATGTTTAACAGATTTTCATACTCGTTTTCTCAAATTCTTATTGACTGGATTTTTTTACTCGTTTATAATAATATATGTTTGCTCGGTTATAAGATTACATACCTCATTTACTCAATTAATTTACTAGATCGGTTTATTAGTTTGCTCAACTTATTTACTCATTTTTGTGATTTATATTTTACTCGATTTATTAACACGATTTTTTACTCGTTTATAAGTTTTGTTTGCTCGGTTATATACTCGTTACTCAATTAATTTACTAGATTGGTTTATTTGGTCCATGTACGCGTTTCCTTGCTTAAATCATTTTACATACTCGTTTGCTTAAATTTATTGACTAGATTTTTTACTCGTTTATAATAATATCGGTTTGCTCGGTTATACGATTGTATATAGTCGTTTACTCGATTCATTTAACAGTTTGCTCGATTTATTGACTCATTTTTATTTTACTCGATCTGTTTACTCGGTTATAAGATTGTATATACTCGTTTACTCAATTAATTTACTAGTTTGGTTTACTCGGTTTATTCACTTGCTTAATACGTTTTCCATACTAGTTTTCTCAAATTTACTGACTAGATTTTTAACTGCACTTATTTAAATTTTTGAAAACCAATTTTTCAAACTTACTTTAACAGTATGAGTTTTAATCGAACGAAATTGATCCTTTTCATAAACAAATGAGTTACTTAATTATCTTTCCATAAATTAAATTACTAGGTAAATCATAAACGGGAAGTGTGCGCAAAGTAACGATTCAAGTATTTCAACAAACGAATTCGGCTATTATACAAATCTAGCTGAAAACTCAAATATTCTGACAATTTGGGAATTCCAAAATATATCCGAATAATAACTAAAATCGTTCATCCCCCGTGCAATAATAATTATGATGAATTTAATAATTTATGCTGTTGTTGCCTAAAATAACCAACATTAATTATTGGCATTCATTTGGGCTAACTAATTATTCAAATATTAAACAATTTTCTCTGAATAAAGAGCAACCCTTAAACTCATACCTTCCTTATGCGGGATTACAGTTTAACATAACATGTCAATTTCTTAAATGACAGGATAAAAAATTATTTAAAAAAAAAAACCGGATAGTTTTTAACCAATATGTCTAAAATAATATTACTTATTCATATTTTAATTTTTTCGCAAAGACACCTCTAATATGCGTTTTGTTCTTATTGTGAAATTCACAGATTACTATAAGTTGCTTTCTTATGGCTTGTGTTATTCTAGACCTTATATATTTTGATTAGACTATTAACTGTGAAGCTGAGAAGGTATTTCTTAAATTTTTATTATTTTTGTTAACAGTAAAAAAAACTTTGTGGTTAGCTACATTTTGATGTGTTTACACAGCTTTTTATTAGCTAATAAACGCCAAAAAGTGGCTTTAACGCAGTAATGAAATAACAATAAGAGGTAATCTAAATTATACCTAGACCAAGAGACAAAAAACTATTATTTTTTTTAACAAAAACTTTATAATTTTGCCTAATTTATTACCATTTAACGGGTCGATTTAATTTTGTAAAATATTTATTTTTAGCCTAAGGAATTTTTTAAAAGTAGTTATCACAGTTATACTTTGGTTTGTAAAATAACACTTATTAGGCCTCTTTTTTAGTAGAACAGAATTATTGTGTTTTCATATTTCTCCATATTATTGTACTGTACTGCAAAAGACATGAACGCACATTTGTTGTATTAATTTTACTAACGCATGCACTCAAGTAGAGAAATTGCATAAATAGAACGCCGTGTCGTTGGATAAAATTAATCCAGTTTATGAAGAAAACGCATTCCTCGAATTCAGCCATTCTTGTCAAACACATACATTTTCTTCACTTTTATGTTGTGCACAGCAAATGTAACTGCATTCCGTTTGAAATACAATGTGTGTACTCGAATTTTCCCTATTTTAAAATTTACCTGTTTTTGTATTGCCAGCAGTGATTATCGAGGCATACCGTTATGAAATCCCAGGCTAATATTTACAAGGTTCATCACTCTTGATGGCAATTCTTCTTTTCCATTAAGTTTCAAAAAATCCACGTGATAAGATTGTTTCTTTGAAAAGCGTCCACGCAATGTACTTAATATACATAATGTAAAATATTGACTCAATTCGTCCGACTTATTATATTTATACAAACCTGGGTAAAACGGTAACATATTAATCCCAACAACATATATATTAGTCTGTTTGTGATATTTGCCATAATAATATGTGTGTCTTTGCATAAAAAACAAAAAATGCCATAAACAGCAGCCGGTGCGTCTCCTAAAACAAATATTAATTCCATATATGTAAGTATACCTTTTTGGTTTTTAAAAAAAAAAAAAAAAAGGCGACATTTACAAGAAACTTTTTGTACAGAAATTATTAAACAAAACCAATTACAAAGTCAGCCATTTTTATTGCTTGCTAAATTATTATTGTATTTTCCTTTAATGTTGTAGACACACTTAACTGTCATTTTGGAGGACTCACCACAATCGACTTATTGACAATGGCTGGTTATTTCTCAACAGGTGAACACACATAAGTACATTCGGCCTGCCCTTTCCGGTTAGGTTTTTCGCCTGTAAGTGGCCACTTGTGTCGTTGGCAACACAAATTAAAAAACTTATATATAATGTTTTTCGATAAGTACAACCTAAAGTACAAAGCATTCGGTTTAAATGTATAAGTACAATCCTTCGCATAAAGTACACGTTTGATTGTATTGTAAAATGTACAAAACTATATTCTGAACTTTTTAATTTAGAATTTTTTTATATTTTATTCTGTTTTTTGATAAAAATTAATTTCGTTTAATAAAAAAGCATTTCATCTCCAAATAAATACAAACGAGAACGTTATAAAGCGTATGTGAGCATATCAAGCAAATGCAATAACATTGTTGACAATGTGCCGTTATATATTTAGTCTCAGATTATTTTTAAAAATATTTGTTTGTCATTATAAAGATTGAATTACAAATAAAACTCAAAATTGTACCTGGAGATCGTCTCAGGTATTCATTTTGCAATAAAATCTTGAAAAATCTTCAAAGTCAAACTGTTTTTAACGGTTGTTTTATTATAAAACAATATAATCTGCAAATAAAATTTACATAGTCACCGGCTAAGTATATAATTGAAAAATATCATAATTGTCCATGTTACACTATTGCTACTGAGAACTACACTAAAGATATACAGTTAACAGCTTGGATTCTGAAATCAGAACCACAATTAAGATGCCCAAAAAAAGTTTGGGATCCTTCGGTTAGCTAAAGATGCATGATATAAGGTTTGTTTTGTATTTACATTTACTCTAAGTCCTAATCAAACTATATTCAGTCACAGCTTCATGTCAACACCTGTTGCCCAAATGTATTATTCAATAGTTAAGATATTATCAAATTGTCTAAGCCATGCACTGTTTAAACGGGCCAAAATGCAAAGTTGGGCATTATTAATGTCATATAAATAATTATAAATTGTTATTAACTAAAATGTAAAATGTTTTCTACCATATTTCTTTTCTGGTCTTTGGGAATAACACTTTGGTATGTTAATTAGTTTTCTTTACAAACTTAATGCAAAAACACAAGCCAAACGGTATACTATAACACATAAAAGTTTTAAATTGTTTTTAGGAACATGCTGTGCTGGTACTTTTTTAATGGTTAACGTTTTATGTGTTGATTACATTTTATATAATTCTTTTCTTTTATTCATTATGTAACTATTTAATTGATTTTATACTTCTTATTTATTTATTTTGTATAATTTTAATAATTTATTTAATCTAACGTGGATAGTTTGTCGTTAACTAATTTTCAAGCTTTTCAAACCATAAAACTGAAATCGTAGATTGGAAATTTAAAAGTTTAAGTGGAACCAATTCCTGTTGAGCTGAAACGATTTAAACTCTAAAACAAAATATTCGACATAGAAACAAAACTTATTCGATTAATTATTTGAATGTATTTTCACGGATTTATTTATGTGAAACATATGTGCAATAAAATAGCGTTCATACTATTAGTAAAAGTCAAAATATTGACTTTTTCAGTGAAAAACAACAGTCGAAAAACACTTTATTGCTTTTAAACTTTTACACACGAGATATATGTTTCAATGATTTTTCAACATTGAAATTTTATCTGTTACACAATCCACCATTAGTGTAGTCATAAAAATATATCAAGTATTTTATTAATCTGTTTATTTTCGGAGATTTCACTAAGATTCTCCTAACATCCGAAGATAATTGTTTGCAGACTTAAGAAAAAAAAACGTTACTGCTTTCAAATTGATTACTACTTTAGTCAATTAATTTTTGTTTACAGTAAAACAGCGACGACGGAGTGGGGTCGAGATGTTCAAAGGTCTTTAGAAATTATCATTATATATGAAAATTGTAAAAATCACTCACCAGAAAAAACCTTGGGCCAAGGATGTAAATATAATTATGGTAAAAATATTTAAATACCGGGGAAAAAAAACATTAGTACACTGGTAAAATGTATTTATAACCATATATAAATATATATTGAATGATATCTTATTCTCAAATCTTATATTCTCAATAATATATATATTTGTATATTTGTTGTAAATTCCCTGAAAACCAATAATTTCCATTTTTCTAGACAAATACCTTTGAGGTTTGCTAATTTCTTAACTCGAGGTGTACTTGGGATTTGTATCATGATAATAATTGAATTTTTCTTCTAATCCATGGACCTAATAATCCAATAGAGTTACCAAAGAACCAATCAAAGATTGTTTACACAAAAAAAACTACAACACCAGACGTTTCTCTGTAAAATCAATAACATGTTAGCCTCTCGGCTAACGGAGAATAACGTGTGATGTGGTACTTAGTAATTATTTTCAAACTGCCACAAAATAACAGTCTTGTGTTCTGTTGACAATCTAAGAGGAGTAGACACAGAACAAAAATCTCAATGACAGACCAGTGTTGTTAATGTCAGTTTTTTTAACACATAAATATTACCGAAAACTTTCAACCAACCGTTTCAAAGTAAAAACAAAACATTCGCAGTGGTGTTTAAGTATTCATCTTGAGTTTTATTCGACGTTGGACGGTTATCTTTAAAAGTTTTGTACTCTAATTCGTTTAATGTTCGACTAAAACGCTTGCCAAGTAGTTCAAAACATTATACCAAATGGGTATGGAATCCAATATTTACCTGTGTGCTATCTTACATTTAAGCTAAGATAAATATATAAGTAGCATTTTTTTCATTTAAATTACCATAATTTTTTAAAAATCTACCAAGTAAAAATAACAGTAACCAAATAATAACAATTTAATGGCAATAGTTTTAAATTAAATTTCATAAATTACCATTTTTGTTTTTTTTAGTAGCCCCGTAGACTTTTGTATTTTTTTGGGGGGTTTTCAATTCTCAACGTTTGGTATTATACAGCTAGAATTATGCGCTTACTATTTACATTTATATTTCATGTTTATAAAAAAAAAAGGAAGGCACTATTATTCGACGAATATATTGATGAAACGATTTCCACTTGGTATATATATTATTATTTTCTACCTCGAAGCTACATTTAAAAAGAAAAATATTTTGTTGGCAACAATTTTCCTTGAAGTGGTAATTTATTCTCTTTGGGCGAATTTAAAAAAAAACTGTACATTTTACAACGTGACAGAAAATAATTAGCATTTTAATTTAGACACATTAAAACCGTCTAGGAAATATTTTCTTAACCTAATTTTGCATTTTATATGTCAACATTATTCTACACGATACCTACATGCTATAATTATTGTTTTACAGCTAATATAATTTTAACAGTACATTCTTTAGTATAAAACTTTTGAATTCTGGAAGTTTTAGTATTTAAAATATTCGACTAATTAATGTTAAGTATAATACCTTGTCTCAAGAACATACATAATTATTACTAACTTAGTAATCAAAATCGCATGGAAGTTTTTAGCACTGCGAGAACGGATTTTGAGACCTAAAATCTTGATAGCTACCTATCGAAAATGGCTTGAAAGTTTAATTTCAAACACACTAAGTTTCCAAACAGAATAAATAAAAAAGGCAGGTACTTATATCTTAAATTTTTTTGTAACTTGTAAGGTAACATACACGTTTGCATTTTTTTTCTGGTTCTGTTGGTCTTGTCTTTTGTTTTTTGATACAGATTTTTTAAAACTTTCAAACACCGCAACCGCATAAAAAATTAATTTTCGATTAGTCACTTTTCACAGACGTTGACTGAAGTTCGGGTTTGTTAATTATGGGTAAAAGTTAAACTAATTGAAAATATCAACAAATTATATGCAAGATTTTGCAAGACTGGTAACTATTACACACTTAAGGCGGATTTTTTTAACTTAAATGCATTGTTATAATATATCTATATATATATATATATAATTCTAAAGTAAAATATTTTAAGTTGTACATGACTTAGATCGAATAGTGGACAAATAACAAAAGCAATCAAAGAAAACTGTAATGCTTATACGTTGTACACAGGTTATTGTATACAACCGAGTTAAAGTTGATATTATATTCAGTCTTATTTTAAAGTTTAATGTACCTACCTTAGTCTATTTGAAAACTTAGTATGTTTGAAATTTAACTTTTAACATTAAAGCCATTAACTTTACACAGCTTTGTATTGTAACAATATTTAATACTTATGAGATTTTTATGTGGCTTAAATAGTGTTTTATTTTTGTGGTGAAAATCCAGATTTATGAAATCTCATCACTAATTTTATCACATTACTTGTGCTATACACCAAAGTCGTCGCCAGTTAATAGCAAAAGTTTACATTGCTTCATGCATAATGCAAGAAAGTTTCTATATTAAATAATCTTTGTTGTTTTAAACTTTATTGATAAATATTTTATTGTATTTTTATCTTATCCGTAGTACTTTACTTGATGAAATTATTAATTATGTATTAATAGACTTACTAACCAAGTATGTACCACCTCATAATTACGTTATAAATACACAATAAAAACAAAAATTGTAACTAGAAGAAAATGTGTACGCATGTTTTAATCATAAAAATGTTTAAAAATAAAATGAATATTACTTGACAAATAAATTTGATATGAAGTCATTTTTTTTTATGTACAATAAAATGTCTGTTATATTTTTTAATTAATTTGGCTAAACTATTTGCAGGGAATATAATTAAATTTATGTAAATTAAATTCAAATCATGCCTTCGATTTGTTACTCATTAATGTGATTTATGTATTCTTTCAGGCGGAGAAATCAAAGAAACAGATCAGTTATGTAAATACAGTTTGGACACATGCTTGAAAAATGTTTCTGTCGTTTTAAATAATACCGAACTGAACGGCATCCCTAAATCAAAGACCGACGTGGACATAGTTTGCAAGTAATAAGAAAACTATTATCATTATGGCTTCTTCTTGGGTCATAAAAATACGAGGCCACCTACTAATCTTAAATTCTGGTTGACAATGAGGAGAACGCAATGGTTTTATACTGTCATCGAATTTTTGTTTCCATTTACTTTATGACTATGAAAGTTACTTAATTCTTTGCAACTTTGTCAGATTATCCGATAAATATTTAAAAAATTGTAAAACTTTTTAAGTTTTCATGAAATATAACGTGTCTTATCGTTAAGATGGTTCCTGAACTGACTAAAAGGAAAAATTCAATAACTTTTTTTTTATTGTAAAACTCAAAATCAAGAGTGAACCCATTTTAGTATATTAATTATTCTATAGTTACTTAATAATTTATGTATGAATAAAAATTAAGTCATTAATTTTTTTTTAGTTCTTTTGATGTATAACTATATCTTTTAATAGAACAACTGGCATCATATAAAAGTGTAATAATTTTTAATTATTTTTAGAGGGTTTAAAATAGGTATGAAGTGCCTGGATGATTATTCGAAACTTTGTTTAACAGAAGACCAGAAGAAAACGGTCAGCGATCACATAATTGGCGCCAAATATACATTCAGATTTTTATGTGATGATCAAAAATTTCAAAAAGGTAAAAACGGAGTTAATTATATAATAATATAATAACTTATACTTTATAAAATAAAATACAATGTACAATACAACTATTAAAACAGATATTTTTTTTACATATAGTGTAATACTAAAAAGAAATCCTACATAAGTAAGACATTTTTATAGTTCATAACTGGTGTGTTAAAGCTGTTCATAAAAACTGAATAAATTTAAAAGTATATTGTGCGCTACTATTTTCTAAGGCGAGCCGGATATTTATATGGGTGCAGGCTATTTTTTTTTTTTTATATTTAAGAGGCTTCAACATCTGAGGTTGCTGGCTATTAAGTGGCATAAAAAATAGGCATTATTTGACATAATTCATTCTAGGGAGTATTTCAACTATGACAACTAAATAAAGGGTACATGACTATATTGATTTATACGTGTTACGTTACTTTTAAACTTATTTTTCTATGAGTTATGGGAAATGTTTTATAAAAAATTACTTTTCAAAAAAGGCCGATTTCGATTTTTATAATATAATGGAAAATATTTCATAAAAACCGATTTTCAAAAAGAAGAACATAAATCATAAACCAAGAAAAGTTAGTTGGAAAAACATTAGTTTCAATTATTTTGTAAGAGGTGACTAAATGATGTTTTATGCATATAGAAAAAAATATTGTTTTAATTAATCAACTAATAATCGCTAATAAATAATTATTATAATAGTTTAGTTTTTTTTATAATTTTAAGATTTGTATTGCTTTTAACGATACCGTTGTAATATCGTCAAAGAAAATGCTCACTGGACTGAATTAACTGAATTAATTTGATCAGCTGCCGTTTTTATGCCACAGTGCGCCGCATAATCATTAAAAGTTCCAATAAAACAACATCTCCACCTATTTGAATCCAATAAAATTTAAGACAAAAAAAAGGTTTAATCGTGATTATAATTTTTATTTTATTTTATTTTAGTTAAAAAATAAATCATAAACAAAATATGCCTATAGATAATTTAACAGTCCATTTATTAACAGCTAAAAACATAATATTATATTATTTCTAATGAAGTAAATACACGTGAAAAATATTTAAAATACTAAATAATCGCATTATAAAACCACCGAATCGTTTTAAGAATAAAAAATTAAATCCAAACGCTTTAAGTGTAATTTACGTAATGTGTATATACTAAGTGTATGTAATTCCATACTATTATTGGAATTAGGTGTATATATAAATTTCAAATTTCAATAATCCAAAATAAAAACCTACCTAAGCACCTTAAGTATTCCTTAATGTGTTTTAACACTATCCGAGAGCTTATATGGCGGTGATGAGCCAAAACTACATATTTATTTATTTTGTATGTAAATTTGTTGTGTCAGATAATAATGAACGTGGGTGGATATTTTAATGGTTTTCCAAAGGGTTCAAATATGATGTCACTTGTCACCGCAATCTATTGTTGATTGAAAATACCTACTACTTACCAATAATCTTCCACCGCATAATATGGTCGTGTTGATGTAATTTTTAATTTTTCCAGACTATTTAAAGTACACGGACTGCTATAGAGTAATAAATACAGACTGGGACGATTGCACTAACCGGTTTATGTCGCTGGTTCGAGAAGCAATGAATAGCAACTTGACAGAAGACATCAAAGTATTAGATCTGTGCTGGTAAGTCCATCTACGTTACAGTCCTTTGGTATGATGTGTACCTGTTCACAGTTGTATATACGAATAGTATTTAGTGTCTAGTGATTTTCAGGTATAATCATTTTGAGACTAGTTCTAAATTCAGAAACAAAACTGAGAAAATCTAAAAAAATGTTTAACCCCTCATACATATATTGTGTAGACATCCGGGTAATATGTTAGATACAAGAACAAGAGGATGTAAATATGACCCTTTTTTTTATATGGTTTTATAATATACCTGGTATATAATATTATATGCTTGAACCGTGAACGGTTCTCACATTAAAATATTCAAGTTTCAAGTGCTGTTTTATTCAAATTTACGGGTTGTTGATTTTATGGCGACATAAGCATCGGCAGCAAATAAAATTTATTGCCAAGTATAAGCAGGCTTTTATAACGTCTAAATATTATAGTCTCGAGTAAAGCGTGAAATAAAAATATGATATCCTATGCGAATATATAATGAATAATATTACTATCGTTTCGGACATCAATAAACACATGCCACTTTATAATATGGGGTTTATGTGTAAGTAGGTATACGATAATAAATTTTGATTAAAAAAAAATATCTGCTCGGTACCAGAACATGTAAATATAGGTACATACAATTATTCAATAAAACAGTAGCACGCTATAGCTATATACAAAAATGTTTACCTTTAATACAAATATGCCGAGAGGCTATAAAAAATGTAATTACACGAATGAGAATTTAAAAGTAAATCAATATAGATAAAAAAAAACGATCGAAATTGTTATATATAACTCACAAATCGCTCTGTATTCTAAAGAATATATAACTTAAACATGATTAAAATCACTGAACTTAAGTCAGTCGACAAACTAACATGAATAGTAATATTATAAACGCTAAAAAAACCTCAATGCAAATGTTTTTTTTCCCCCAAATAACATATTAATAATTAAGTACCTATACTTCCCACATGTTTTTTAAGTATTACTTTATTTATGATATTAAGTAAAATGAAACACACATAATTTCAACTACCTACCTGAATTTGGTTGATTATTTAAAATGTTTTTTATGTTTTGTTTTAAAGCTATATATACATCTAGCACGATTTAAACCATTGCTCTATATTTCACAAAGAGACATTTTGATGATGAAACTAACAAATAGCATATACTTAAATTTAAATTGTATCTGTTAAAATGTCACTAGCACAAATTCTAGTATTGTGTATTCAGTACCTTTTATACATTATATACATAATAGAAAAAATATTTTATAAATAAACGCATGTCTTACAGTATTATTCTTGATTCGTGAAATTAAGTATGTTTGGAAAAGGGACGTTAGCTGTTGTACTTGCTCGGGTTTATGGGTTAATGGTGCAAAAAGAGCCTAATAGACTTACAAAAGACAAACAACAACCCTAAAACATTAATAACATGGTTTACGTTCATGCTAAAACCTATAAAATCGACAAAATAAACAACTCTAAAAGAAACATTAACTAGTTACCTTGATCCAACGCTTTGCAGAACATTTGATGGTGATTTTATTAAATATATTTCCAAAAAAATTGTATTTTGCCATACCACTAAAAATGTATTAAACAGACATATTTGCCGACACGAAAATAATCCATTTCGAGTTACTTGAAACCAGAGGGAAGATCAGAATTTTTTAATTTCAAAATTAGCCATTGTTAATTACTTGACAAGACACGCACGAGTACTCCAACTGAAATACCTTGAAAGATATAATGCAAAAGCACACAAATATAATATCTTTTGTGCGCCAACTCAAAAGTCCAAAGAGTTTTCAACAAAATATATTATAAACAAAACTATAATACCTGTTTAATATAATAATTATGGAAAATTTAATAAACTTTGTCATTTGGAATCATTGAACATGCGATTTTGCGAATATTTTTATGCAAAAGGGAGCTCTTCGCGTTATACTTGAAAATCCACCGGACTGTCTCGTATAATATTAACATATAATTGTCCATCAAAAATAAAACAATCTTTGGTACCTACCTAAAAAATAAAGTTTAAGTAAACTTGGAATGCTAAAATGACGGAGAGTGATAATGCTTGTCACTCTTGACGCTAAAAATAATTCCAATGATGTAAATTTATTTTTTTTCGTGAAATAAAGTACTGTATACTTAACGCATAAAAAACGTCACAAACCTACTCGAATAAGCCCATCGAATAATTGAAGCTATTCCAGGAAAATAAAATTCGCATTTCTTGTTATATCACAGTGTGTGGGTTTATAATTGTACTTTATAAATGTATTTTGTCAAATAATTATCTGTTCAGTACTCAGGGTCGGACTGGACCGAAAGGCGAAAGAGTGATCGTCCTAATGTTTTGGGCAGCTTAAGCTAAAGACATAATTAATCAGAGCAGTGCTAAATTAATGGACCGTTTGTTAAACCGTCCAAACCGATACTTTACCCCAGCCCATTTTTGTGAACACATAATTATGTTGACAATAAAAATAAAATTTAAAAAAACATGCCAAAAATCAAAACTTTAAAACTTGCGAATTCAAGAAAAGTTATAGATTTATTCATGCTCCTTTTTTTTAGTCACAATTTAATAATAATAATATTTTTTATTACGGAAATAAATTCCAGTTACAAAATAACTTTTTTTTTTTTTTCATACATATAAAGATTCATTTGAAGACTTACCTAAGTATACAACGCCTTGCTATCAATATAGAACCTCATCTAAATTGTACCTTAATACTGTAATAGTAAACCTATTGCTGAAACAAACTGTAATAGTAAAACAAGTAGAAGTTAGAACAGTTCTTTCCTAAAGCCCTCGAGTTAGGTTGTGGTGCAAATACTTAAACAATTATTGTCACCTAGTATAGCAGGTAGCCATTTATAGGTAATTTAGTGGAACGTTGTTAACGATGAGAAGATATAACCAATTAAATACATTCAAGACGTTGAGTGGAGAGACTAATCTGGTACTGGCCTCGGGGGACTTTTATTAGAATGTCGACATTAAACTCGGTGGTTTTAGATCCAACCCTTAGGGGTAGAAAATTACAAGGATGTATAACATAATAATTGCAAGGCTGGATAGAGATAGATGGAATGAATAGAGTGTGTAATGCAGCAATAAGCCTTGACGGCCTTTGAAGCTGAAGGAAGAAGTTATAAATTATCATCTAAAAAATATTACGGTGGACTGATAAGAGAAAAAGTAATTTTAAAATTAAACTCTCATCATCGACAAAGTTTTGTGCATATCATGTAAATGTCATCATATATAATTCAACAGTACACCCTTTTGACACGTAAGCGGTGAATAATCAATCACTTAGTGCCAATATATTATATTATATTTATTCTAGTTTATTCCTGGCCGTGCAATGACGGTCAAAAATAAATAGTAAAAAAATACAGGATCACTGTGTACAGTGAAAACAAATTAAATACCGGGTGCCCCTAAAAGGACAGAATTTTTTATCGCGTTAAAAACACCTTTTTCTCATTAATCTTTTTATTGGTCCGCATGTCTAACATAATAATATCCATATAATTAATAATTTTTAACGTCAATCGATTTTGACCAGTTACCGGTATCAACAGTGTTAAGCATGTAGAGAACCGAAGAGGCATAATATATCTGAAAATATAGATGATTCCAACAAGAATACATAGATGACAGAATAACTAGATAGTTTCTAATATATTAATTAGATAATTTCTCCATAAAATCACCTAGATTGTTTTTAGATATTATTAGTAGATAATAGTAATAAATGTTTTTTTTTGTACTCATGTCGTGTCTAAATGAAAATAAATATAGTTTTGGCTGTTGTATGCAAAACAATTAAATTAACTATGTAGCGCTTACAAATCAAATAAGTACACGATGAATGATGATGATGTATCGTTTATGGTCATTATATCCACATTTGGTACATATGGAATTATTAAATGTATTCGAATAGTACACTTGTGGGTTGCAAAACATACACAGCCGACTCGCCAATTAGATTAATGAACCCTTATATTTACAACAGTGTAACTGTCAACGTCAACAAAAGTATAATGTAATTATTTGATGTGTGTTTACCGTCGGAATGAATTACTTATAATTTATTTTGTAAGCTACAAATATTATTCAGTAATAATTATTACTGAAAAACCAAAATTAATTAATTTAAATATAAATCCACAGTTACACATGTTATTAAAAAAACATTCTGTTTGATATTTGTTTTATTACAATATTATGCTACTATATATAATACTATCTAATTGTAAAATGTAATGTAACTTGAATCAAAAACGCTATACATTTCATATACAATACAATTTAATAGCCAATTTACCCTACACTAGGTTCAGTGTTTAAAATAGTTACCTAAACTCAATTTAGGAGTACTACATTTTAACAGCCTTGCATACATGTGTGCTTTATAATGTAATAAAATAATTAACTACTTACACTCTATAAAAATCACAGTGAATTGTAAATAGTATAGACAGATACTTTAAATTAAACTTAAAAACTAAAATGACATAATTAAAAACAGCAATACAATTAACACAGATTTTGAAGACCGTTTTTGAGTTCTTTGTTGGATTTGCATGTTTTAAGAATGAATAATTTTCTTACCATCACAATTCTGGTTAGGTTAAATTTATTAACCTAATAAATAATATTTTTATTTTCTCATGTTCAATTGTTTCATAAAATAATAAATTGTAACTCGCTTGTATTTAACGATGTGTTGCAGTGCCAAACATGGATTTCTTAATTGCGTATACACTACTAGCAAGATTAAATGTGGCATCGAAGAGGCAGTTTTTATACAAAAAATCGCCGACACTTTATCAGATAATCAATTAGTGTCGCCAATTTGCCGCCATATCACGCTAAGTCATTGCAACAATACTCAAAATGTAAAATACAACATGTTTATCGTAACATTAAGTTTTTTAATAATTATTTGGAATAATAAAACATAATTTTATCGTATGATAATAAATAACATTTATATATATATATTGTACATAAAATACATTTTCAATGCCATAATTAATGAGATCATTAATAACGGTAAACTATAAAAGTCATAATGTACACAAATATATTGTATTTACAAAAATAATAGATATTTAACAAGAAAAATGTAATAAAAGTCTCATTTGTAATAATTACTCACAGTGATTTTTATTTACCATTGGTATCAACTGCAGAGTATTACCCTGTAGTTGTTTAAAACGAGTGCCATCCACTCCTATTAACAATCCAGCTAGTCCGTACAATAACGATAAAAAAAGAGCTAACGACTGAACAATAACAAAATGTGATATAGACATTCCGATATCTAGCCAGCTTCCAGTATTTTTAATGAAGTACAAAAAATGTAGACCCATTATATTTGACATGGCCAACATTAACGAGAACACATTGGCAGGCGGTATCTAGTAAAACAAAATAGCAAAATTTTATGTTTTGTTAAAAGAACAATTTTTAAATTAACAACAACAAACCTCTAGTTTAACGCTCGTGACATAGAACGTGCAGCATGTTAATAAAATCGGTGTAAGTATTTTGAACAGTACTAGTCCAAAAGTGGTAAACGGCGAAAACACCGAAACAAAACACTGTCCGACAGACGGATCAAAGGAATTTATCGAAGCTATATTTCCCATGCCGAAAAAAGATCCAAAGCTGAACAATAACTAAACATACATTTCAATATAGAAATACAATAAACGTCAATTACATATTTGATATTAAAAAATATTGTGATTTGCTTACAAAATAAAACGCATGTCTCCATTGAGTCCGTAGAGAGTCTGATGACTGTTCCGACTGAATCGCTATCTTCCTCCAACACGCTAAAGTTATTGTTAGCACCAGCATAAAAATAACTTCCATATTGAGCGATAATTGTACGTAAACTGCACTTATAGACAAAAACAAGGAAGTAACATTCGATATCATATCTTGTGTTTTTTTAAATACACACATAGACGTTACTGAAAATAAATAATTAAATACATAAATATATACATATATAAATATTTATTATAGAATAAAAACTAAAGTATTACTTGAAATCGACCAAGATAAAATCTTATTCAATGTTGATAAGCCCAATTTGTTTTCTATACTATTCGACACAAACATAACGTTGACAATCGCCAATGCTAATAATACAACTTGCACAAAAGAATATGTTTTACGTATCCCACTTTGGTTTTTTAAATGCATTATCCCGGCTAGCAGCCAAACGACTCCGCCTATTACACTAATTTGACAAAAATTAAAATTAAACATAACTTTTTAAAACAACATATTTCGTTAATTACACATATTTGATATCTGTTTGGCCGTCAATAACCAAAGTCAAAGGACAAATTGAAAACCACGCCGACGAGATAAAAACAATAATTGCTTTATTGATAGGAAATCCATATTTTATTGAACTATAAGTCATCCACAAGCACAATATGATTAAAGCTAAGCTTAATAAGTGTCGTTCAAAAAAGGTCCAAACCTGTTGACGAATAATAATAAACTATAATAATTGGTTTACAATGTTATACAATGAATCCTGTCAACGACGGAATCTTACTGAACCAAAAGATAACTATTTTCCAACTATTTCAGTTTTAATACAGTTTTTTGGTTTAAGTACGGGATGTTTTAAACAGATTTCATTGTATAATAATTAATTATTGTTATTTAGTTGGATTATAACATTTAAACCATAGAAATTCTTATACTAAATAATGTTGTTTTAATATATTTTTTAATTTTAAAAACCACAACCGTCAATAATAGCATACCGTTTAAAATAGCAATTTACCAATAATTCAATGCCAACAAAGTAGAACAAAATTTCAAAAACATCCGCCTTGTTTAAGTTTAAAATTATCTCGGAAATGTTTGCGTAGTTAAGTCTTTGTAGAATTTGAGAAATGCAAACCCACCATATCACTGATAGTATTATGGTATAAAAGTGAAATTGCAGTGGTAGTGCTTGAGCTGTAAAATAATAAATCATGATTATAAATTAGCTGAATAATCATGTATTTATTTAAACAAAACTGTTTACCATAAATAAAAACTGAACACGAAATAGTAGCCGTACAAAATATTGCATTGATTATGTTTTTTGTTCTCCGATTTATCTCATTGCATGTTGTTATTTTCATAGTTTCTAGTATGAGCAAAATTATCCATCCAATGCCAATAAAAGTAACACACAACAAAAGTGGCCACTTGTAATATGTATTGTAATAGTCGATTCCATTTAGACTCAAATGTATCCAATCATAACACAATTCTATCTATAAAAAAATCAAATTATTAGTTTATATTATAACTAAATATTTTTTTTTTTTATATAATTTTATACAATAGATATATAAAATATTTTACACATTTGTCAACTTTAGATTCGATCACAAGCTGTTTGGTTTTCTGAACAAACTCGGTTTGTACATTTGGGCCAAGAGGTTCAAAAGGAACATAAAACTGTCGAAACGTATGGATTTCAATTTGTTCACGTAACGTTGAAAATGCGGCATTCAGCTGGAGAGCGTTTGCCAATAAATATTTAGCCTTTTTAATGGTGTTGGACGAGAACAAATTAAGTGGTAAAATACCCTGCAAATAAAACGATAGAAAAATTTTTATTTTAAACAACACCATTTAGATTTAGTATGTCATATAAAAGAAACATACCACTGAATTTACAGGTATAGGAACACCAATCAATGTTGACATAAGAGGGGCGACATCAGCTTGCCTAACATCCAGCGGTAAAGAGTCTGTCTGTTTTTTGGCACCAGATAATCCCGCTCCCCAAGTAATAATCGGCACTTCAGTTTCGCTAGGTAAACCATCTCCATGTGAACCTACCGTCAAATTTTAATGTAATGTTTATACAAATTTTCTTTGCTTATCTCTAATCAAGTGTTGATACATTACCCCAATCAGTCATTCCGTGATCGGATGTAAAAATGTATGCTGTACGATTATCGTTGTAGAAAGATTCCAGTAGTTCAACAGTTTCTTTAACGCCGTTTTCGATTACCACCAAATTGTCTAAATATTCTCTTTTAAAAAAAAAAAAGTAATAATGAAAACAAAGACTTATTTATAAAAATTGTCCTAGTGAAAGCTAAGGTATTTACTTTGAATGTGGTTTGTCAATATGTCCTGAAACATCTGTACCCAACAAATGTAAGAAAAAAATTAATTTTTTTGTAGCTAGCATAGTTTGAATAGAAGCATCAATTTTTGAGTATTCTATGAATGATTTTATCTTATCGAAAACCCATTCAGACAACAGCGCACTAGAACCATTTTTTCCAGTAAAATCTTGTAAGTCAGACTGATATGAATGCACGTGTACATTTCCTGCGACATTTCCTAAAAAAAAAAAAACCAACACTATAGTATAATACATACCCAACTAGGAAACTCATAAATTATAATACATTAAAATCCTGTACAGTTTATATACTTAAATGTTCACCTTTTTTAAAAATGTTAATAATATCGGGACTTCCCCATGAAAGGGTTAGAGCACTCTTGTTAAACACGGAATCAAAGTCAACAACATTATCTTTCCAACCCTAAAGAAAATATTTATTATTTTAAAGAAATGTACGTTAACTTATTTCAATTGAATGTACACACATTGGCCATTGCTTACTTTAAAAATGGCTGATGGATCCTCGTAAAACCCTGCAATAAGGGCAATGTGTCCGGGACGGGATTCAGTGGGTACTCTAGTATGGCATATACCATAAGATGCCGCGGAGTCGATTATGTTCCTAATGAAATAATTAACATACAATACAAATTTAATAATTCTAAAAAAAAAACAATTTATATGTAATTTTTGTACGCCTACTTGAACAATGTGCTGCTTCCATGATTTACATGATCATAGAATATGTCAGCGCGCAGTCCATCGGCCACAAACAGTACTAAACGATCAGCGGGTGGCTCGAACTGAACTTTTTGATCAGGAATACCACTTATAATGGGAGATTTGAAGTAGATGTCGAATATCGAAATTAATAATGACAACTGAGCAACGAACCCCAGTATCAATATCTTTACGCTAACCATTTCTTACATACCTACTTGACGATTTATTAAATAAAAATAATGCAACTACGGTAAGTAAGTGACACAAATATTTAAATATGGAAAAATTAATAGCACAAGTATTATAATATATTGTATACATTTAATATTGAAACGAACAATTATTAATACTAACGGCCGGTTGACATATACCTATAAAGAAACGTTTACAGCTTACTCTTTAAGTCTTAATAGGTCTTTGCCGGTTGATCGTTGTAAATTGACAAAAAATAATAATTGCTTATTGCTCATCAACAATCAAATTCTCGATAACGTTATCTATGGCGGTTATCATACTAACAACAATAACATTATTATCAGCTAAATGCTAATAAACAATTGTAGTGATAAGGCGAATTGATAGTAGTTGGGCGAGTTTTCGTCGTAGGTTTATGTAGGTATTTAATTAAAAACTGTTAATAAAGTGACAAAACGCCGAACTCGATTCATTCGAAATGAACAATCCTAGTTCCGAGGGATTGCCGGCGGTTATGGAAAATTCAGATTCGTTCGATAGTGGCATCAAGAGTTTCTCGAGATCTCCATCGTTAACTTCCATCGATAGATGGCCAATATTTTTTTCATCGTCCAGAAAACCGAAACCGGATCGAAAACTGCCCAAACGTGAGTTGCTTATGTTTAATGTACAACACAGCTTTCATATTTTGATGATTTTTATTTTTTTTACTTAAAACTTTCATTGTGCACGTATTTTCAATAAGTAGGTATATTTGTTGCGTTAATATAATATATTTATTTATTATTATTTGGAATCACCCTACGACTACAAACATAAAATTGTCTTATGAAACGCGCATCGAATAGTTACTAATTTACTGAAAATACATTGAAATGCTAATTGGTGTCAAACACAGTCGCCATAATTACTTATCCTTATTCATACATCAAAATTTTCCCATTTTTTAGTTTTCTGCTAGCATAACGTTTGACAAGATAAGTATTAAAATATTAGAATTATATGTATTATTAAATCAATAGTAGGTGTAAATTTAGATTAAATTCATATACCAGATATCTTTATCGAAAACTATTTTATACATGGATAAAGATTCATCTTGAAGTTTGATTGTGTCTTTATCTGCAATGTTATATGTAAGGTAACCCCTTCTAAGTAAACGTGCCGTAACTAAAAAAAAAAAAAAAAGGCATTACCTACAGAAAATGTATACAATTGGTTTTTTACTTGGTTGAATCGGTTATTTATATTTTTTTATAACATTTGAACCACCTCAAAAGTATCGTTAAGCAAATGTTGTTTCTTAATTTGTATAAAGTGCTCCATTTAGCTTTTTCTATATTAACTAGTAGTTATGTAGTTACCAATTAGTAGTTACAATCCTTTTCAACAGTGCAACCCATTCACAATTATATCAACAAAGTTAAAAGAAAGATTTTCCAAATTATCATTATTGTGTATTGAAAAAGAGTTGTCTAATGAACTAAAAACAGTTAATAATAATAATAAATTTGCTGAGAAAGTTTGAAAGCTTAAACTTTAGCTAACTAGGTTTTTGTGTTACACTATTTGTTGTCTTGGCAACTGATTGTTATTTGTTTAAAAATCAGTTAATTTAATTAACGTCCAAGGTTTTAAATTATAAATATGTACACCAACAGAATATTGTTTAAAAATTGTTATTTTAAGATACTAATAAGGCTACACGGGGGGAAACCAAAATTTTGGTAAATTGAATCATTTTTATTTTGTACATATTTGAAGAAGGTTTTTTCTAGTATTTTGCAATAAATGGTTAAAAATCAGTGGATTAAGCTATTGAACATTTAAAAACGCTAAAGCACAGATAAAGTTCTCCTCTATTTATTGTGAAAACTTATGGGTGATTTTAGATCAATTACAAGACACTTATTTTAATTTACGCACAACTGTTTGAATGTAAAAAAAATTGTTATCTTTAAAAATTACTGTGATAGTCTGAGAAAAAATAATAACAACCAATAAAGAATCCTCATTACAATAATATAATACATTTATAATTAGTATACATTACAGTGTAAATTCTACACTAAATTAGGATTTTGCGAAAAATTGCCTATACTTTACTCCTTAATAAATGGGTGGATATCGTCTTCATGACTCCTTTTGGCTTTTGACGTTATTATTCATGATAAATCAAGTTTTGATGTTTTTAATTGAGCTCCCTTTTAATGTTATAACAGAAATACCCACTCCTCCAAACCACGCAGAATTTAATTTTCCACTGAAATTATTCTTGTCAGTTATTCGTAGTTTCGATTTTTCCTTAGTTATTAAATATTTAAAGATCTCTCTGAAAATCTATATGGCTATAATTTGACAACGTTGACAAAGAAATTAAAATTGGGTTCAAGTCAGAGTTACGAAGAATGATATACTCTAGTGTAATTTATTTGCATTATAAACAATAGTTCAGAATTTAATAATAGACGACTATAAAAAGCCATTGAATTATCGAGCCACTGAATCCGGTTAGGTTAGGTTAATAACAGGTAAAAGAACTGGTGCTGAAATTTGTATAGGTATAACATTTTACTCAAGATTTTTTTTTATTAATATCGAAACTTAGTTCCTAAATTTTTCGTTAAATACGTTGCTATTTATTTTTATAGCATTGATTTATAATTTGTAATTGTTTCTGACTAAGAGTTTTCAAATTCCCGTCCCTTGTTCATTAAAATTATTCGGCTAATTTAGTTATAGGCTGTATAGTTAAGTTATAATTATTACTTACGGTCACTGATCTGATAACGATTGTTATCTATTTTCTGATAAACTGATGTCTGATAATTGATAAACCATAAAAATTATTGTTGTACTTTATAACTTGTACTTAGCGATAGGTAAGACAATTTTGCGTTCTAAATGGCTGAAAAAAAAATTTTAATATTTCCTCAACAAAAAAGATGTTTGCAGGATAATAAAATGTAATTTGATTTCGTGAATTAACATTTAAATTTAAACTTATTGTAGACTGTAGTATAGTTTAAATGAGACATTGAACGCTCTAGTAGCCGAAGTTTCAAAAATATAACCATAATCACATTTTAGAGATATAGAATTGTATTATATTTTCAAATTATTTCTAAGAAGCTCGATAACTAAGCTACTAATTCTTATATCGTGAAATAAGTTGTTGTTCAACAATCAATATTCAATTGCTTTTGATGTCACAATTAGATTATCGTAGATTGAAATAGACTTATATTTAATCTATGATTTCCAAATGTTATTATTTTTTTATCGCAGAATGAACGCTATTAAACAGGGCGATCAATTAGAGTTAAATTTTCTTGGAAAACATATAATTACATTTTTTTTTATTTTACAACATTATACAACTTACAAAGTATTTTCAACTTTTGGCTACTTTGTCATCTTTTGTTGGGTTAAAAAATATTACAGCATAAAATACTATTATTATAAAAAAAAAAAGTATTAAAACAAATTAAAATATAAGTTACCATTTAAGTTTCTTTTACCTGATAAGCTGATAGAGCTATGGCAAATACAAAAAAAAAGAAAGATAAATATTTGGGCTTTTTTAAATATTATAAATTAACAATTATTTTTCAAGAAAACAAGTAGATCACCCTATATTTTAAACAGGTGGGCGAATAAAGGGGGGGGGCGACTATGAGGGACTGAAGCCTCTCCCTTAATTATGTTTATAAATTGTATCCATTAAAAATAATATTTTTGTTTATTTTTTTACTATGTAATATTTAAATCTATATCTAATGCTTATGGGTTTTTTTCCACCCCCTTTTAATTTTTGTTCAGTCTTAGATACGGTCATTTAAGCAGGGGTTCAAAACGCGTTTTGGCCAAAATTTACAATTTTTGCTTTGCCAAAAAAAAAAACGATTATAATATAATACACCATTAAAGCAATATGATCGTGTAAACACTTCAACTACTTTTGACCTATATAATAAAATATTAAAAAAGACCATTTTTTAACTAGTTTTTTGGAACTTGTAACCGAAAGTTTCGGTTCGAAAAATTCCAGGTAGATCACCTCGGTATAAAAATAACTTTTTAAATTTGTTATATAGGTCAAAACTATTTAGACGAACATAATGTTTTAAGGTTATTAATATAGGTATGTATATTTTTGTTGTTTAAAGAAAAAAATGTAAACTATAGCCGAATGCGTTTCCAAACCCTTCATTAAAATACAAATATTTTAAAGATATTTTATTTTTTGACTTAGACAATACTTTTATTAGGAAACTGAACGAGTGTATTATGTTTTACTTTAAAATTTGTCTGTTCTCTACTTAATCGAGCTCGATTTTGTCATTGCACCAATTATGTAACACAAGTTGTCGACCTCCACACTAACACACACACATAGCTAATTTGAACGAAGGGAGAATAATTCCAAAATAGTGTATAGTGTATACAGGGTGATTCGTTAAGGATAAGACACTAATTTTCTCGGAAAATAATTACAATTTTTATAAAGTTATTAAAACTTGAGTGGGGTATTGTATTTACACTATTTAGACAACTTTCGATTACGCCCACTTGAGTAGTTTATCTGGTCTGCCATGACCAGTCAAACTACTCAAGTGGGAGTAACCGCAAGTTGTGTAAATAGTATAAAATATAAATACAATTTTTAAAACAATAACTCCAATATTACAATTTTTTTTTTAAAGAAAATGAGCATCTTATCCTTAATGAATGACTATTATCATTGTATACACCCATTTTCGGTGTTCCATACTTATGCGGGGGCGTTTGATAGTAGTAATATATTTTCATACAATATAATTTATCTATCCATAGTGTTGTGTAGACTTTAGAAACAAAAAAACAACTACCTATTGATATGTGTACGGTTTTATAAAATTGTAGATAAAATTATCTAGGGACGTAGGCGTTAACTTATTAGAATATAATATATATTTAACAATCGACATAATTTAATTGATTATATGTAAAATATAATATTATAGTGATTAAATCCTGTGGTTAATATTGTATTTCATTTGTATTGTTCTTTATGATCGGCAAATAAACTACTGTCTAATTATTAACAATGAGTAATGAGAAAAAAGTACAACACTAGTACTAGTTACAACAACGAAATAATAGTATTGTATTATTTTTATTAATTGTGACTTTTGTATTATTATAATAATAAGTATACAAACTTTTTTTCGATCCGGGTCCAATATGTTTAATTAACTTTCCTATTTTCGCAATTTCAAACTCGGTTAAAATATTATTAAAGTAGCATTTGCTTTAGTTATAATAAATAAACGTACATTTTTGCTTGGTAATGTTTTCATTTCCTGGATTTAAGTACTGATTTAAATAACTCAACATAATTACATAGATACCTATGCAATTTTATCCCCTTATTTCCCTTAGGTCAGCCTGTTACAATTAAAAAACAATGTGAGTTTAAACAGGTAGGCATTATTTGAACAATTGTCATTTAAATTAATTGTTTAGTTTGGGATAATATACATCGTGATTCATGTCTATGGCCAATATATATATAGTTGTGTACATTGTATATATATGTCTGTTTTAATAATTAAAAACTGATGTATTCCTAAAAAAAAATTTCAAGTTTATTATTTTTTTATCAATGTGTACTGCATATAGCAAAGAAGTCATATATTCGTTTTTAATACTGATGTAATTTTTTTGTTATAGTCAGTAAATATGTTTTACTCTTATACTGTTAACACTATGTTAACTATATTATTCTAAATTGTGCTTGGGCATGTTTATGTTTACTTGACTGTCAAATGGTTGGTAATTTAAATTACAAACTCATTAAAACAGAAACTTTATATTTATTGTAAAATGTAATAATTGTCGGTGTGTTATATAAACTAAAATAAATTTTCCGAGGTAAATTGGATGTGAAAGTGAATAAACTAAAACGAGAATAAAAATGTTACCAAACAAATGTGGAAAAACATTTTTTTTTTATAAAAAAAATAAAACCCCCAATAAATGAAATTTATTATGTTTGTTTATGATATTGTCTTTAGGGATGTAATGTATGCGTATTATGTTAATTAGTGAGGACAAAGAAAAAAAATACCTTATATTATCGGCTTCGCACTAAAGCTTATGTCTTGTATTTAATTTTTAAATCAAACAAATCTCAATACAAGCGATTAAACCCGATTAAAACTTCTTAATTACCTTAATTATTAGCCGCGTTTATATTTGAACTCGGACCTCAGAACTACTTAACTAATATTTTATTACGCATACGAATTAAAATACAATAAATAATAATAATTGCGTGGGTTTAATATTATGTTTTTATTGGACCTGTTAGTAATAATTTGTATTCATAACTATGCTGATGCAGTTGTGGCGTAGGGGTAACGCCCAAACCATCGAATAAAGACTTCTCGCAAATCGCAGTGATATGATAAAAGTATAAAATCGAAAACACAATCTACATGTACGTTGAAGTAGTTCAGCATTACGAATTATTAGCAATTCTTGAAACCAGCTTGTAAAAAATGCATTAAAAACGAAAACACACGTTTGTTTAGTGTCGTACCTATATATTATTTATATACATTATTATTTCAATATAATAATATGTCTCGCATGTTGTCAGTTTTTTTCTTGTTTGCAAAATGTCATACCGGTTAAGCAAGCAATCGTAGTAGCAATATATTATGTATTACTACGATTTGAAACGCGCGTTATTAACAATTTTTTTTTTTAGTTTTCGACTGCACTGTCGATAAAAAAAACTATTTAGTGTATACCAGCTAGGCTGCAGGTGCCTCTGTAATAAAAAACAAAACTTGGTGAATGTGTGTGCGATTGTGTCAGCTGATATTTGATGAAATCTCGATAACGACATGTATCGATATGAAATTTCGATGTTGACGACGATTTCGATTTATCGCCGTGTGCGTTTATCGACGAATTTTCAAGTAGTTTGTAAGCAAAATATATTTTAAAATACCGTTCGGTTCTTCTTAATTGTCGTTTTTAATATTCCTACTGCCATAATATTCTTTATCGGTTATCCGATTGCCGCCAATCGAGTGTTATCAGCTGTTATCACCGACAGACAATCTTTACCACGGTGTTGTTTTTTTTTTTATTTTGTTCGTTACAATCGATAGTGGACAACCGCGGTATCGATACGGTGTCTCTCGGTTGCGCTCTGGCCCGTGAACAAGTCAACTGCACAGTCAACGCTCCTGGCCGACGTCCGCCTCGTAGAAATCAATACTGCCTACCATCTCGGCGCAGACGGTATTGTGTTCCAAGGCGTATCGTCCACATCTGTTCAATATAAATATATAATATACAATTATTACATCCGGATTTATGTGTATAATATATAACATATTAATACACTATTAATCGAAAACGAAGGACGTATTTTTTTGCTTGTCTGTTTGTTTTGTTACCACAAGGGTGTAAGTCATGTTTGAACATTAATCCAATACTCAATGTGAACCGGCTTTGTGGCTTTTTACAATACGCGATTTTCGTAATTATTATTTTTCTTTTCATGTAACGTTTTTATTATTTTTTTTTTTTTACTGCAACAACGCTATTAGCTTTGCAAATTTTTTTTACACAATACCTACCTATCATTACATCGCTTGTTTATTTGGTATTTTTTTTTTATTATTTTTCTTTTAGTCAAAACAGAAAAATATGTGTGTTTGAATAAGTACTGAAACAATATTGGACACGCTCGCAATGTCTGCCAAACAAACGCCTTCCATTATCGGCAAAATCTTCCGGGCCTACGAAAAGCAATCTGGTAATAGTTCCTGTATCGTGCTGGAAAATCGCTATCAAGACGACGTGTTGCTGTTCGAGAACAACACACTGTGCGTGGCGTCTGGTGTCGAATTCGAATCGATCAAACGACAGTGTGTGAAAATAGTCGACGCTTACGGATGCTTGGGCGTTTTAAATGTAAATATTGAGAATAAACTAGCTCTATACTTGGTACTAGTGACCGGCTGCCAGTCGGTTGGCAAAATATCAGATGCGGAAATTTTCAAAATTACCCAAACTACATTTGTGTCGTTGCACAAACAACAAAATGAAGATTCTGCATCTGAGGTTCGGAAACTTTTAAACAGTGGAAGTTTTTATTTTTCAAGGTTCGTGTCGCAGGAATTGCGTTTTGACCTAACACTTTGTGCTCAGAGGCAATGGAACAGTTGTAATCCAGATCAACGTTTCTTTTGGAATCGTAATTTGCATATATATTTCATTAGATTTGGTATCGATACTGCTCAATGGCTGATGAAAATCGTTTGTGGTAGTATCGAGGTAAAAACCGTTTACGCTCGTCACAAACAAGCAAGAATCGCCATTATATCAAGGTTGAGCTGTAGACGTGCCGGTACCAGGTTTAATGTCCGTGGTTGCAACGATGACGGTTATGTTGCAAATTTTGTCGAAACCGAACAAGTGGTTTACTTGGACGATGAAGTGACTTCATTCGTACAAATCAGAGGGAGTGTACCATTATTCTGGGAACAGCCCGGTGTCAATGTAGGGGCTCACAAAGTGAAATTATCAAGAAGCATAGAAGCTTCTGCCGAAGTTTACGAAAAACATGTTAAATCGCTCAAAGAATGTTATGGTAATACAATTTTCATTAATTTATTGGGTGCAGCCAATGTGAACAGCAAAGAAAACGAATCGTCTTTAAGTTACGCATTTGAACAAAAACATTCTACTTCGACATTTTCCTTTATACCGTTTGTTGCATTCGATTATCATCAAGAGTTCAAAAGCGGTGGTGAAAAAAGTCTACAAAAGCTAAAAAACACGGTAGGACCTTATTTAGATTCTTTTGGTGTATTTTATGCTAAAGGAAATTCTGTAGTAAAACATCAAACTGGATCAATGAGAATTAATTGTACCGACTGTCTGGATCGTACTAATTGTATTCAAAAATTTTTCGCACTCGAAGTATTAGTAAAACAGTTGAATCTTCTTTGTCCGAATGAAACCGATCAAATAGTGTCCAGATTTGAAGAAGTTTTTCAGCAACTTTGGGTAAATAATGGCAATGAAATTAGTAGGATTTACGCAGGCACCGGTGCCATTCAAGGTGGTTCCAAGTTGCTGGACGGAGCTCGTTCGGCTGCTAGAACGATTCAAAACAATTTATTAGACTCCAGCAAACAAGAAGGATTTGACATCTTACTGTATGGAAACGCAATGAGCCACGATCTGTCGTTGAAGGCTAAAACTCTTTTACCGTATAACGTTTGGCAGTGTCATCCAGATCTAGTTGAAGTACTGTGTAAAAAGTATAAATCATACACGTACAAAAGCAAACTACGAGTTGCCGTTGCCACTTACAACGTCAATGGAGGCAAACATTTTTTAAACTTTGATTCTAACAATTTAGAATCTTTATCAAAATGGCTTTTAGGACCGTTTAACGCTCCTTTATTCGATTCATCGAATGAGTTCTTTTTGAACGAGGACAACAATCTTCCTGATATTTATGCAATCGGATTTGAAGAAATAGTAGATTTGAATGCAAGCAATATAATGGCTGCCAGTTCAGATAATGCCGATTCGTGGAACAAAAGTCTAAATAAAGTTCTATCTTCTAAAAGGGAGTATGTGTTGTTGACTAGTACTCAACTTGTCGGAGTGTGTTTATTTATATTCATAAAACCAGAACTTTTGCCTTACGTACGTGACGTGACAACGGATTCTGTAAAAACTGGAATGGGAGGCGCCACCGGTAATAAAGGCGCCGTTATGGTACGATTTACATTAAATGCAACAAGTCTTTGCTTTATATGTTCTCACTTTGCAGCTGGTCAGTCTCAAGTCACCGATCGCAATGCTGACTTCAATGAAATAACCAGAAAACTGAAAGTACCAATTCAATCCAACGACTACGTGTATTGGTGTGGTGATTTTAATTATCGTGTGGACATGGACCGATTAGATCTTATAAACCATGTCTTTGATGGCGAATTGGATGAAATATTGAAATATGATCAACTTTTGGCTCAGTATAAAGATAAAAAAGTATTTGAAGGTTTCTTAGAAGCACCAATCACTTTCCCTCCTACTTACAAATACGATATCTTATCTGACGATTACGACTCGAGTGATAAGTGCCGTACACCCGCTTGGACTGATCGAGTTTTGTGGTTCACCAATGAAAATAACGAGTGGCCAGACGGCAAACAAGTATTCTACGGACGTGCAGAAATTAAAGAAAGTGACCACAGACCCGTTATGGCTTGCTACGCAATCGATATATTGTGTGTGGATCAGAATCAACGCGAACAAATACTCAATACGGTGTGGAATGAATACGGTCCGGTTGACGGTGTAATTTATGTGCACATTGCAAATACCGATTTCCCTAAAGACGACGAGAATTTCAAAAATATAATGCTCCAGGGCTTAGGCTCTTTTGGTAAAATACTCAACGTTAAATATTTTATAGACCGAGCGGAAATAACTTATGAAAATGGCCGCTTTGCTTCCAACGCATTAAAAATCAAACAGATTTCCATCAACAATTATACATTGATTTTGACGTCGAAAGAGACTAATTGGATAACAAAAATAAAGAATGAAATTGAAACTGTCACTAATCGCAACATTCCCTTGTGGACGGACAAGTTAAGAGCGGCTCCAGTGCGTCCACCGTTACCAGCGAGATCCGATCAAGTGGCTGACGGAATGCCCAACTATCCGCCGCCTTCGAATCCTTCGAATACTCCTTTACCCCCTTTACCTCCTAGACAGAGGTTGCCCCCTCCACTCCCTCCAAGAAACACTTAATACAATTATTTTAATTAAAAAAATAATTATCAAAATAATATTTTTTGTTTTTGTTTTACATATAAATAGAGTTATATGTATTTGTTTATTATTTATTGGTCCAATATTGTTAAGTACCAATTGTATTCATTGATTTTTAAAACTTTCCATTTAAGTAGTTACTTTTCAATTTTGATCTGTTGTTATTATAGTTGAAATATGTAACGTATCAATTTTTGTTTTTAATGAAGCTGTTGATTTATGGTTAATCTTTATTTTGAACAAATAAATGCAATGTAATACTTAAGAGACATCTTTACAATTTGTTAACTACGATAGGTGTATTTTTATATTTTTTTATTATTTTGCATTTGGATTTATAGTTCCTGAATTTTTGTTTGCATGTTATTATTTTTTGTTATTTTGTGTTAATATATTATTATTGTTTATTATAATTATTTCTTTTCTTTTTATTTTTACCGAGCTGGTACACATTACTTTTTTTAAACATAATTTACTGAGGTCATTTTTCATTTAACCAAAGAATTATGATGTTACACAAATGGATGCAAAACTTGGATCCATGCTCGCAAGAATTATATTTAAGCAATTTTCGGGTGTTCGTTGAGGGTGAATGGTTATGTTTACGCGAAGTCGACGAAGATCCACTTAACGATATTTTCCCATCACAATGTCTGACTTCTCCAGATCTGCCGTTCTTATTAGGTATTAGATTATAACATTAAAATCACATTAGTCATAAAAAACGTTTTAAAATATTTGACGCTATTTATCTTAAATATTGTTTAAATAATAATGCCGTTTTAAATTTAGATCGGGATCCAGTATTGATCGAAAGGCGTAACCTGGTGAATATTTCTAAGCTGATCGTTAAGGAACTGATAGAAAACTCGCTGAAAAACGGTCGTATGCTAGATTCTGATCACGCGCCATTGCAACACTTCTTTATAGTCTTGGAACATGTGCTTCGACATGGTTTGCGTCCCAAAAAAGGTCTGTTGGGTCCCAAGAAGGAGTTATGGGACATACTTCAAATTGTCGAGAAGCTTACTCCCGAGGCGCAAGAGTTATCCAACAGCATTCGGGATTTGCCCACTGTCAAGTAAAAATTTTGATAAAACAAAAAAAACCATTGGTTTATCTTAAATAAATATTTTAGTATCATACAGAAAAAATAAATGTTAACTAATTACAGGACTCAAATGGGTAGAGCTAGAGCGTGGTTGAGAGTAGCGTTAATGCAAAAAAAGTTAGCCGATTACTTGAAAATATTAGTGGACAACCGTGACGAGGAATTAGTGGATTACTTTGAACCGGACGCTTTGATGATGAGCGATGAAGCTGTTGTCATCGTAGGCCTAATGGTTGGACTCAACGTAATTGATTGCAATTTGTGCATTAAGGCAAGTCCTAATATTGTGTTGTCCAATCGATTGTGTCGTTAATCGTTTTGTATTTCGATAGGAGGAAGATTTAGACTCTCAGCAAGGTGTAATTGATTTTTCGTTGTATTTGCGCTCCAGTCACCACTCAGCAAGTCATCATGTACAAGGCACGGTCAGTTGTCCTGATAGTCCGTTAGGTTTGGAATCGGATAGCATGAACGTCGTTCTCGATCAAAAAAACTATATCGAAGAGCTCAACTGCCATTTGAAGTTAGCAACGATACGTATACTGTTGCAAATTGAAATTAGTATACTTATTATTTATAATAATTATTATTATCCGTAGGGCGACAGTAGCTAACTTAGAATCCAAAGTAGAAACATTGACTACATCAAATACTCTGATTAAAGAAGAACTTGAAATGTCAAAAACCAGTTTATTAGTGCTGAAAGAGGAAAACCAATCTCTCAAAAACCAATTAGCCACTGCGGACGTCCGTTCAAAAGATGTATACCTAAATATTCTGAACGTTTTCCATAAGACTTAGTTTTAATCTGACTTGTTACTCTATTTTGTTTATATTCAGACAGATATTGTTATAGCCGACATTCCCGAAGGGGATATCGATACCCTAAAACAGCATTTTGAAAACGAAAGGAAACAGCGCGTCGAAGCCGAAAAAGAACTTCACTTACAGGTACGTAAATACGTTGGATCGACTGTTTTAAATAACTGTGTAGAGTAAAAATTATCTTGGCTCTAACAACAATTTCAATATACACAAGTGTCTTAAATGTTCATTGTGCCATAGATGAGTCTTAAAGCTGAAATGGAAGTGGCTATGAAACTTTTAGAAAAAGAAAGCCGAGAAAAACAGGAGACTATCGTTTCATTGAGACATCAATTGGACGACATCAAAATGATTAATTTAGAAATGTACAAAAAGTTACAGGTGAGACATTGTCGTTGAGAAGTACAAAATGATTTATAATTAAAATGTAAATAATAGGATATCGTAGTGATTTTAGTTTTTGGGGAAGGGTTTGGTTTAAATATCATAAAAATGTACACATTAAAATGTCGGGTTGGGCGATGATCAGGAATGCGAAGAGGACTTGACCAAAAAAGCTGAAATGGTGAGCCGGCTGCAGAAAAAGACCGAACAGATTGGCTGCTTGCTGAGCAACTTGCAGTTCCATGATGCGCAACAACTGAGAATGAGAAATCGCCCCGGCATGAAGACGTCAAATTCCGACACTAGGTTAGCGTCTCGGCCCGACCGTTCGCATCACCGACAATCATATACACCCGTTACGGAGAATTCACCGAGCCCGGAACCTTTGATCGATCCCGATCAGTCCAATAACTGAAATAATTCACTATCTTTGTGTGTGTGTGTTTTTTTTTTTAATTATATAACTATTACTACTATTAATGTATTACAATGCCAATAATAAACATATTTAAGTATTGTCTTTCTCGTGTTAGCCCTTAAATTAAATAAGGTTTAATTGCAGGAAAGTGAGAGTTCTCTTAAGCACAAGTCAGAATTTGTTACTAAGTTGGAATCAAAAAACGTAGCCTTAACGGAGGCTTTGAATAAAACAGAACAGGTGTATGTATTTCATATTTGTTTTCTGTACAAAACGTTTATCCATTTATCAATTAAAAGTATTTTTATTATTGAATTTCGTATAAATGGACAAACTGACATAGAAAAATGATGCGAGTTAGGTCGTTATGGGCTAGGTATTATGTCTTATATTTATAACTATTTATTTTTGCCTACATGATATATTTACAATATATAAATTAATCATAAAATACTTATGTAACAATACTAAAAAACTGTTTATCATATTTTAGTGTAAGTAATATGTAAAAATCAATGACAACATTAGTATACTTTTTTTTTCTTCAAAATATTTATATACATATATTATACTACATAAATGATTTTAAATAAAAGAAAAAAAATTATGTTCAATATTTATAAATGAGTTGAAATATATTATTATCCTTGGACCTGAACGTAATCGTCCTCTTCATTTCAATAATTTTTATTTTATTTTATTTTTTTTTTTTTTTATTATTATTTTATTTGAAACCATACTCGCAACATTTTTAATCTTTTTTATTATTTTTTATTTTAGTTATTTATTGTTTTTCCTTTAAATTATTATCTCTTCCTTTTCAATGTATTCGTAGATCGAAACTAAACGAAGAAGAGAAGAAAAAAATGTCCGATTCAATGCTCAGGTACCACGATCAAATCGCTGCGCTGACATTGAACGTGGCCAAGTTAAAAGAAGACTTGGTTAAAGAACAAGAGTCAAAGCGTGTAGTGGAAGAAAGTCTGACCGCTGCCGGCAACCAAACGACACGTCTCGGCCAAGAGATAGTCCAGCTGAAAGCAATGTCTAATGTAAATGTGTGCGATATTTTTCGTATGGATCTACTCTACGATACTCAAAGTCATACTTGTTTTTTTACTTAGGAATATGTCCTCCTGCAAGAGGAACACCACAAGGTATTGGACAAGTATCGAGGCCAAGAGAAAGCGTTGGAAGAACTCGCTGGTCAGCTCAAAAAAGAAATACTCAAGTCGAGTGCACTCGAAGAAGCCGCCAATACATCGTTGGGGCAAGCCCATTGGGAACGCGACAACGAAGTGACAAATTGCAAAAGATGCGAAAAAGATTTCAGCTTGAGGAGGAGAAAAGTATATGAATGATTTTTTTCGCTGTACAATAATGATTTATTTTGTTTTTTTGCTATTTATTAAAGAAAATAATAATTGTCTATAATATAAACAAATATTTGTTTTTGAAAACAGCACCATTGCAGGAACTGCGGTGGAATATTTTGTGCCTTGTGTTCGGACAATATGATGATGTTACCGTCGTCGGCAAAACCAGTACGGGTGTGCGACGACTGTAATCTTTTACTGGTTGAAAGGTATTCTGTCGTGCCGAATAATTAACGTAGGCAAATTTTAATATCAATGACTAGATAATATGTACATGTTTTTAGATAATGAAACAACAAATTAGTATTAAACATTTTATATATTTTTTTTATTAAAATTCACTAAACGAAAATTTACCATAATTATTATGTATTTCAATGTGTTAATTATGATTTATTTTTAATTTTGAAAGAAAAAAATAACGCCATTATATTTATACATAACGTAGTATTATTCAATTTTTTTTTTTATAACGGTGATAATGTTATGCGCTACATATATTATATTTTAAAATTTTAATAAAATGTTACGTTATAAATTGTATTTTTACAGTAATCAAACGATGAAACAATATATTATATATATTTTTTACTATTGACTAATTATATACATATATGATAGTTTTGTGTTCTCAGTATGTTAATTATATTATTTCTTAATTCTCAGAGATAAGACTTAACGGGCACTGCGTCCTGTGCCTAGTGCCCTTATAGATTATTACCATCCATACAATTATTTTTTTTAAATACATTTTACAATAATTATATAAATATGTTGTTGTTATGATTTTTTTTTTTTTAAATTACAGTTAATTTTGTCTTAATTATGTATGCATTGTATAAAACAACAAATCCGAGTTTAATTTTTCTTTTTTTGGTATTCAATGGTCATTTGAAGTTATTTCAATTGCTTTACATTGCAATTTATCACTTGGTGTTGCATTGCTTAAAGTACAAACATTTTAAACATTATTTTCCATGATGAAATGATAAACTTACATAATTCAAAATCTGGGCATTTTATTTATTTGAATAACAAATAATGCAAACAATATATATTGAAGTACATTTTTGTTTAATGCGTCAAAATATAATTTATTTAAAATAAATAACTATTTACTGTATTTTAAAAGATGTTTTTTTACTGAATTATTATTTTTATTTTAGAGTAAAAGTTGAGAGTATTTAAATCAGTTTTTATTTGTTGTTTAAATAATAAAAATGTTTGAAATTATTATTTGTGTATTTGTTAAAATAAAAATACAATTTTTTTTTGTTTCTGTGAGTATTATATTAGTGTATTTTAATTTTCAAAAACTATTCGAATTCAAATTACGCCCAGTATTGCTAATAAATAGAACTTTTTTGTTGTTAATTCGGCCCTTGCCAAGTTAAGGGTTAAACTGTATGTACCTACTTATTTCATAGACTTTGTTGATTATAACATATTATGTTATATAGTTTAAAAATAAAAATGATTACAAAACAAATTGTTTGAGTGGAAAATGTAGTGTAAATAATATATTATAGGCAATTAAATGATTGCATAACGTTGCAAGATAATATTATAAGCTAGACTAATATTTTTTCGATGTTACATACTATGCAGGTGCGCAACTACTAAGTGTGCTTAGACACCCTAAATGTTTTTTAATTTAAAAAAAAACCATCAGTTTGGCAAAACTTTGTTCTTGTTCATTATATAATGTGTGTATTGGACGAGCAGCTTGATACCCCAATACACGAATTCGATTATCGTCAAAAGGCTAAATCCCAAGAAAAGTCCGGCAATACCTCCGAATGATACTGTAACAAAAACACAAATATTTGTAATAACTGCAATCAAAGAAGATTTTACCTATTTATAATAAATTAAGGCATAAAGACCAATTATCAAGAATTGTATAAAGCAGAAAATAGAGTATCAAATTATATAACTATAATAACATGAATGTATCTTTTAAAACTAATGTTTAATTGATTAATTAAGCTGGTCAAATTATTATATTATAACTGTTTAGCGCATCAAAAAATTATACCTGTCATTATGGTCTATCATACTCAATTATACATTTTAATTTGCTTGTAGGAAAAAAAAATTGTTTTATGCGGTATGTATTAATCAGTAGAATTAAAACTGAAAGGTGTAGGTATGCTTTTATTGCACAATTTAATTTTGCGTACAAAAAAACGGTAGAGTTTATTATACAATTATTTTGTGTACCTATGTAAAGTAGACATATAAAATATATTATTATACACATGTACATAATAAATATTGTAATTATTCAACTACTCCAGGCGCAATAATTTTCAACGTTCAATTATTATGAAACGCATCATTAAAAAAATTATAAATAATATAAAACACACGCACGTGTTGTAAACAATAATAAATTAGATAAACCAACAGCGGTGTGTGTTGTTTCAACCCTATTTTAGCTGATAAGTAACTACATTATTACAATATATAATATATAGCTGTGGGTTGTTCGTGTATGAATTATTATAATATGATATTCCACTGGAAACTTTACAATAATATTAAATATAGCGAAGGTGATGAAAATAGTATAATATACTCATTACCTCTATGCTAAGACAAGGGGTTTAGAGCAAGTAAATTTTTTAGCAAGTTATTTTCCATGTAAGTATACACATACATAAATAAAAAATAAAAAATATTGATAATATCACATTCAGTATAGATAAGGTTAGGTTAGGTTAGGATGGGTTGGGTGGGTGGGTTAGGTTAGGTTAGATTTGGTATAATATAATATAAAATACTGTTACACTGTTTCATCGGTTAAAAAAATAATGATCACATTTTTTTCAGTGTACTTATGTGTTATCAACCGTTTACTAAATTTCAAGTTTTTGAACACAAATAACCTTAAAATCCGCAATCTAATAATTTTTGAGTAACTTTTTTGGTATTATTTTAAAAAAATAAAAAAAAATGATTGGCAACAGATTAGACCTAACTTCAGTCTAATTTTTGCTGCCGAGTTCTAAAATTGCGCCTATTTAAAGCAAGGTATTATCAAAAATTGAGTTTCAATAGTGATTTGTGAATAGGGTCATGACTAATTAAATATGTTCTTTGAAATTTCCAACTTTTGCCCTACTGATCTCTTACAAATTCGGTTCGATGGAGATGCAGAGGAAAAAAACTTATGGTTTAGGTAAAGACATACAAAAGAAAAACCACATCATTAAAGAACCAAATCCTTCTCGGCTCAGCATTGGAACTTAAACTCCGAATATTGTTAGTAATTCAAATGTTTAAAAGTTTAATACAAACACAATAGTGTTTGTGATATATAATTTACTCAAAACTTTTTAAACTCATAACGAAACGAGATTTAATTTTATAAGTCGAACATCGCAAAATGTTTTTGTAAGATTTAATTAACGTTAGACATTCTTTGATTTTACAAAGTATTTTTTTGTTTTTTTTTCGCATTGTTTGGCGGAAAATTCAATTACGTGTAGATTATCTCAACTTTATTTTAAATACATTTTTTTCCTTAGTAATTTGTAAAAAAAAATCACGTGCCAAGTAGTTAAGCATGTCTCAATTATTATCTTTAAGTTTCTTAAATAAAGATTTATTCTGCACGCTTCCTCTCTTGCCCCCCCCCCCGCCATTTATACAGGGTGATTCACTAACTATAAACTAGCCAATATCTCAAAAATTATTGAAATTTGTTTAATTATTATTTTTCATATACTTTCACAGTTATTAGTTAATTATTTGTAATTAATATTACACTCCACCCTTCCTTTCGTCCAAAATTTTAAACTTTAAAATCATTTTAAAAGTAAATATCCAAAACTGGTTATGAACAAGTGAAAGAGTTCATACGGTTTTAATACACAAAATGGACGGGTTATTTTTTTAAAGAAATAAACTGTAATTGGACAAATCAATGTCTAATATTCATATTTCATAGAATATAATAAAGTGAAACTGACTTTATTATACTTTCAAATGACAGTAGTTTATTAATAGAAAGTACTAATATTTTGTTCAATAAAGTAAATGGACACTCTCAAAATTTAAAACGGTACATATACACTAAAAAAACGTGACGGCCATCTTCTATCATCTATTATTATTTATTTTAGTTTTTTTCTATACATCATCTGTTGTGTTAAGACATATTTTTTTTGGGGAGAAGATTTTGGGCCTCGTCTGAAAATCATTGTTTTAATTTAGTGTCATCTCTGATTTCATTTATTCTGTGATCAAAATAAATAATAATACACAGATATATAAATTATAATTAACTAAATTGCTGACTAGTGATAAAAATGGAATTCGACGTCCGCCATTTTTGTGGGATTTATGTGTGTGAATATTTAAATCTGTATACATCTGTGATTCTGTGTTTCAACTTAATATCACAGGTTAGATTAAACCAGATGGTGCACTTCGGGATTTACTGATAACTCGAACCTGCCTCAGCGCAGTATGGCCACATACGAGGAATTAAATTATTATACAGCGCCTTTTACTATAATTATTGTATCAAAATCTAATCTGTGCCTGTATGCTTAATATGTTTATATATAATATATACACTTAAATTTATACCAAGCGACTCCTTGACACATTTTTAAATATATTTTCCTGAGTTTTATCTAATCTGTGTTTGTATAATAATTGTTATAAACATATTTTCATGTGGTGAGGTCACAACTAGGTATCTCTATTGAAGGCATGTACACTTAGCAAATGATGTAAACAAAAATGGACAATGTAGGCGATTTTTACAGCTGTTCATAAAGCTGTTGGTAAATCGCTACAGTCTGTCTGTACATAGCAGCTGTTTTGCACTGTATTTTTTTCATTCAAAAAAAAGGTTCGATTCGATCCCTAAACCGTTTCTATACGTCATATATACCAATATTATTATTAATGATGTTCACCTAAGAGGTCGATCCATCCGAAAGTCACGTCCCTTTGATACTTGACGGCACCCTCGTTCCTGTAGAATATGTCGACTGCACCGTAGCTGTCCCTGGTCAACGGATGGGAGTCCAGAGAGTAGTCCACGTCAATGTCGTACACGCTTTCGTGGCACGTAGGCAGGCACTGCGAACAGTTGAGCGGCGACAGCATTTCCACCTGCATGAAGCCCCGGATGTTGCCCACGGGCGGGCTGAAGAAACGCAACTCGCTGTTGTGCCGGGCTATGCACATTAGCTGTGTGGAGTTGCACACCGGAACGCGGTTGTCTGTTAAAAATAATAATTTTATAATTTTCTAGTTAACATGGATTGTTATGTTACTGGACTGGGGGTCAATCGGAGATTTTTACCTCTATTTTCATAGGAGATAAAATTGAGATAGTGGATTAGAGTTAAGAGATAGTCCAGCTGGATGATGGAGGCGAGGAGGGAGGAGATAAGAGATAAGAGGTGGTCCAGATAGATGTCGAAATGGTCCAGCTGGATGCTGGAGACGAGGAGGGAAGAGATAAGTGGTAAGAGATTAGAAAGTACCAGGTTCCTATACTTGTATATTAAGACATATCCATGTTCCTATGGACTTCCGTGCAGTGGAGATCATGCTCACCTTTTTTTTTCTCTCTTTGGAGATACCATATTACTTTTTTGTTGTATCTTACAATTAAAACTCGGATGTTTATGACTTTGCATATTTTTACACAAATAAAATTGAAATTCGATTCGCGAACACCACATTTTAAATCAGACAATTCTGGTTACAAAATAATATTTTAATACATTTATAATAATAATATAATAACAATAATACATTTATGGCCATTAACATTCGAGCTCTGCTTATTATATTCGACAGTATTCAAAATTGTTATTGTTTTTAATTCCCCCCTACCCCTAAGAGAGATCTGTCAGTGTTTAAGGGCAAAGTAAATGACCCATTTACTACTACTAATAATGTTTATGTGAAAAATGTACTTCAATCGATTCGGTTAAGTACTAGATAAAGTATTTAACTGCTCATTTTTTTTCTTAAACGATTTTAAATAAACCACTAAGAAATACTGATGGTCACCGTAAGACACTACATTTTGTAAGTACAATGAAGTCAATGACTTGGTCCAGATTTCATATTTTTATTTGAAATACATGTAACATTTTCTTGAAATAAAGTGCAAAAACTTGGTGTTTACGTCAAACAAAAGGCATTATACAAAAATTTGAAGAAAAAAAATTGTTTTAAATGCCTATTCTTTCACCCCTCTGATTACCTACAGACTAAAAAATTAACCCCTACAAATGAGTTCTATATAAGTAAAAAATAAATGTATATTTTTATATCAATCCATTTGTTTCCCGGTTTGAGTGGAACGTTTTTCCAGGTGTATTATAATTTATTTCAATTTGTCATCACTAAAATTAAACTATCCCGCACGAGTACTTGTAAGGCGTAGGCATTATAATTTATTTAATATTATTTCAATGTATAGAAACATTTTCTGCCCAAACACTCACAACTTGAAAAGTAAAAAATAATAAAATTTAATTTATGTTCATACTTCTAAAACTTATTATGTTTTACATTTCATTACAAAACATATTTTTAATATAACTAAATAAGTTAATTTGTACAAAGTTGACCATCTTATTGTATTTATATCTAATATTTTTAAAGTTTTTAAATTAAAATAACGTTGTGTTTTTTTGTAAAATCAGTTCCCATCACTTGCCCTTGTTATAGTTTTCCAGGTTAGTGATACATGAAAAAAAGGTATTAAATTTCGTGTGCAGTAAAAGAAATTCTACAAAAAATAATTAATTCCTTTAGAAGTCACAATGGAATTAAGTCAATTCTTAGCTTGGACGTTTTATACTATTTTTGTCTGCCCAATCGTTTGTTTGACGTTTAAAAAAACTTTTTTGGTTCTAAAAACATTTTGGGTAAGTACAACTATTTATACCATTAGAACAATGATTTAATTAAACAGTACAAGTATCGGAAACAATAATGCGAATACAGTTACCTCCTTTTTAAGAAAAAACAAATTAATCTTGAATTTGGCCATTTTCATAAGATTCAAATGTTTCTCCTAGTCAAGAAACGAGTAAATAAATCGAGTAATCTAGAACTCAAATACAGTTAATAAATCAAGTAAACAAATCTAGTACACAAATCGAATAAACGAGTAAAAAGTCGAGTAACCTAGTAAATAAATCTAGAAAACGAATAATCTAGTACTCAAATACAGTTAATAAATCAAGTAAACGAGTACACAGATCGAATAGACGAATAAATATTCGAATAACCGAGTAAATAAATCGAGTAATATAGTACTCGAAACGAGTAGTCTAGTACTCAAATACAGTTAATAAATCTAGTAAACAAATCGAATAAACGAGTAAAAAATTCGAGTAATTTAGTAAATAGATCTAGAAAACGAGTAAATAAAACGAGTCATTTAGTACTCAAATACAGTAAATAAACTGAGTGAACGAGTACACAAATGGAATAGACGAGTAAATAAATCGAGTAACCGAGTAAATCGAGTAAGACATGTATATGTTAAAACCAATATTGTTCTTACATAGTAGTACTTATTTTCTTATAATCTTATTTAGAACAATTCATTTTGTCTTTCTGTGGTAATTTTCGTGTAAATTTGCACTGTATGCTGTGGATGATGTTGTAAACAATTATTGGAATAAACATATGTATGTATGCAAGTATTGTGGCATCTACGATATGTACAGCAGCTGTGAACGTACCGAGCATATTGAAATAGTACGGACGGCATTGGCACTTTTCGTGTATGTAGTTCAAGCGACATTCGATGAGGCAAGATTTTTGCGTGTACGACTTGGACACGCTCAGCTGCTGTTCGTCGGGAAAATAACAAAATCTCTCTTCTACCGACAATTGTCTGATGGCATCCGTGCTTATGGTCACATAAGGTTTCACCATGATGTTGAGCTTGAGACCTTTTTCCGCGTGCACGATGGTGCCCACACCGGATTCCGGATACTCTGTCGCATAAAACACTTGAACCTATAAAATAGACAATAATATCAAACAAATGACATTTGTTTTGATTGAAGTTTTTGATTGTACCCACCTTTACTGCCTGTGGACCTGAAATATCGGATGCGTTCACTAATCGTTCGGAATCGTTGAACTTGTTGAAGTACAATTGCAATCCGGTCGTCGCACCTGCCGCAGTGTTTCGCCTGAGAGCACAATTCCAATCACCGGTCATGTTCGCCATTAAGTTCTCCTCTACTTCCAAAGTGTTGATTTTCGGACTAAAACAAATACCCAACGTTATTTTTACCCCTTATTTCAACACCCTCTTGCCTTTGTGTATTTATGTGTGTCTATTCGCCCAATTACCAATTAACCGCGTCGATGGAGTTCAGCGAGTTAAACGAATAGCAAAATCCCTCTTCGGTTCTCTGCAAGCTGAACAACTCGCAACAGTTGAACGAATGACCTATCCAAAAACAAGTGCTGAACACCTCGTCGCAAGTGGGCATCACCTGCAATGGTTTTGGAATAATAATTACATATTATTATTTAGTGCAAGGACAAATTGCAATCCATTTGAATCGTCTCGTGCAACAAGCGCAGTGGTCATTGGGTTAGATGCTTGAAGCCAATAATAAATTATAAATTACTCGCAGGCGAAATTAAGGAGATTTTATCATTATAGTATGGATTATTTTATCAAAAAACATTATGTAAACGAGTAAATAAGTCGAGTAATTGAAATAATAAAATGTGTAAATAAATCTAATAAACGAGTAAAAAAATTAAGTACACGAGTAAAAAAAGAGTAAATTAATCTAAAGTAAACAAGTAGACAAATCGAGTGATCAAGTAAATGAGTAAATATAAAGAGTAAACGAGTAAGAAGTCCTGACAGTAAAACTAAAAATGAGTAAAGAAATCGAGTAAATGAGTAGACAAATCAAGTAAACGAGTAGAAAGAGTAAACGTGTAAATAAACCGCTAAAAAGAGTAAATACATCTAATAAATATAGTTAACGAGTAAACCATTCGATAAAAGCGTAAAACCACGTTTTAATGGACATATCTTAATGTTACTAAAAAGTTTTACGTAACGTGTTACCCCCGGCCATAAAACGTATTCACATTTCACGTTAAAAATAACGAATAAATCGAATAAATGGATAACAATTAAATAACAAATCATTGCTTTCCTAGCCGATTTATTTAAAAAAAAAAAAAAAATCACTTCCTTTAACCTTTAAAAATAAGTCGGTAATGTTAATTTTGACCAAGTCGTCGAGATAATCGTTGGTTCGTTTCAAGTAGTCGGTCATCCGGTTGTAAATGGGATGTTGAAGCATCGACAAAGCGTTCAGGAAGATGTCAGTCTCCTGTTGTCGATACGACCCGTTCAACATGGCCGCCAAGTATTCGTGGGCCAGCGGCCGTTTGATTTTGTCCACCGGACACACGCTGACGGCCGGAAACGGAAGTAAGTACAGCGCCAAGTGCGTGTCCTTGACCGCCGTCACCGTGGGGGAAGCGCTGAACTTGAGCCACATGGTGTTCACCAAGAACGTGGCGCACACGAAACTCATCAGCACGATCGCCAACCAAATACACCTAGGTAAGTAAGTAAGTAAGTAACGAATCAAGTATTTAATGAACAATAATTCATTATTATTCTGTCCAAACCGTTCGACCAAGTTGGAGTTGTCTCTGAATATGTATTGCACGCCGTGCAACGTACAATACCGGGCGTATTCCTTCAGGACGTTTCCCACTTTCTTAGTCCTGGCCACGGCCGTTCTCTTGACGGTCGCATAAGACCAAACGTACTCTTTACGCCAGTAAGTCTCGGGTTCGGACTTCATACTTACCGGTAAGGGTGGGCAATAGTAACACTCGAAGGCCGTAGGAAATCGTCCTCGTCGAAGCGCTGTTTACTTAGGTGACTAACGATGAGGGCGTTGAATAGGGAAAAAAACGTTTACTCAATGGTTGTATACACAATAAGATAGTATTATTATAATGATGTTGTATTTATTTAACATTATTATTCGTTATAATATCTAAAGACGGTGTTTACGGATATTTTCACCGCCCAGTAAACAAATTCGACTACACTCAATATGCTGAAGCCCAAGAATAGGTTGGCGACGCCGCCCAGAGATACTGAAAAAAAAAAAAGAAAGCTATATTATTATACACCCTTAGTGCCATCACAGAATAGATAAAAGCAGAAGTGTCACTTTCTATGTAAATGATGACCATTTTATGACAGACTATTTAGTATTATAATATGTTATACTTGTACACAACAAATAATAATGATTAATGCTACATGTCTGTTGCCTGCAAAATGGTCCACCACCACAAGTATTTAATTTTTCCGTTTACTGCCAAATTTTTAGATACTGCGTAGTTAGATGTTTTTGTATAATTTAGCATAATTCGAAATCAAGACTGCCTCATTTCGATTTGAGGAACGAAGGACACCCGTGAACGAATAATAAACGGCCACATTTTGTGTTGTAGCATTAAATAATTAATTTAACAAGGAAAACAAAACTGGCACATGTCTCGTTAAAATATTTGATTTGAAATATGGTTGACTACCGAATGTGGCGGCTTAAAAACTATTGCTAAACCTCAATTTCTGGTATCTGGTTGTGATTCAACTGAGTACAAAGCATTACAACTAACCATTTGGGAGCAGCTTTAATCTCAAAATTGAATCATCTGAATATATATTTTTTTAAGCTGTGGCAGGCTCGCTCGTTATAATAGCTGTAATCGTTTACCCAAAAGATCCGTCCAAACGAACGTCACGTCTCTTTGGTACTTAGTGGCGCCCAGGTTACCGTAAGCCACGTCCAGGTAACCGTGGTACTTCCAAGCGATGGGGTTCTGGTCGGGAAACGATTCGAATTCCAATTGGTGCGAAGTCTCGTAGCACGTTGGCAAGCAGTGCGAACAGTTCAGAGAGGTTTCGAGAAGATGAGGCTCGAATCCCGCCGTACCTTTGGGCGGAGACAACACTCTGATATGGCCTGTAGAGAAACGGAAATAAAGAAAAAAAATTGTACGCAAAAAAAAAAAATCCATAAAACTTCAATCTCACTAACGAGTGCTTTTCATTATGCAAGTAAGATGTGGTATTCCGCATTCTGGGTTGCCGTCGTCTAAGCAATATTGATCCAAAACATTGATACATGGTAATAATATTATAAGTACTAACAAAGTGTTAGTGCTTGTTATTTACCCGAAAAATTTGGCTATTATTGGGTTTAGGATAAAAGATAAAGAAATTGTGACAAAGAGTGAAATGCGGAGAGAGAATATTTGGCTGGTCCACTCCGGTTGTAAAGCACCGAAGAAGAGATAAGTTTGTTATTTAAAAATTACAATTATATTTTGGGGGGTCGCAATAAGTAAAAAGTTATGAAGTAAGCAAGAAGGCTAGTTGCAGTGTGACCATAATGCCCATAGTACACTTCTCTGGTACATAATTTTTATTTGTTTCACTACTGCAACCATGCGATACTAAATATACGACTCATCAGCTATCACATTACCATATTATGAAATTTGAAATTATCTATTGATTTGTATAGTCGACGAGGATTATAATGTGCAGTGTTTAACACCTTATACAAAAATTATTTATTTTTTATTTAAACTGGTCACACTGTCGCTTGCCTTTTTGATTACTTTGTTGTTTCGAGTACAGACACAGAATTCTGAGGGAGCTTTCAGAGCTTTTAAAAGGTCTGAACTTCCTTAGCCCCACCCTAGTTGCATGCACAGCTGTATAATATATTTTTAGTCGGTATTACTCGGGGTGGTGAAAAAATACATGTGACATCCGCACAATGACAAAATGAGCTGCATACGGCACTGGATCAAACAGGAACTCTGAGTGTACACGTGGTAGATGTATAACAGCCTTTCATCTGGGAACACACAACCCCGGACGTCGACGCTTAACCGTTTCACGCTATTGCTTGAGACGGTAATGACGGGCAAAGTCATTATGCTAAGACGTCGGCCCGGCAAAGCCCTGACCGGTAAACCGTCGCCCGCGTTTGGGAACTGATAGGAAGCGTGCACCATCACCTGTCGTCGTTAGTTTTGTTTTCTTTAGAAATTTTATAGAAAGTTTTGTTGGTAAAAACAAATTATAACAGCTGTTCTGTACTTTTGCTCCGTCAACGTCACGCTGTCCCAGCCCCAACGATTCGGACTCGTTAGCTTTGCGGAGAAACACTTCCAAACCCGTCACTGTACCCACGGCCGTGTTCCTTCTGAGTTGGCATCCAGGATACATTATGTCGTCTTCTTCGACGATGCCTTCGTTTTCGAGTACTTCGGACAGTGGACTTGGAACGAAAAAATAGCCACAGTAAAAACGAAATCGTGTTTTAATGCTCAGTTTTCTTTACCATGTACAAAACATGTCAGTGTTAGCTGTGGATATTGTATATACAGGTACCATGTATGGTGGAAACCATGGTATGTTATGTAACCGTAGTATGTGTGGTAACCGTGGTATGTTTATAATTTCCTAACTTAACCTTACCATTACATTGTCTTTATCGTTAACGTCACCCTCTTTTCTGTGTATCACAAAGACAAAAACCATGGTTACCACACAACAATGATCACCACACATACCAAGGTTACTAAAAATACAATGGTAACCTCACAAACCAAGGTTTACCGCAAATACCAAGGTTACCACACATGATAAGGTTACCCTCTGCATCAAAATAAAGTAACAAAACTAAAAATAGCTAAAGAGACTTAATTTACAAATTATGGGTTTCACCGAAAAAATTTTCCTACAAAAGTTGTTAGTTTTGATAAGAAAATTTGTTTGGTTAACAAAAAATACATGGTTTCCATTAAAAAAAAACATGTTTTTGGCCGTAAGGCGGCCATTTTAAATTTTGGACCATATTTTTTTTTAACGTCCCCCTTTGTACTCTAAAAGTCTTTAATGAGCAACTTTTTGATTGAATTAGTATTTTTGGAGAAAAATCGATTAGTATTTTAAAACGGGTCACCCTGTATAAATAAATAACTATGGCCCATGTGTATAACGAATAGGGACACAAAAAACACTGATTCTGTATGTTTATTTGCAATTCCATTACCTTTTGAAGTGATTGAATAAAAAAACCATTGACGTGCAGATTCAAATTCTGTACTTAATCTAACTCAACGGCTGTCGTCCAATACCAATTATTAATGACAAGTGTAATGTTTAATTATTATTATGTGTTTTACCAGTGTTTGCCCGCCTCGGAAGTGAGCGAGTTGAACGAATAACAAAATCCCTCTTCGGTCCTCTGCAGTGAAAACGATTCACAGCAATTCATGTTTTGACCGTGCCACTTGCACAAACCGAAAATCTCCTCGCATTTCGGTAACGTTGTCAACATGAAATCGGTGACGTTCAAATGTTTGAAATGATGAAACAACTGTCGAGACGCTTTGACATGAGGGTTTATTCGGAAGTAAGTGGGCTGCTGCATCATGGCCAACGCGCTCATTATATCCTCCAGCATTGACCGAACCGTATCGTTCTTCTCGCTGACATACCTGAGAGGTTAAATGCAATTTATATATTACTTCCATGTAAAAAAAAAGCTAATGGAGGAGGGGGGAGGGTTATAGGTTTTCTGGACTTATTACAACTGAAAGTGATAAAATCAACAAAGACAAGACAGTCAACAGTTCACATCGAAGCGTTTATTTGAAAGTGATTTGATCACTTAAGTTACATTGTGTTTGTGATTAGTTTGCACTGAATTTTGTGAAAGAGATTGGTCAACGCTTTTGTGACTGTAATAACACTATCGACATTTTAAAAACGAATTGTAACTAGCTTTAATCTGAGTTTAAATCCGCTATAATCCAAAAGCCAAAAATTAAAAAAACTTTACCCCTACCCATTTAAAGTCGAGAAAAACACCCAAAAAATGTACATATTTTCCAACTTATTAGACCACAGATTCGCATCGAAGCGTTTATTTAAAAGTGATTCCATCTAACCTAACCTAACCTAACCTAACCGGCCCCACTATACTAGCTTTTTTTTTTTTTTAATTTCAAACGTATTAATTGTAGACGTGGGTTGTTATAGAATTTTACCTGGAGAGGTATTGGAGACCAATGGATTTTTTCACCTTTATTGCCGGACAAACGGTAATGGAAGGAAAGGGAAACTGGTACAACGGCACGTGTATGTCTTTGACCGCCAAAATCGTGGGCACCGCTCGGTATCGAAGCCATAATTTATTTGCGATAAAACAAGCAGATATTCCGCAAACAGCCAAAGCCGCAATCCAAAAAATCCTGAAACCATATAAAAACAATAAAGACAGACACAAAGGGATCATTGAAAATTTCACATGAAATGAATAAATTGTATGCAAATTCATAAACTCGACCGGTTATGGTAAATCATAATTGTAATAATTATTTCGAAGCGAATTGGGTTTTTTTTTTTGTTTTAAAAATTATATTTATGATTTATAAACCATGTGTCGTGTATAGTTGAATTTGGCCCCTGACAACTTTTATTGATTTTTCTTAAACATTATAATAGCTTTGTTAATTCACCATCGTCCTGTTTACACAATGCCTCGGCGGAAGCATTGAAATAAATAATTTATTTGTCCGGCGTTAATCATAAATACTTGGCAGTATTGTAATATATTTTCTATGAAATCTAATTTCTCTGTCAATTCAGATTACAGGCGTTGTGTGGCAAATGTCATGAAAAATAATTAATAACGTAGAATAAAAAAAAATTAATTTCATCCTACTTCATTTATTTAACTGACAAAACAAATGTTTAATTCTATCGAACACTAACCCCTATTTAGTTACATTAACCCCTCCCCCACCTCTAAAGTGGAATTTGGTGCATGTTTTTGTTTAATCGAATTTCTCTTGATTTTTTTCTCTTATTCATATAAACATCTTCGAATCACTTGAAATTTGAGAGTTAGAAGGCTTTCTGTAAAATTACCTGAAATATCTCTTGTAATGTACTTAACCAGCATTACATTACACTTAGGTAACTTCACATGAAACATTGTGTATTGATGATTTGAGAAAATATTATAAAAATATTCTAAAGTTATTATTTAAAAAAGGGTTTAATATACTGCTGTGTATTTTACCATCCCAATCAGTCTGTGATATCCACTAATCTTTATTAAACTATTTTATTCCAACAATAAACTGTGCATAAATTCAGCAAACCGAATATATTAATCATTACTATCAAAGGGAGATTTCAGATGTGTTTACTTAGGATGCCATTACGCTTGTGTTACATAAAATATAATATAATAGTGTTTCCAGGCGAGTTTATTCCACCAAAAAGGCACGACCAAGGTCCTAAATAATTTAAAGTTTTTTTATTTAAAATTTAACCTATAAAATTGGAGAGAAACATGTCGTTTTCGAATAATATGGTCTTACCCCTAAATATACGCTTCTGAGACGACCCTTATAATAATAATGAATATTTAATGAACTCTTTGGAAACACAAACAACTCAATTACAATAATAAGGATATATTAAAATCAGAGCGCCGGAAACCTTATAATAGAATACCTCCGAATTTAATATCACTAATTTAAAATGTTTAATTTTTACCTATCAAACGGGATCAATTTAATGTTTCGGATGAGATGAAATAATTATTCAAAGGACCGATATTGTTCAGTAGATTATTTGCAATTGGGTATAAAATATAGTTTATTTTCTTTTTTATTTATATATAATATTTATAATTATAATAACGCCCCAAATGAGCACAACTGATAATTACTAACTTATTTATAGTTTAACATACATTCTGACATATGAAAAATGTCAGATTTTATTGAAAATTGAATGTAAATTTAAGAATTTGTGAAGAGTTAAATCCGGGGGGGGGCTTAGGCTTATGTGAATAATAGAAGCCCCCCCTCCCCCCAACATTTTCACAACAGCACTTTTGGCCACTCACTTTTCCAACAGGTTGGCGTTGGTGATGTACCGCATACCGTGCACCGTGCTGTGGGCCGTGTATTCGTTGATGAGCGTGCAAGGCGGTTTGGCTTTGCCTTTGTCTAGGCCGTCGCGGGTCGCGTTTTGCTTTCTGCGGGCCTCGCCGGTCTTCCTGGCCGCCCATCGACCATCAGCCATGGTGGATCCGCGCAAATATTCGGTCAGGGTTTCCCCCAAAAGAAAGCGCACCCGTACATATTATGTGGGTATATTTGCATACAATTACAGAGATAACTAGGCGCTGCTATACAGTCATGTGTCATATTTTTTTTCCCTATCCATTCGGTTCGCCTCACAAGCTCTCTATCATTAGGCCGAACACATATAGATGTTATTATATGTTGTATTATTCGCCTAAATAACGATGATCGTTATACCGGCAGCTAGGTGTAATCGTCGGTGTGTACACAATATAATAATAATAATAATAATATAGACAACCGCACATTATCCGAGCCGGGCAGGGCCGGCCGGCCGGTGGAAGGCGGAGCGTTTTCGGCGGAAAAGGTTGCGTCCACACCGCGTCGTTCCAGTGCCGTTACCGCCACCGTCATGACTGCTGCAGTGCCGTCGTCGTACTTTTGGTCAATGCTAATGTTCACGCTGTTCCACAACACCGAAGGTGAGTCTCATTTATATTATTATTATTAATATTAGTCTAAATGTATATCTTATATTATGGTTATAATAAAACACTGGACACCAGTCGGTTTTTAGCAACTGAGTAAATGAACAGAATTAAAAAATTGAGTAAACAAATATAGTAAACGAGTCAATAACATCGAGTAAATAAAATAATAAAACGAGTAAAAAAATCGAATAAACGAGTAACAAATTGAGTGAACGAGTAAATCTACCGAGTAAACAAATCTAGTAAATGATTTTTTTATATTTTTTATTAAAGATATATTTCAACGAAACAACTATCTTAACAAATAAAACTAGGTAATACAACAAATTATTACATAACAAACATATTGTACAACAAGTAAGTTTTAATAACATTGCGTTAAAAAGGAAAAGAAGAAAAGAAAAAATAATAATGAATATTTAAGCCGAATCTAGTAAATGAGTGAATTAAGTATAATAAAACGAGTAAACGAATATTATGTAAATCCAGTAAATAAATCGATTAAAGTGTAGATGAATTAAGTAAATAAACCGAGTAAACAAATTAAAAAACCGAGTAAATAAGTATAATAAATCGAGTAAATATAATAATATTATTAATAATAATGACTAGGTTATTTTACATGTTCACAATAGATTTAGAAATGTGAAAATATCTAGCACGTTTTAGATAAACCCCCTTTATTTGATTATGTTATGAAAATAAAGTTGAGTATCCACACTTCATGCAGATACATCAAGTTGCAGGATATAATATAAGAATATATTAGGATATATAAGGATAGTCAAGTTTCCAAAGCTTACAACTCAAACACATAATAGGGCAGTTTAAAAAATAGCTACTTCCAAGCTTAAGACAAAGTACGCGTTATCGATGGCTTAATTAAAACGTGTTGTAAGTACATGTTATGGACAAAGTGAGTTTACCGGATAATCAGGTAAAGAGTCTGGAGGTCTTTTTCCTGAAAAAGGAAAAGTCCATATTTAAACCGATAGAAAGCGCAAAAAAGGCGTTAGGTATTACTTTTGTATAATCTTATATTTTCATATTTTTAATTAAACTTTTGATATCTGTACACAACGTGTAAAAAGAGTATGTAAACATATAAGTAAATATCAAAAAAAAAAAAATACAGAAAATAATCCCTCTCCCTTTCGATGGATATTTTATGGTGTAGCCAACCAACTTTTGATCTTCAAACGACAACTTAAGTGTTTATTTTTTTTATTTACACAAGAACGTTTTAATAAAAACAATTTTTTTTGTTATAATATATTAATATCTATTCTTACGCTCACTGTAACACTTAAACTTCTATTCATAATAAATACTTAACTGTTAATTACTTATTACACCCTTTGCGCATTTCAAATAAATGTGGACTTTTCGATAAAACGGTATTTTTTTTATAAATCTCAATTTGTAATATATTTTTTATTTACACGAAATTATAATAAATTAGCGTACAAAAATTGGAAATTTTACCGTCCATTCAAATGTAATAAACAAATATGTTTCTAAGAAATCTTAATGAAGATTTTTATGGGTTACATACCTAACAGGTACCTGTACCTGAAATTTGCATTCAATACCTCCCCACAGGTAAATATTTTTTTTTAGTTAGGCCACTTTATGTAATACGAGAGTTGGCATTATTCATTGTATAAAAACAATTATTTTTTTTACATTTTTATATCCAAACACATTAATTTAACCGAAAAGTATTTTAGTATGGAACTTTATTCGACGTCAGCCCGTTTGCTGGACCAATAATTAATCTGGAAATTAAACTACCGAGTTTATATATATATATATATAATTGACCTCTTCGGTAAAAAAAAGTTTCTTCGCTTTTTATCTCACTGAGAAACACTGTAAGAATAAAATACATCGTCCTTTAGAAGCAATTAAAGATAAAATAAGTATATAATACAGTCTCGTTAATAACGCATTCACTTTTGAATTAAACAAACACCAATTTATTGGATTAAATACTTGAAATTCTTAACGGACACTAATGGAACGGCAGAGAAGGAGCTTATAATATTAATTTATTATTTTCTATATTACACAAGACACACTATGCTAATAAATGTTGTGTTGCCTTTTTCAAGTCCTGGTTTCAAAAGTTAGCCAACCAACTTCTGATATATAGGCACATAGTATAATGTACAACACGGTTTACCGTTTAATTTGTTTGTTTTTAATTATCTAAGTGAACGTCGAGCAGAGTCGTAACCCTTGTGTGTTATTTATGCATGTTGTTTGTATAATAAAAAATATGAAATTAATAATAATAATAATAATAATACTTATTATTTTATTTGACAATAACAACAACAACTATACAAATAAAAACATTATAATATCTTAATGTGACAAATTGACACCACCCCAATGAGTATGGCTTAGTAACAGGGGATGATGAGTTCAATATCTAGATTATAATATTAATAGTATATATATTTGTTATGAAATAATTTTAACAAAATAATAACAATAAAAGTATGTATAAACAAAATAAAAATGTTTTCTATTATAATTCAAATTATAAGATGAGAAAAAGAAAAGAACATCAAACTTGCTAAACGTTATTTGGATCTAGATAATGTGTAAATATACATATATATATATATATATATATATATAATTTATTGTTTTTAGCTTAATATTTTAAGATGATTTAACCTTATACCAAATACCGTTTTAAACAGACAGTTGAAGTAGAAAACGAAGCCACCTAGAGCAAAGAATATAATATATTTTTAATAATCGAAAACACAAACTGTGTGTACAGTTATTATTGTGTTCTTGAAGTGTTCACAATAAAGCGTTGACGTTGATGTTGCTTATAAGATATATATATAAATGGCTGTAAAAATTGAGTGACCATTCATGTATAAGAGTGTTGAAGTTGTAAGGCAATGTAATGGCTGGTTCTTACAAATAACCATTCGACCTCCCACGGTCTCGTCAAATCGGATACTTTTTTCTCCGAACCCAAACGACAGCCATAAATCAAACTCCAAGGGTAGCTTTGACTATTTGTCCGAAATAATAAATAAAAAATATATATAAACCTAATAAAAAAAAAAACACCCCATCTCAGCGTGAGGGGGACCATACAAATAATAGTGTGCCGGTCAAGTGGTCTTGTTGAAAATTCGAATTTTGTGGAGTATATAAAATTTATATTGGTTTTGGTTTCTTTTATTATCAACGGTATTTTTTTTTCGATTGTAATCAATTTCGGTTGGTTATAAAAACAAAACCCCGGCACAGTAGGGTCATCTTAAGGAATGATTACCTACAACCCCAAACGATAAAATCACTTTCGAAATGACTTTCTGTAAATTTTGTGTTATCAACTTAACTTGTATAATTGTTATAAACAGTGATAACAATTATAAACATGTGATAAGGTTCTAATTTTCACAAAGATGGCGGAAAATGGTATTTTTAATTATTATCTCTATTGGCGGCATATCTGTGTGTACAACTTTAAAGCTCTAACTCGTACTTTTTTTAATGAGTTTAAATAAACTTTATATATCTTATAGTTTAAGAGAAAATTGAAAATTAAGCCTTCATACGATTTAACACGCAGACTTTTTTCAAATTCAAATCATTATATACCACATGGGTATGAAATTGAATTTACCTGTATATTTTCTTACATTACAGCTGAGCTAAGACAAGTATCTTCTCATTATTGGTGTGTAGCATTTGTTTATTTTCCTATTCACAACAAGCTTTTGAAGTTATGAACATACCAATTTTACATTTTTATTACCATAATTTAATTCCAATTTTGTAGATTTTCAAATTTGTAGATTGGTATTATTGGTAGTACCAGTAGTACCAATCTTCACCAATTTTCATAATTTAAAATGTTTTTCCGATATATACATGCGTTTTTTTTTTTGTGAAGTTTTTTCATTTTTGCTATGAGCGGTAAACTCTCGAAGAGAGAAATTGTTTTTAGTCGAGTGCCTCTTCACGAAATGGATTTTTAATTAAAACATTCGGCCATCGAAGCTCTAACATCAAACACGGTTACTATAAACCGTTTAGGTTAGAACCAGGTGGTCGCAATAATTAAAATATTATGAAGTAAGCAAAGAGGCGAGCCGCAGTGTGACCAAAATGACGAAATTACATTTCTCTGGTTCATATTTTTTATTTGTTTCACTTCTGAAACCATGCGATACAAAATATACGACTCATCAGTTATCATATTATCATAATATAAAATTTGAATTTTTCTATTGATCCATTTGGTCGATTAAAGATTATTCTGTGCAGTGTTCAACAACGTATAAAAATAAAAGTATTCATTTTCATTTAAAATGGTCACACTGTCCCTTGCCTTCTTGATTACTTCGTCACTGAGTACAGGGCATTATCATTATAAATTATTTATTATTATAAATGATAATATTAAAGTTCTATATATTTTTTATTCTACGGTTCGAACAATGTATATTATGTATCATTACACGTCTTAAAAGCCTTGTTTAATGATATAACGACAGTTTGCTTGTAATGGTTGGATAAAACATTACTTACACGAGTGATCAAACACCACAATATCCAAGTAGGTATCATAGATACATTTAATAAACTAGATTGCTAAGTGTACATGCCGCCAATAGAGATAATAATTGAAGTTACCATTTTCTGCCAGCTTTGTGGGAATTACAACATGTGATAACCTTATAACATGTTTATAACTATTATCACAGTTAGAGATAACAAATATTTGAATCGTTATCAATATTTGTTTTTTTTTTCAATTTTGCAAAAAATTTTAAAGGTGAATTTAAATTTAAATTCTAAATAAAGTATCATTATATTATGTTATTTTATTGCGTTTACCATAATATAATGTCTAGTGTTCGCCGGAGTTGTGTAATATTTAGACGGCTATTATAATATTATAATATCGGTTAAGTCAAGAAAAAGGTGGTGGCGACGTTTATGACTCTCACGTTTAGAGCGAATCAATCATTTGACCTTTCAACGCGGTCGATAGCCAACATCGGCTGGTAAGTGCCAACAACCCGTTATTATTATTGTTGATGTTATATATTTTTTTCCCCTTACATTTCCAGGCTTAAAAGTTCTAATATATATATATATATACATGGGGTGTGCTTCTAGTGCCACTTAGACCGCTAAATTACACGTTTCTAAGTCATGCGAACGCCTCGGCCCTCGCCCGGTAAATTATATACGAGGTCGCAGGTCTTTTTACTTTAAGTAAAAAAAAAATTTTTCTCCTTCTTTTCCCTTTTTTCCCCTCCATTTTATTTTATTGTTTGTGCGGACACGTTGAACGATTATCCGGCAAACGATAAAACGTTATTATACACAGGGTGTCCCATTTTAAAATACTAATTCAATCAAAAAGTTGCTTATTAAAGACTTTTAGAGTACAAAGGGGGATGTTAAAAAAAAATAGGGTCTATAATTAAAAATGGCCGACTTACGGTTAAAAACATTTTTTTTTTAAAATGAAAAACCATTTATTTATTGTTAACTAAACAAATGTTCTTATTATAACTAATAACTTTTGTAGGAAATAATTTTCGGTAAAACCCATAATTTGTAAATTAAGTCTCTTTAGCTATTTTTAGTTTTGCTATTTTATTTTGATGCATATGGTAATCGCGTCATGTGTGGTAACCGTGCTATGTTTATAATTTCCTAACCTCACCATTACTATCCTCTTTTCTGTGTATCATAAAGACAAAAACCACGGTTACCACACATATCATGATTACTAAAAATACCATGGTTACCACACATGGCACGGTTACCGTATGCATCAAAATAAAATAACAAAACTTAAAATAGCTGAAGAGACTTAATTTACAAATTATGGGTTTTACCTACAAAAGTTGTTAGTTTTGATAAGAACATGGTTTCCGTTTTAAAAAAAACATGTTTTTGACCGTAAGGCGGCCATTTTTAATTTTGGACCATATTTTTTTTTTTTAACGTCCCCTTTTGTACTCTAAAAGTTTTTAATAACCAACTTTTTGATTGGATTAGTACTTTAAAATGGGACACCCTGTTTATACATGTGCGGTGTTGTAAGGTGAAATAAAATTTCAACTAAACAACAACATAACATGATTTAATATATTATGTCCAACCGATGTTTAATGATGTTTAGGCGTATTTTTAATGCTTGTAAAAATAAAAAATGTTATCACGCGACATTGTATGGTATACTTACTGCACAACAGGCGCGGCTAGACCTTAATCTTTGCCTGTAAAGTGGGGTGCTAAAATTATAGCCCTCGGCCCAGCAGAAAATAATCGGCCAGTGATTTTTTTCTTTTACTTAACCCGTTTGAAATACTCTTAATATATACTATTTCCCGGAAATAAAAAAAATACAACTTTAATGGTTATTGAGGCTATATTTTAAAATATATATATGTATACAATATCTGTGCAGTGTGCTATAACAAAACTAAACTATAGACTAAACTGTCAAATCGGTCACAATAGGGAAATAAAGGTTGTTGAGCACTCAAAAATGTAGAAGAATAGGACAACATATTATGTTGCCAGAATATATCTGTTGACTTTATTTCAATGCGTTAGACTTTTTCCATTGTCCGTGTTTGTCGGAAATTATGGCAATTTAAAATACTGAGCTTGGTGGATAGTTCCTTTTTTTTATTTTTAGTATGAAATGTCAAAAAGTTTATAATTTTAAGTTTACACAAAAAAATAATGCCGTTCAATAGCTGTTATACACTGTACTAATGGCGTACACCATACTACATTACGGTATCATTATAAACGTTGGCTTTTTTTTTTTGCCAACTCATCAAATCCAAATCCCAAGAAAAAAACATGCTGGTTGGTTTTTATCAAAACCGGTGGCCCAAATAGGAAATAATTGTAGGGAAGGCTATACCTGTAAGATGTATGTATATGTATATATATACATCTGTACACACACATATATATATATACATTAATTCGTAGTTTTTTGTTCTATACAAATTTCAGAATCAATATTTTAGACTTAAAATAATGTTTTGCAAGTTAATAGAGCTCTAGCAAATACTAAAAAAGCGAAAAATTTCAATATTGTCTCATATAAGTATATAATCAAAAATATTTTCAAAAAGAAACGCTACAATAATTTGCAATTATTTTTAAGAGTGAACTAGTGTAGGGCGTTAAAATAATCACCCGTTAAAGAAAATACAGTCTCTCCTAACCTGCCCCGCCCATTTAATTAAACCTAGTAAATGTTTGATGGACACACTGGGTCGGGTTTTCGGTAACGTAACGGCTGTAGAAAACGATTGGCAGCACCTTTAATTAAGTCGTCGTCGGCCAGCCCTCTACGCCTTCCCGTCGACGGGCCAGTCCTGGAAGTGGATAAATCAAACGGACGGACACCACCGCGCGGCCAAAAGTGTGAAAGACATGGGTGCGTGACTTTTCGTTATCAATCGTTTGTTGCATAACTCGCGGCGCATGTATATAATACACCGTGCCAGCTATAAACTACCGATGTCGTTCCTTTGAAGCCGCAGCGGACAACGTGGCCGCCGCCAAGTGGCTCGCGCCGTACTCTCTGTCGTCCGGCCGAATTAAAACGTCACAACGGGCGGCCCACGTGAACAGACAACGGCCGAATGGCGTGACTGGCCGAATTAAAATATCACGCCGCGGCCGGCCGGTGCACTCGAGTGGACCGACCGTACAAGACCCCGGGGTCTCCTTCCGACGACGTTATTATTGTTATTATTATTATTGCTGCATACATGTATACACCAACCTATTACATGCATAAGTTTTGTGTGTGTGCGCGCGAGTATGGAATTTATTACGGGAAACGGTAGCACGCGAATCGCGGCTAGACACACAATGTGACCGCACACACCGCTCGAGTATTATATTATTATCCTTGTGGGGCAAAAAACAAAAAAAAATCCCTGCCCACAAACGTGCGGACGGGGTTGGTTTTTCTTCTTTTACGACTCCTCGCTCTTAATTACATTTTACTTAATAACATCAGGACGTGGTGTGCAGAATTCGTTTTACACACACAATATGCAAGTGGGTCACCGCCGAACAATGCGGGCCTAAGCCACCGGCACCGCAGACACCGGCACGTACGTGTATGTCATAATGGAGGCGCACTGTAGAAACACACACACATAATATTATTGTAATTATTATTATGATACACTTTAGTGTCCTCGGGGTACTACCTCGCGGCATTACTTACATATCAAAATAGTAATAATTGTTCTAATATAAGCACAACGGTAGAAATTAAACTGCGCGTACCGTCCGGGCAGGACAACCCAAGCGGGCTGCGACAATGGTAAACGGTACAAAATCTAAGTTCAACAAATTACAAAATCAAGTTCGTCTAAACTATAACGTCATAAGTGCGACGCTTCGAAATCCTATCCCTTTCCATATTTATATGTTTGATCAATTTGACACTTATTTGTCCAAAAAAAAAAAATGTTAATAGTATCCACACTTCATGCAGATACATTAATACATGGATCTCTGATCCACTATCTTTATTAATTCACGTCCATATCCCTCCATAATCCCTCCACGGTCCTCCTCCATAATCCATAATGACGTCAGCACTGTGACACATTTTCAGAATGACTCCCAGCCATAAGTCATAATATCCAAGTCAAAAACTTGTGATTTTAGGCTACACTTGAAAGCATGATTATGTGTTTGGGCTTTAATTGTTGGGGAAAGGGAGCGGTGAAAACAGAGAGGAAATTCAATTGACCTCCAGCCAGCAGAATCATTAAAATGTTAATAAATTGAGTAAGCAAAACTTTGTAATATTATAGTTAGGTACATAATATATTTTAGAGTGTCGCAAAACATGTTTGGACTTGTGTGTTTCAACTGTCCTATTGTATTCTATTTCAGAAATACTATTCAGCGAAACGCCGAATTTCGGAGACCGCATGGACAACTTGACCGTCACTGTCGGCCGAGACGCTATCCTCGAGTGTGTTGTCGAATCATTGTCCACTTTTAAGGTAAATAGATTCACTAATATTACAATATAGTATAACTATTTATATGTACACGGGCAAAAAACACAGTTGACTATAAAACTTTTCAATCGAATACACCAACCAAAGTATATAGCTTGCTTCGAAGGAGTTTCTTCCAATAATGGAGAAACTCATAATGGATCTATGAACTACAAGACGTGAATATTAATCCGAATTTTAACAATTGTGGTTTTTTTTTAAATAAAAGTTTTCTCAAAAGTTCAGAAAAAATGGCATTGGATTTTCCTTTCTTTTGTCAGCACATAATACAAGGGTACTTAGTAGGTATTTATTACTCGTGAACGTCTAGACGGGTTCCTGTTAAATTTCCATTCTACAAAGGTGCAATTTGTAAGATACGACTCGATAAGCGATTTTTTATTATTAATCCAGAACATTTGTGACCGAATTAGTAGTAACTGTGCGGAAAAAAAGTTTTAGTAATAAAAGTCAAGAAAAAAAAGCTTTGCAAGTAGTTTACTGCAACAGCATTAAAATGTAATTACATTTATGAACTTTTCTGTGTACAGGCGTTTAGTAAGTAGTCGTTAATACTTGCTTTACATCCGATTTAAATTACTTTGATTACAATTTAAACTAACTCATTATTGATTTAAAATCGAGTACTTTATAATATGTTGTGTTTTTTTTTTTAAAAAACCTTGTTTATTTATTTGCTAGTTCATACCGAATTAGACTTAAGAAAAACAAAAAAGGATATTTTTAGTAAGAGGCGAAATATATATTTAATGACTGTTATTATAAACGAGTGGGACAAGTATACATATATAAATATATACATAAATGCACAATTTTTATATCAAAATTAAAACATTTTTAGTTATTAACAGACCCAAATTTAAACGTATAAAGCTTTAATTTAAAAATTGTTTATTTATTCTACTAAAAAAAACTGCGCTTAAAATGTGTCAGAATAATATTATTACCACACTTCAACTACCAAAATATGTTTTTTTTAACTATAATATATTTATAGGTTAGGTTGTATACTAGAAGTGTGTGTACGCTGCACTTATTAATATACCCTAGCGTGCTTTTGCAATTTTAAGTAAATGAAAGTAGAACAAATAATTTTTTTTTTTTTAATATTTTATAACAATGTACAACCGAATAACTGACATGACTCACTATATTATTGCTGAAAATCCAATAGGTCGGCCTTTTGTAAATCCGTTTATTCCCGACATTATTATATATGATTGTAATTCCGCACACGGACCAAGTTGTGGAATATAATTTTTGTCTCGTCCAATCCGTGGAACTCGTTAAATCCCGACACATCCTAATAATATGGCGGTTGTGTGAACTCAAGTTGGCAGACACTTTGCTTTAACTTTGTACCAAACTCGACTACTATACCTACTATACACTTTGAATTAGCCACTTTGCCCGAGTCCATTACATGTAGGACCAGTGTCAAAAGTTAGCCGCTTTTCCGTAGGGGCATCCATTAAAAATACTACTGTTTTTGTTTACCCGTAATTTATCACACGGCTCAGGAACATAATATCGTATTATATATATATATAAAACAATGTGGGTTAAAAAACGTTTTGCTATATTGTCACATGTTAGATTAGTATAACGTCAAATCAACTGATATAAAACAGAAATAAACAGAGCTGAAACCATAGCTGATATCAATTACTAGACGGTGTGACAGTGTGACCAGTTTAAATAAAAATAAATATTTTTTTTCTATAGGTTGTTAAACATTGCACGGTTAAATTCTTTTCGACTATACAAATCAATAGATTGTAGTGAAATGATTACATAATATTATGTAAATGTGGTAATATTACAACTGACAAGTCATATGATTAATTGTATCGCATGGCTGCAATGGTGATAACCGGTAACAAATTAAATTATATAATTTCGTCAATGTGGTCACACTGAAGCTCGCCTTTTCGCTTACTTCATAATATTAAATAATCTTCTCTGAGAGGCAGAATTCTTTTTATTTTTGCTGTTATTGTTTTTTAGGGTTTTTCTAATAAAACTGACAAATTTTCTCAAACAGTTTAATCGAAAATCGGCCTTTTAGTCTCCACAGAGAAAGTAGAAAACTTGACATAAAAAAAAAAAATAATTGAAATCTGTCCAATAGATACACCGTAAAGTGACTTCTAAGAAAGTAATTTGTTTTCATCAGATAATCGTTATAACTTGGAGAACAATAACTTTAAAAGTTTTGTAACTAGAAAAATGTGATGATATGTGTTTACTTTGGAATTAGTTGGCGAGTAAAAATGGCTTCTAGATCAATATTTGTCAAATATTGCCTATCCTTTGGCCCCTAATGAATAGTTCTCCTTTCCGTTCACCAGAAGTGAATATTTTTTAGGCCAAACATGTTTTTTAACTTCACACACCAAATTAGACTTAGGGGCAACAAAAAAGGATATTTAATAAGAGATAAAATATTATATCTTTTATGACTATTAGTTTATGTTAGGTCACTGTAAACAAATGGAGCAGATGGACATAAATGTATTTTTTTTTTTTTTTGATAATAAAATTTAAATATATATTAGTCATTAAAAGCGTTACACACTAACAAAAATTTTAACGTAAAGCTTTAATTAAAATTACAATTTTTTATTTATTCTATTAAACAAATTGAGTTTATTCATATAAAAAAACCATGGCTATTAAATATATTATATTATAAGTACAACGAGCATTGATTTTAATGAAAATAACCAGTTATACATTTATATGAACAGTGCAGATGAAGAGCTGCATTAAAAGCACAATAAAGTATTTTGTTACATTCAAACCGTCACAGTTTCAGCGAAACATATAATATGTAATAAAAATACATTTCCAACTCAATGTCGAAAGTTAAACAATGAAAAACACTAAAATAATAACCATATGAATTTTGTCGAGTCGTTACCGTATAGTTTCTAATACAAGGTGTATGTATAATTATTTTTAGCTATAAAAATACAATAGCGTTCATAAAACAGAATACGACCAAAGAGACAGAAATATTATATTTTTATTATACATTTTTTAACCAATCATTAAGATATAATATATTTCATGTTAAACATGTTTCTTTAGCTCAAATAATTGGCGTTATCGTCAACCGTCTATTCTTCTAACACACTTAAATATTAGCGCATAAATTCGACTTGAGGAAATTGATACCTTAAATAAATTTCAACAACATGTGTTCACTAAGTAAAAATTAAATCTGCAATATTAAATGTAAACGTTTGACCAACACTTATGTGATTTAGAGAAAAATCTAACGACTGAGTTATTTTTGTTATTTCATGACAGACAAACCCATGTTTTACCGAGATTTTAATTTGTAATAATACATATCATATTTAATTATTAAGACCAATCGTTGTATACTTACAGGGTCCAAATTAAAAATATTCCACAACAAATAAATCATATTGATTTTATTGTATAAATATTTGTTATTTGTCAATTAATCACAAAAAAACACCCTTTTTATTTATGAGACAGCGGGACATTTTGTTTTTAATTACAACGGCTCAATATACTATACTGCTATTATTACAAACAACACAAATTAATACAACTCTACAGTGGTGTAACAATCAACAGCCACACCACTACATTTAACTTGAGCATAAAAATAGGTCAGCATTAATGTCCTGGCTACAGTAAAAGCTTTAATGTGTACTGTTTAAACGCATAAATGTGCTGTTTGCAATATTATGGCAATTCCGCGAAAAAAGTCTTAGTTGTTTGTCTCTCATTTTCACATAATTAAAATTTAAAACGCCTTCAGAGAAGTCGGATAGAATGAACATTTCCATGGAAATGTTCAAAGTACCAACAGTCTATTTTAGCTTCGATCTGAGAAGGTATTGATTATTAAATAGTGTGTTTTTTTGGCTAGGCGTGCCTTTATCCACACATACTCTCACATCCAAATTTTGATTATTGTACTGATTTTGCGTTGATCTATACTGTTGGTTTACACTATGCTAGTTTTTTAACTGATCTAGCTGTCTACTTTGTGTTTGAGCTAATATGAGATAATAATTAACAAAAAAATACCCAGATCAGTCTTAACCAGTGTAGTTTAAACATGTAGAGTATAAATCAAATTCCGTCTTAACCAGTACAGTTCAATGTTCAAACCAAGCACAGTTTAAGCCAATGCAGTACAAACTAGTACAGTATAAACCAAGTACAGTCTATATCAGTACAATCCAATTGTAATTTTTATCAAGCATCAATAATTTCTCATTAAACGCACTTAAAACATAATTAATCTTCTTAAAAAATACTTAATAACCAGAGAAAAAATCATACTGTGCCGGATTGAATTACAAGGTTAAGCACACATATTTAGTATTATTGTTCATGCACAAAAAATAAATCCAAGTATATTCAGTTCATGTCAATGTAACTACTGACGTTAAAATGACTTTTGATACTAACACGTCATGTCTTTGGCAAATAAGCGCGTGTCGGATTGTGTTTTTCAAATCGAGTACTGTCATCTACTACAGTGCACATAATATCTAAAACTTATGGAATTTTCGTTTTCGTTATAGACTAGTAAAGTGATAATCGTTTTTTTTGGTCTAAAAAAACCTAAATTTACAAACAATTCCATGGCTAAAATTTTGTTTTTTTTGATCGCCATATGCTTAACAATCAATGCAACAAAGCAGCCTGTCGAAAGGAAGGATCAAGTAAACTCTCTTTGTCGAATAGCAAATTGGAAAGATATGACGTGGTCCAAACAGGTTTTCACGAGGTATCAACAGCTCTGGGTGATTGTCGATGATTTTTGCAATAAAAGTTTGAGCTCCAAATTGATCTATAAGTTACAAGTAATCCCTTTATTGATGGGATGTGGTTACGGACCGAACTTGTCTAATTTCCTCCATCTAATCACATTTACAGTAACCGAGTGCAATAATATGTCATATTATTATCATCATAACGCAAATGATTGT